TTGATATCGCTTCCTTACTTTTTATAAATGCTACTAGATTGCTGATACACCTGACCCTCTCTCCAGATTAGATCAGATTAGACCAGACTTGCTAGACTAGACAAGACTTGCCTTATCACCAATTAGATTATGAACTCGATATTTCGGGCAAAGAGTTCATAAAAGATAAATTTGGCTCTGTTAAGAGCCTTTTCAAGTGCGCATTACTTAGGCCCAATTTGTTTTCATCTTTTGGAACCGAAGGTACCGTTTTTGTATTTCTGTAACCGTGAGTGATGATAATTTTTCAGGCCGTGGAGCAACAGATCAAAAGTTTTGGTCAAACGCCTTCGCAGTTGTTACATGAACCACATGTTCCACGGATTCCGCCAGAAACTCCGGTATGTGACTATTCTATTTTATAATTTATTTCTTTATTTTCGTTACTGCTCCAGCACTCTGTGTTTGAAATCTACGTGTGAAAGAAAAAGAAAATCACTACTTGGAGTGCTAGATATGCGTGTCGTTCAAAGTCTTTTCAAGAGAAGAGATTAATCTTTTAAGTTTGGGTTTCAATAAATTTTTGAATTTATTTTTTTAGATTACGGAAGAAGAGGAGCCTTTTAAAAGTACGTGTACGCATCATTGTTGCATCTTTGAATATGGAACTGGGTCTATGAATTGTAACTTCTTCGGTTACATGCATTAAATCTGTAAACCAGAGTAGCATCAAACCATGTGTGATTGTCCACCTGGTTGCCTTGTGAACTTTAATATATTGGACTCTCTTTGTTACAATGCAATGCGCTGAATGTTCTATTCCTCCAGTGACGTTCAAAAGCTCGGAATAAAACTACGCTAGTGTATGATGATATTTGTTTTATTTTCCATACAGGTATATATTTAACCTTCAAAGTTACGTCTGATGTCCCTGTGACTCATGTTGCCGCTAACACCGACTCCACCGTCCCTTCCCCTGCTGTCGTGACAATCAGTTGCAACCAGTGTTTCTCGGTCAACAAGTGGTTTACATCAGGTAAGGGGGAGGGGAGTGGAAAGCTGATAATTACATATTGCCTAGCCTCACAGAAATTAAAATTTTCCCTGAGCAACTATAATTGACCTAACAATGATCGAACAAGAAGAGTAAAACTGCCATTGCGCAACGAGACTGACTCGCTTAGTCATCGAAGTTATCTCATTGCCTCAAGCTGGAAGTGAAAAGGAGTATTTCACTCCTCCCGGATCGCAGGGTAACCTCTCCCCCCCCCCCTCTTCCCCGGTGTTTTGCTAAGTTTCTCCGGCAGTTCTTTGGTTCCCAATCATTCTCCTGAGTGGGGGGAAGCACCGGGTAAGTGCCTTCCTTTCCTCTGTTATAAATAGAAGTTGGATTTGGTTCTGAGGTTTTACAGCTGGCTATCGACACAGAGCCAACCCGCATGACATGTTCTTATTATGCGACGACCCAGTGAATTTAGAGTATTTGCTGATGAAAGTGCATTGTTAAACGAATCATTAAGGTTTGACCAAAACGAGGTGTAACTAGGTGGAGTTCTTTTGTGAAATATTTGAAGCTGACCAACAGCGAGCAGCGAGGAACTGATTTGAATATCGGTAAGAGCCGGAATACGATGAAGTAGTATCCCCTCTACTTATTATACTTATTTTGAAAGTTAAGTGGTCCAAAGTAATCTTGCCTTGTAAATGTGTTCTCTTTAGCAGACCCAAAGCAAAGTCTTCGAGGAGTTCAAGTTGAGCAAGATCCCATGTTAGGTGGGTAATCAAACTCTGTTTTCCATTTTGCGAGACCTTTTCAAATAATATTGTACTTTTCTTTTGCAGCAACAAACGCTGGACGGCAGAAGCGTCAACTCGGTGAACCCTTAGATCAGTCTGTCACACCGTGCGCCTGCTGCTTTGTGGTGACCGCTGACAACAAATACATCATGGCTTGCGGCTATTGGGATAACAGCTTTAAGTGTTTCTCGGCGGATGGTGGTACGTTCTAGTTACTTTCCAAACTAAACTTAACTTACGAAGTATAAATGAAATATGAAGAAAACAGTAAGATTCTTTCCCTGTTACATGCTCACAGCATCGAGATGTCTGCAAAATTGGAGCTACCCGTATCCGGATTTTCTCTTTGTAAATGTTGTGTCTTATTCCACAGGAAAATTAACGCAGTGTGTGTTTGGTCACTGGGATGTGGTGACGTGCTTGGCCTACTCACGTCACGTGGGGCTGATAGGCGGAGACGCACTTGTTGTATCGGGCTCGCGTGATGCTACAGTGTTGGTTTGGCGATGGAGTGAAAAATTGCAGAGAGTAGCAGGTACTGACCGCGAAGAAGGTGGGTGCTAGCTTTGAAATAATTTGTTTCGTTTCAAAATCGTTTTATAGTTTGTTTTATTTATGTCATCAACTTGACGTTCTATAAGTCCCAAGCACCCTCTTCCTATGTAGCCTAAGGAAGGGAGAGTCGTAGGCTGGTTAGAAGCCATAGGTGTTTTTTTTTTTTTTAAGGGTATCAGCTGCTCCTTCACTTAAGTAAATTTGAGGGATGTTATACAAAATATATGAAAGCAAGAGAAAATTTAAAAAAAAGAGGAAACAGATTCCTGTTTCTGTCTTAATCTGAAAAAAAAAAACCCTCGGAGTGACTCGATATATCACAATCGATGCGAAGATTTCCCTCTTCGTCCTCTTTTTTTCTCCTGATATAGTATTTTTCTGTAATAAAACATTTGGCAAAAGAAAAAAGAGATTGAGTAGAGTCATTATTGGATGGCTCCTTTAGTAAATGTTGAAAATATTTCCATGGCAAGAATTTAGTTAGGACTCTGGTGCTTTTTCCCTGTTTAATTTAGTAAATCACATGTTGGTTATCTCTCCGCAGGCGACAACCCCTCTCCACTGGCTATTCTGACGGGTCACGAGCAACCGGTGGTCTGTGTGGATGTCAATGCTTCTCTCGGACTTGTAGTCAGCGGTTCGCAAGGTACGTTTCCAAGCAACAAGCCGATTGTCGAAGAAGTGCCTTCGCCCGAATGACATCCACAGGCATATTCTCTACACTTTTCTCCATTTATTTTGTATGGTACTAACTAGCAGAACTTGTTAAAAAATCAGAACTTCTTAAGCTGGCGATCATTTCCTTTGTCCTAGTGACTTCAATTTTTGTTTTAGTAAAGATACTGTTAGGAGAAATTAGATGCTCGTTATTTTTGAGGTGAAAGGTTAACCAGAGTGGTAAATGTTATGTTTCTCTTTTTCTGTCAGAGGGACCTTGTCTTTTGCACACCACGGCGGGGAATCTCTTGAGAACGCTGCGAGGGCCTGGAGACTGCGTCAGACCGAGGCTGTTGAAACTGAGCCGCGATGGTTTGGTGGTAGTGAACTACACAGACGGCACAGGTCATCTGGCGGTGTTTACCATCAACGGCCGGCTTCTAAGCGACAAAAAACTGGATGATCAGATGCTGGTATGTTATCGCAGTTACCAAAAGCATTATGGGGGAGGTAATGGGTGAAGTTTATGGTTTTCGCACCCGGGTTCCTATTTTAAACTTTTGGCTTATTTAACATCAAATCCATAAATGGGCTTGTTTTGGTGGTTCGGCGAATTCTCATACATCATCACAGTAATAGGAAAATTTTAGCTGGACTCTTGATAAGTTAGTAATACTCAGGGGATGTTCTCTACCCAAACCTTCCCTAACTTATCTTTTTAAACCATCCACGTTTCCATAGAAGAAAGTGGTTAATCTGTTCATGTTTTCTTTCTTAACCAAAGGCACTGGCTCTCAATAAAGACGGTAATTTCTTCGTGACTGGAGGATTCAGCCGATATCTGAGGTTGTGGCGAACTCATGACTTGTGCCTTCTTCACACATATCCGCCATGCGACGGCAGCATTAGGGCTCTAACCATCTCTACTGACCAGAGGTACGTCACACGCAACGTAGACTATCGTTAAGAGCTTGCGATTGTTCACCGAGCCGCTCTACTTTATTTTTGTCTCTCATCTACCGTCTCAAAAGACTCCTCTCCCTCCCCTACCTTGTGCTGCTTTTGAAATCTAGGATTTTCACGAAGAAATAATTTGCGCTCGTTCCATTCATGTCTCACTCAAAGAATTATGTGACTGACAACAGACTCAATAGATGTTTTACAATACATCAAGAATGATTTTCACCCATACCCACGAAAGAGGATGGGGGGGGGGGGGGGAACGGTGGTGGGGATCAATGAATTCAGACAATTGGAAAGGAGAGGGAACAAATTCATGCAGAGATTACAATATGCTAAATATTTGACATTCTGAATAGTAATCCCTCATTTTTTGTTCCTAGGTGTTTGGTTGCTGGACTGGCTTCAGGCAGTATCTTGGCCATTGCCGTGAACTTCCCGGGCCGTCTTTGACCTGAATTTCACTTTCCCCCCCAAGAAAAACAAAAATAACAAAAAACAGGACGTTTAGCCATGGATTTCAATGAACAATGTCTTGGTTTGTGACACGAGGCTGCGACGACGAGCTTTTCTCGTAAATGGTTGAATTGTGTCATGATGGATAAGCATTTTTGTAGAATTTAGATTATAATATTTGAATCTTCATATTCGATCACAAACTGTGGACGAGTTCATAGAGTGAATTTTTTAGTGAGTGAATGAAATGATTGTAATACTGTGAAATTTCAACTAACTACTTGCACATTTGGAATGGATCATTTCCAAGATGTCAAAAGCTTCCTTTAAAATAGGGCAAGTGCGAGGGCTTTGATATGAAAGTGGTTTTTGTATTCTCGAATGAATGCGATTCTTCTTTACCCGAGATGTCTTAGACTGGGCCTGATACCAAATGTTAGGATTTTTGGAACTTGTAAATGGCTTGTTGCAGTCGATCTCGGCTAATCAGTGTCAATCACTCCAAACGCCTAGCCAATAGTCCTACGCGGTCAAACCGCTCTGCGAGACATTTGAATGGGTTTCTCTCATAGAAAAACTACAATTCATAAGGGCTGTGTGTCAATTTATTAATTGCTCCAAACAAAATCGCTTATTACTTTTACATTTCTAGCTGTTACATCTTTAGTTACTCGTTATCCAGACGTCTAGTACACAGCTTAACAAGAACAAGCGTAATATTAACTAGAGATAAATATAAGGGGCCCAGATATCAGCTTCGAAGTTTTCTTCGTCATTTCCTTTCATGTCTTCAAGGAGAATTTGAGAAACCTAAATTGTTAATTATATATTTATTGCATACTTCCAGCGAGTATGAGGAGAAAACTGGTTGCCGTCAAGCTTAGGGGTTCCAAAGTTCAATGGATGTGATCTTTTGCTTGAATGTTTCAAAAATCATCATTCCAATGACATAATACAATTAAATTTAATAGGGTCTTAGAAATTGATGCCGATTGATGCAGTCAATCGACAAGGGGATATCGTATTAAATGATTATCAAAAACGGTCCAGTTATAAAGGTAGAACCCAAATATACTTTTTTTTAAATAGTAAGTATGCAACAGTGAACTAACATAATGAAAGGTGAAGTGAAATAAAGATAACGAAATATTTGACTTTCAAGTTGATCTTGGTACTTATTTTGTCTCTGGTATGTTAAACCTTTAAACCCCTCAGGTGTCATGACTGGCATCTAATTTCTCCTAACAATACCACCCCTGAATCAAACATTAAGGTCACGAGAATAAGGAAATGATCATTGACTTCAGAAACTCTTGATTTGTAAACAAATTCTCCTTGTTAGCACCCTTGGAAATGTTTAGAGGACAGTATGGAGAATATGCATACTGATGTGGAGGTGTCAAGAGTTGACCCTCGACCTCGCCCAAGTGAATTTCAAAGTGAATTACACACACCTTTCAACATCACCACATAATCCAGTAAACGGTTAATGAGAACACGGAAACGTATTAACCAGTTGGCTTTATCATGCTGTAACCCAAATTAATTGCGCTGATTTGCAAGAAAAATTAAAACAGCCGAAAGGTAAAGTTACGAACCAGACCTTGGGAGTTTACGATTTATTGTCACTTTTGACCCAGGACCCCTCTTCTTTTTTTTCATCCACCATTTTATAACTCGGTAACCGGGGAGGAACTGAAGCCTAAAAACGAGGTGTAAACAATTTAACAGGTTTAACAGGTTTAACAGGTTTAACAGGTTTTGATGCCCAGGCCACTAATACCATGTTCAGTTGCAAAAATTTCCGTTTGGAGAGTTTTGTAGCATACATGACGTGATATTTAGTATATATCTATCGTAGGTTCCCATTTCACGGAAGTTGCAAACTTTACAACAATTAACAATTTGGTTACATTCTACGCGTGTCTGGCATTTCATTTCTTCTTTCCTTTCATTTGTTCTTTTGCAACTTGAGCGGTGGCTTGTTGTGCTTGAGCCAGTGCAGCCTGGGCAGCGGCCTTTCTCTTGTTAAAAAGATTTATTTCCTCGTCCTGAAAAGGCAAATTAAAATTAGTGAACGTGTCCGTTAGTAGAGACAAACAAACAAACCTTATTCTCATTCTAGTGCGATTTTCGTGTTTGGTAAAATTATTGCTGTTTTTTCTTCTTCTCGTTTTTCTATGTCGAAATAAGCTTTTTGCGATTATTTCTCGATTAAACTACGCAACTTCTTTTCAGCCACTAATCAACACTAACTGCGGCTGTCAACGAGGTCGTTACACAACCACAAAGCGCATTTGGCATTTTTGTTCTCACTTACCAGCAACCTTCGTTTTTCTTCCAGCTTCTTCTTTTCGTCTACTTGTGTCTTCTTAAGATGTTCAAACTTGGCATGGAGCTAAATGTTTTTCAAGTTTACCAATAGTCACAAGGTGCGGAAAATAAAGAACAGAAAAAAGAAGGCAATATATCAGATGAACTATTAAACAACTATGCGCCGTTCTGAGGAATAATTTCTCATTTACATTCGTCCAATGTAACTCGGATTTATGTTTGCAGGATTATAGATACACAGTATAGGTGAGCGATACCCAAAGGAAACGTTTGAGGTGTTTCAACATAGTTGCCTACGATAAAAATCCTCTCTAGTACCAAACATCAATCTTACTTCTTTTCAAAGTTACCACCAGCAATTTAGATTAAACACACGTTCAATGTCTAAGTATTAGACATAATATTTCTTTCACTCTGAAGAAGGGCTAAACTCGAAACGTCCGCTTTGGAAACTTCCTTTGGTGGCCAATTTACATGATCAACTCAGTTAATAACACCACATTATCTTAGACTTAAAGGATGAGGTGAACACGATGTTTGAGGTACACAACCGTTATCGGCACCACATACCTCTTGCTCGGCTTGTTTTAATTCAGCCTCTTTCTCTTTGACCTTGTCTACAAAGCTTTGTCTCATTTTCTCCTCTCTGCTTTGTATGTCCTTCATGTACTCCTGTCTCCTAAGCTCGTAGGTCTCCTGTAGACTGTGAGGTTGTTTGTCGCCGTCACCATCACTGAAACCCATGGTTTCTAACTTGTTCCTGCGGTACAACTCATAGTGCCCGGTATGCGTCTTGTCGATCAAGTCCTGCATGTTTGTTCTGGAAAGTATGAAGCATTGTTTTACGATATGCTGAATTATGCACGAAGTTTCATTGGTTCTTCCCTATGATCCATTGGAGGACAGACGCAAAGATGACGTCATTATCAACATCTTTCTTTTTTAATCATATAAATCAAATAGATTCACGTGGTCTGGATTAGGCATTTAGCACATGGCACGAATGGTCTCCATACTTCTCCTCACGATGTTCAAAAACTCGATATTCCATGGGTAAACAATTCAGTACAAACTTACCGTACAAGCATCTCTCTCAGTTTCACAAAGTCGCAATGATTTTCATTTTCAACTAGAAAGAATGAAATAAAGGTCAGTTTTCCTTCATGGGTGACCACCTTTCAACAAGTATTGTATATAACGCTGTCAGGAATCTTTTACCACGATACTATCGTTAGAAATCAGCTCCTCTTTCACGTCAGCTGTGATGTTACAAAAAGGGTATATGTGCAGTACCTTCTACAGTCCCCCAAGGATATTGTCTGGCTCTCGTCTTCACTTTGTTGATAATAGCCTCTTCACGGCTTCCAACAACAGCAAATGGAATTTGCTCCTGAAAAAAAAAAAACCACCAGCTTACTCACACGCACACGTACCATGCACACTGACAGATAACAGAACTGTCGAGTAAATATGAAAACCGTATACGGCAACTCTCAATTTTTAAAACAAATTCTCCTTGTCAGGACCTGAGGAAATTTATAGAGAACATCATGGAGAAAGTGCATTTTGATGTTACGGTGTAAAGGGTAAGTAACTATTTGATAGTATCAAGGTAGTGGGAACGTGATTTATCAACTTGCGTACATTCATGCCAGCATTCATCTCAGCAACAGTCTCATCGTCAACTGGAAATCGGTAAATTTCTACACCATTACTTGTAAGCTCCTCCATTATCTGAAAAATAGAGGAGAAAGTTAACCATTTTTTTTTCATGGATGTACATGTATATGTAATCAAGGTGCCTGTGTTAGATCAAATGAATGTACATGTACATGGAATTCTCCGTCACTCATAAGCTCACCTTCTCTTTGAATTGTTTCAGTTCACTTTTTGCTATGGTGTCTGCTTTGGCAATTATGGGAACAATATTCACCTGTAAACATAGCAAAAGAAAAAAAGCATATTTGGAAAAAATTGCTTCATTGTTGAGGTTTAACAACACTGTTTTTTGAGAAAAATAAGGCTCTCATTTCAGAGGTGTAGGTTGCCCAATTCATAAAAGCTATTTAAACCTTAAGCTCCCAAGATCTGAGTTAGTTATGAGAACTTGGTGTTAAATCAAGATAAAAACTTCTACCTGAAAAGTTTGAGTATTCTCATTACCTGTTTGCTGGATAATGTTTGGATATAATAAGGAGAAGTTTCATGTTCATCACTTCTGGGAGTTTAAGGGTTAAGAAAAAGCTAAGCAGTAGCTTAAATAAAAGCACAGCTGGAGTCTGATTTGTTCATCACAAGTATGATTACAGACTGAATTGGATGACAAGGTCAATTAATTATAAAAATTACAATTTACAAGAAAACAAGCAATTAACACTGGCATCAGCATAATAATTATTACTTTGAAGTGTTACCTGCATGTACTAACCTTTTTGTCCAGTTTTTTCATACAAACAAGGTCCAGAGATTTTAACCTGAAGAAAAGTGCAACCTTGAATAAATATGCTTTAAATAAGGGAAATACACTAGTATACAATTGCGCAGTCACTAAAAATTAAAAAAGGGAGGTGGGTTTACATCATAAGAAAATGATTCATAGTACATTGGAGACCCAAAAGTTATGTTTTACTTGTAGTTATGCTTAGCAGTAAAATTACATCATAAAGAACCAAAATGGCTTCAGCAAAAGGTATGCAATTCAGTGTTCTGCATAACAAAATTTATTGCACATGTATTTGAGCCAAAAGTAGTCTGCTACATCACAGTTTCTACAATAATAAGACACACCAGAACCCATTTAAGACTTATAAATGTATTTGGGAAACAGAACACTTGTGATTGGCAACACAGCTTACAAGTATATGTAGGAGTGGTTGATGTGCAACTCCTGATAACAGTGGTGAGAATAAGACAAGAATTTGAAAGAATCTTTTGAGTGCGGGAGCCATACACTGAAGACTTACGAGTGGCCACTGGGAGAGATGAAGTAGAGGCAAACATGAACACGTGTGTCATGGTACACATTCAGGGTTCTTTTTATCTTGAGCTCTTGTTGAAGATATTTTTCAAACTGGGAATCAATATACTCCACAATAGGACTGGCACTGAAAATAGTAACAAACCACTTCACTTTATAGACAAAGTCCTGAATGTGTACAATTAGTATTAACAACCCTTGAAAAAGAAACAACTGGGATATTACTTCATCACAGCTTGTGGCATATGATTGAAGGACCTCATGATTCTGTCACAGTGACAGCAATCTATCGCAATCCCACACAAAAGTTCTTAAAGATAACATGCTTAAGGTTCCTGTAAAAACAGTTTGGTGCATTCTCAGTGCTTTTAAGTCTAATAATTTCCTTCGGCTGAGAAACACAACTTTGGCAAATTGCCTTCATCTGACAAAGCCTTCTCTGAAGCTCTATGCTATGCTCTGAGTTCTTCTGCTTTTGGTAGCCAGGCTTTTAACAGTTATCCAGTGGAAATCCTAATTCTGATACAAGTTTCCTATTGTGCCTCTGGGTGAACCTGTACATACTACACTCTCAAAAGGAATTTAAGAAAAAAATCAATACAGCAGACACCATACCTGTCTTCTTTGTTGATCTGGTCTCCAAAACCAACAGTATCCACAACTGTAAGCTTCAGTTTCACATTGCTCTCATTCAAATCTACCAAAGGTAATTGGCAGAAAACTATCATTAGTACTGGATACTTAATAAGAGATTTTATTGTAAATGCACCAACAGAATGAAAGTGTACACCAGAAGTATTCCATGTGAATGTAAGTGGATTTCAGGAACTCATGTCCAAATATCTTTACTCCTAACTCTATGAAAATTTAGGAATGATAAAGGAGAGGAAAAGGAGATAATTTTTCCATGAAATAGACATGTATGATCACATAAATGAAAATAAAGAAAGAAAAATGACAAACTTTTCATCATTTGTAACATTGTTGAACTCACCATAGGTGTGATCTTCTACTCTCACACCAGGAAGTTGATGAGAATGAGGAATTCCTAGACAGACAAAAGGGTTGAATAATTTAAGGAGCAATTGAAAAAAGCCCAAAGGAACTCTGAATTGTCCATTAGTATATTCAGAGTCTACAGTGAGATGAAACCAGTCAAGGGGGAGGAATTACTGGAAAGATATTTGGTACAGGGCTGACAGTTGTAGATAGGTTGAAAGGTCTTTTGTTCTCTAAGCTTTTCATTGCTACTTCAACTTAAAATGTCACTTGACAAGACTAGTGTCTAACTAAAAAAAACTATGCAGTTTGCTAAGACATCCACATCTGGCACTCCTACCCTAAATATCTATATTTTCAGTTTTTCCTCATAAATTTCTATAGTAATCTAAATTAACTAAATAAAATTGTAAATTTAAAGCAAAAGAGTAAGGAAACGTGAAACAAACAATTGATGTTGTTGTTGTTTGTTGCTCCTGAAGATACAATTGTAAATTAATTTTATGGAAAGTCAAGAAATACAGTGTACTACTCCTAAAGGGAGTTTTGTGGCAGTGGGAAAATGAGAAGCAACATGTTTAAGATCAACAGGTGTTTTAAGTAATTATTATTCTGGTCTGGTCTATTTTTCCAGTCTTTTTTTGTAACAATTGTGCATAAAATTAACTTGATGGTCATGACATTCACAATACACAGCACAAAAAATTCTACCATGCAGAAGCTCTAAACTTTCCTTTCAAAGACTTCACATGGCCTGTACTTGTACTGCAATATCGAAAGATATTAGAACTCTAGGATGTTCCTTGACACACAAGTGAATGAAACGATTGTACCAAGTGCTGCATTTGAATCTGTCAGCCATGCAATATTTAATAGTTTCAGGGATAGCCACACCTATTACCTCGACCACAACAACAATGAATATTAACAAAAGGAAGACGCGCTTGCATCACTTCCCATCAAAACTGAAAAAGATTCCACGGAATTTGAAAGGAACGCTAGAACACTTGATCACTCCAAACCTACCTTCAAATGTCGTTTTAAAAAGACAATCCATCAGAGTTGATTTTCCGATTCCTGTTTCACCTAAATATAAAAATATCCTCTCTTTAGTCACTTCCTCCTTTTCAATTCTTGTTTTGGAAGTAATTCAACCTTAACACATGAAAGTTATGTTTTGAATAAGTTTGACACATGATAAAAGTCTTGAAGAAGTTCGATTCTGTAGATAGGTTTAAACTCGTGCATACTCTATCCAGGTAGAAGCAAGTTCCTTATTTTACAAGAAGAATATCTTACCTATGCACAGAATATTAAAGGCAAAGCCTCTATTCACTGATTTATTGACAAGCTGGTCCGGTAAGCTGTCAAAGCCAACATGGCCCGCTAAACGCAACTGCCGCCCGTCCGCTCCCTTTAACAGAACGATTTCAGCAAGTTACCGAAATAGTACAAATTCAAGAGACGAAACTTGAAAAATTGCTACTTACCAATGTCCTGCAGTAATCAGTCACCGCCGAAGCCATTTCAATCGAGTGTAAAGTCTAACTAAAGAGCCAGACAGCTGCTTATGGATATTTCGAGAGTAAAGAGGTGAGAATTGTGAAAGAAATGTGGTTTGGTCAGCGGTTAAAACTGGAGCCTAGTCTTTTCTCTGCAAAAGATTGGGAGTCTTCGAAGTTGTGAACTCTGCTGTTTACCTCGTACGATTCGTTTGACATATGGAAGTGAACCTCTGTTCTCAATAACCTACTTATCAGCTCATAATCCTTCTACTGAGCGATGTTTTCTTCACTAGGGGGTAAAACGTCCTTGTTTCGCGTCACGCTCGTTGGAATTGGGGGAGTTGGTTGCTGTTTGTTGTGGAGAGCGAAGAATGGACATTCATCTGTCAATGTAGTTGCGGCAAAGTCTCCCGATAATGGTCCAGGGCAGACACAAACTCGGCGAAAGACAAAATTTGATCAGTTTGCTTCCATTGAAGTGGACGGGCGGTATTTCATGACTCCAGCTGATTTCCTGGAATCTGTCATGAACAAAGATTCACCAGGTGATGATCGCGACTGTACTCAGACACACACCCACTAATGCACATTTATTTGACTTAACCCCTTTCATATACTTCAACCCCTGTCACCATCTCCATCTGGAAAGGTCAATGAACATAAACCTTGGTTGTTTCTTTCAACCATTCCTACCTCAGCCTGTGGGAAATTACTTGATAGGACTATGCAGCACAATCAACAATCAATTGCTGTTGAACAGATAAACATCAACAAAGTTACTTAAAAGTGGGGGATCGAGTCATTCCCCTTTCAAACCACTGGTTCTTGGACCAAAAGTTTGCCACAAATTGTTAAGAAAGTTTTCAAAATTTGTTTTAACCTCACCAAAATCTTTGAGTGAGAAAAATCAGCTGAGCAGGTGATCCAGAGGAACATGATTTGAGGCTGATTTAAGTGTAGAGTTTTGTTACATTATGTGAAATCTGCTATCATCAGGGGGCAATTTTGAAGTTGAAACATCAAAGGGATAAAGAGGCCTTCAGTTAACGATGTTTTTATCACTTGAAATAGTAGATTAGAGGTTTCTGAGAAATTGCTTTTGTAAATTGCATTGAATCATCCGACTGAAACTTCTCAGCTGGGTTTGTTTGAAGTTTCTGTTGTAACAGAAATAAACAAACTTGTGCTTTTCTTTTATAAACATGTACAGGATGGAGTAAGAAAAGGCCATTAACAAAGGACGTAAGTTTGAAACCAACATTGTTTTGATTATTTATTATTTAATTGCATTGCTGCACTGCTTATAAATATAAGTGCAGTGCAGTGCAGTATTGTAATTAATATTTAAATATTTATGAAACAAGTCAGGAAAACTGGATTGCATATGTGAGGTGAAGGTATCACAAACTTTGCACTCTGCACTACTCATTTATACTCTTGGGTGAAGCATGACACTGTAAGAATGAAATGTCTTGCCTAGTAAGGACACAATGTACTAACCCTGGGCTTGAACTTGGGTCTTTCATTATCTCCCACCAAGCTGATTACTGGATCAAGGGGTCTCCTTTGTGAAATATATTATATCATGACATTTATTTCCAATGTGTACAATGAAAGCTGATCTGTGTAGGAACAGATGGGTCCAAGCCAGTCTGTGTTTTTGAAGTGCGCAAATTCAAATTCTGGATTTCAACTTGAAATAATTTAGAAGCAAATTTCTGGTCTTGACTGGCAGACATTCAAAGTTTTCAAAGAAGTTTTTCTGTGTTTGTTCAACACTTGTCCATCCAAAGGAAATATGTGTTATTGTAACCCATTTAGGTTCAAACATGATTTCAAAATTTAAGACTTGGTGGTTGTATGATAACATACATATTAACTGGGTTTGACTGGGAGGTTGGAAATATTTAGTTCTTGGTCATTGAACATGGCCCTCACTCTGTGGAGTTTGGAATTCATGACCTTAGGCCAAATAAATTTTTTGTCCAGCCCTCCTACTCAGTCAATAAATAAATAGTACTGGTAAACAATGGCAGCATATACCTTCTTCTTGTGACTCATAAGTTACTTCTTTTATTTACTTTTAGGTTCTTTCTCAGATGGTCTACAATACACCCTCAATATCAAAGGGATCTAGGAATTTTTTTCGCAAGCTGCAAGATAATGGTAATTTCATTTATATGTTATTAACAATTAATTTCTTACTTGCTAATTTGTGTAACAGATATTGTCCTCAAATTGTTGTTTTTGATTTATGCATGAAAATATTTTTTAATTGTAATCTATGTAATTCAAGATAACTATTTTTTTTTATATTTTTGCTTACTAGGAGTCATCACCTTCTCTGAATACTTGTTCCTTCTTACCATTTTAACAAGTATGTTATTACAACTTTTTTCCTATAAGTACATTAAATTGGGACTTTGATGTTGACTACATCCGCTTCAGACACGAACGAGTTATTGTGTGACAACAACACCGTAAAGACTCATCATGTTTTCGTTAAAAAATCTGAGCGATTGACATGATGAGTCTTTACGGTGTTGTTGTCGCACAATAACTCGTTCGCATCTTAAGCTGTTATAGCCATTGGTGATGTTCACCAATGTTCACCAATGTTTAAGCTTCTGTTTGATGTTCACCGATGTTCACCAATGTTCACCAGTGTTTTTTTACTAAATATCTTTTAATTTTCTGTATGTTTAACTTCTAATAAGTTGTATTGGATTGAGGACCAACTCGCCGACGTCTCTACTCGATTTTATACGTCGGCGAGTTGGCGTCAGCGAGTTGACTGGTTACCAATTTATATAGTGGTACATTTATACCAGTCATGTATATACAAAAAGTTGGCACATGAGGTGCAGCCAAGTGTGTCACTGATGTTCTTACCAGATTTCAACATCTTTTGTGATCTATCACTGTACAGACCCAGTCAGCAATATGGTCTCTATTTGTTTTAAATGATAAAAATGCTGTCTTTGGTAATATCATCATACTTCTTTCCTTCATTTTGTGAGAAGCTGAATTATTCACACTTTTTGACTGGTTCTTACTAATGATGGATTTGTACAAATGATGTGATTTATAGATCTATTATAGAATTGGAGTAAATTTTCTTATAAATTTATTTTTCCAGAATCTCAAAGAGGATTGGAAATCGCTTTCAAAATGTTGGATAAAGATGGCAATGGCCGGCTTTGTAAAGAGGAATATTTTGTGGTAGGTTAATTCAGATAACACAAGTTTACACAAAGTACACAGAGATGTTATGGCACTGTTTACTACTGTGCTTCACTTGTAACTAACTGAACACCTCAAACTAGGTTAAAGGTTACTGGTTAATGTGTGATGTGATTACTTGTATAAACAAGATTCTTGTTTTGCTTTAGTGAGTGACTGGTGATTGATTTACCAATCAATCCATTCTTTCCTCTGTTTCCTTATGTTTTATCAGCTTGAAGAGATGGTTAATAAAAAGTCTTCTGCAAAATCAATGGTAAGGAATAAAAACTTTGATTTTAATAAAAAAAAAAAGTTGGAATTTAGAAGATGTAAAATTATGTGAATAAGTGAATTATTAAATAATCTTTTTTGACTTTTTATATAAATTATTTTTTTTTACTCATGTTCAGGCAATACGAGAAAACGAAAAGGAGAATCATGGCTGCCTCGAGAGGACCACACTAACCATGCATCTGTTTGGCTCCAGGGGAACTGGCCAACTTACTTTAAGTCAGTTCTCCAAGTAAGTTACTCAATGTTTGCCTAAGAGAAGTCATAAATATACAGACACATGCGTTACAGGTTACAATATAATACTAAAGAAAAGGGCAAACTAATTCTTGACTTTTATTATTCTTTTTAATAGATTTATGCAAGATGTTCAACTAGAGGTCCTTGAAATGGAAATATCCTTTAGTAATACATGCACTTAATATAACATCTGTGAAAACAGATGTATTTTCACGATTTTTGGTCACAAAATCTACGAGAACATTTCAAATTCCAGTTCAAAAAAAGTCAACACAACAAAATAAAAATAAATGTGAGATGGATTCTTACAGTTTACTATACCTAAACGAGAATAACGATGACAAAATAAGGTGGAGATCTTTCATGAGTATAACTCTCGTGTCCTGTGTGGTGGTAAATTTTCATTTAGGGTAGTGAGGGTGTTAAATTTGGATTTCGGTCGTGGATCAAACTTCGGTGATTTGAACATTGTGGCTACCCCACCAAGACCTGCATCTCAGACCATTGCTACAATGCGCCTGTCCATAGCTGGGTGCTCTTAAATCGGTTCCTTTCTGAAAAGTAAGGATCAGCAGTGTCGTGAATGTCCTGTTTAGCGCAAGAAAAAAAATTAGCTCGCTCGTCGAAAGACCAATGATGTGTAGAGAAGGTGTATTTCCAAGGTAAAAACCGTTAGTAAAATGAATTCCATAACTGTGTCCACTTTATGGAATATTCAAGGGGTATGCCAACCATACCAGAAGACAGTTTTGCTCGTTTGCTGCTGAGAAATACTTCGTTGGAGGAAGAGGAAATCCAGAAGTACTTAGACAGACTTGGAAAGAGACTGACTCAACGAAAGGTAGGATCTTTTTAATTTGTTACTTCTGTCATTAACTGTTAGTGGTATCGTAATCAGTTCAATTGCTTTTATTAAAACCCGGTTTCTTTGAAGTAGCATCCGTCCTGCAACACACTCGTCACATAACACACCCGCACGTAACTCGCATGTTGTGTGACGAATCTGTGTGGCAGCTGCGCATAGCAGGTTTCATAGTCGTAGGACTTTTGGCACGATTGAGACCATATGATGGAGTCATGATCTCTTGCGCCGTAACGTTACTCCCTTTCCATCCCTCCCTTCCACCCCTTCTTTCTCTCCAAGAGAATGCCATTTCTCCAGAGGGGAAGCATCATTTCGTAACGGGAGAATGGTTTCCATGTCAGCCCTTGTTTTGTTTTTACGATTGATCAGAAAGTTCTTAGTCAGTTTTATGCAGACCAGACTGCTGCGTTGAATACCTCTCCACATCATGTGAAGAGGCATTTAATTAAAAACCCATATGAGCCATATGAGGGTCTTATTTTCTACGACTTGATTAAGAATTCCTCAGTCTCAAAGGCTCTCTCCTTTCCCTGACTGGAAAAAAATATCGTGGAAATTATTCAACTGTCAACAACTTGTTTCTTGAAGGGAATTACTCTTGAGCAGTTCCTGAGGTTTGGAATGTTTCTCAACAACCTGGAAGATTTCTCATTGGCCATGAGAATTTACTCTATCGCTGGACAGGCCGTCACACAAGGTACGGCAACGAACATCAGTCCTCTGTGTTTTATATCTTGTTTTGAGTTTAGTTCGATTTGTGGAGGTGCGCACCGGGAAAACTCGTTCCTCTTTTACAAGTCCAAGCTTACTAACGGGAAATACTTGGTGAACATGGTATTTGAAAGTCACTCAGGTTTTTTTTCCTTTCTTGTTGTCATTATTGCTTTAACCTCTCACTCTTAAGATCTGATCACTATAATTCGCCCCATCTAGATGGTTTGGGGGGAGGGGGAGGAGGAGGGCTGGGTTTTTAGGGGGAATGGAGGGGAAGTCAGTCTTCACCATCAGGTTATAAAGGGGAGACTATTATAAATTGGCTGTTAACGAGGAGGGAATCGTTCGATTATTACAAAGCCTTATAGGGAGGGGGGGGGGAGAATCTATCGTGGTAGGTAAATTCTATCGTGACAACTAACATCCTTCCAGCCCACTCACCCCTCCCCTAGGCGATAAATAATGACCGAACCCCTGGCGATAACTATTTACGGATGAAAAGTTATCTAGTTGAAGTTGAAAGAGGCAGGTGTTTTTCCGTTTGAAAATTTACATTATGAATGTTTATGTGTTAAGTGAAATAATATTCGACATCCATCAGATTACGTTGGTACCTCTTAACAAAAGACCTATGCAAGTTTGATGTTTGCGTGTAACTTGTATTCAACTGAGTGCTCTAAATTGATAATTAGATTGATATATTTCGGAAGGGAACGGTTTTTGCGATTTATGTATTGAGTCGTCATTCCTTTTGCATGCCCTATCGGTCGCCTGTAACTACTGGAATACGCGCCACTGGATTTAATCTAAGTAGGAAAATCGCCAAACGGAGTTAAGTTGGAAGGTCTGTCGGTGACTCTTTCCAGACGTTTTTGTTTCCTTTACAATTTACACACAGGAAAAAAAATCAAACGAGCTAACTCTGAGATCCTTTCAAAGGTTGTGGTTGTCAGTGAAAGAGCTGCAAAATATTCTTTTGTTGCACGCAACACTGAGCCATAATTATTTTTTTTTGCCGGACTCCCGCCGTTTTGGCGGAACCGCATTTATCAGCCGGTGCCACGAGCCTGATGTAGGCTAAGGATGGGAAAAAATGTGTCTTAAAAAATAAAAAGAAAAAAAGGATAGAAATTTGAGTTATGTTGCGTCTTCTTCGTTGGCCTTTTTCGGTCAGGCTATGCTCAAGGTGTTATCCATGACCTCTTTTACGACGGAATTAATGGAAAACTGCCATTTAAAGTCGACCGATAATTGACGCGACTAAGTTTGCAAACAAATATATTTAAGGGTCTATGTTAGTTTTTCGTGACAAGTTTGACCTTGATCTAAATTACTGGTTTGAAGAGTAAAAGAGAGACCGAGTGGAGTTACTCCGTTCTTTGTTCGCCAGAAACATAGAACTCGCAAGAATTCTGCTCTAAAAGCTCTATTCATGACGCCATATATTATGGGGTTGATGGAACAACTGCCAAAGCCGAGATATATGTATAAAATGAAAACCTGCCGTGGGATAGCGAGCTTATGTGCCGAGAAAGAATCGACCATGTCAATAATAGCTATAGGTCCCCAACAGAGGATAAAGCCCAGCACAGCCGCGAAAAGAGCTTTCGTGATCTTTACTTCTTCGACGTTAAAGGGAAGAGTCGTCCCTTGTCTTTTACAGCTCATTTCGTGGTTGTGTTCTTTGATGGTTCTAAAAATCTTGTAGTAAGCGAACATGATGATTGCAATAGGAATCCCGATATAAACAGCATCCAAATACGTCATGTAAGCCATGTCGAGGTACGGTGTATCGAAGTCCATAAAACAGATCACTTTACCGTAGTGCACGATAAATGTGGCCCACTGAGCCATCGATGAAAGCCCCGCACCAAAAGCTGCGAAAAGTGTCATGGCAACCACAGAAATACACGTTGATTTTACTTTAAAACGCTGACGATAAAGGTTAGGTTTCACCACGCGAAAATATCGGTTCAAAGCCGTTGCAGTCATAAGCAGCAAAGAGTATAATGCACAGAAAAAACAAAAAAATCATTGGAAATGACAAACAGCACTGCTGAATGGCCACTCTCCTGTCATAAGAAGAACCACGGACATTGGCATACATAGGACTGCCATGAGAGCATCAGATATGGCCAGAGTGACGACGTAGATGTTTGGTATGGTGCGAAGTCGTTGGTTACGATACACAGCCCAGCAGACTAGCATGTTACCTATGAAGGCCAGAATATTGATAAACATCATAAGAGCACTTTCGAAGACAACCAAACCAAGTGATCTTTGCTGCAGCTCTTGAAAAAGAAGCGCTTGTCCCTCCGTAGCCATCTGTTCAAGAAAATTGTAACACTCTAGCAGTTGTGTAGCATGATTTTTTGGAAGCGTCGTGCTAGCGATGATTTACATCGTGACGACTGGTTAATTAGACAGCTGTTCCTTTTGAATCGAGAGGAATTCCTTGTAGTTAAGGAGTGTTAAAGTTGTTGCATGGGAATAAACCGTTATGACCACAGCGTTTAATGTGTGGCTATTCTCGGATAGAAAGTTAGCATTGTTTATCTGCGAAGAGGCAGGTGTGAGTTTGTTGCAGTTACTTCCTTTGTCAGGTTAATGAAGCAAGTTAATAAATTAATATTCAACTTTTTCGCATCCTTCACCAAAGACTTTTTATAATCGTGAAACAAATTATTTGACGGTAAAGTAAAGTAAAATATAATTAGAGTCATGTCTTCAAAGTTTAAACGTCTTAAAGTAGCCATAAATTTCGCGGGAGGTTGTTTATCGAACAGGTTAAAAACTTTCTACCCGAACAACAGCAGCTGCCGTACGTATAATTTCAATATTTTTATTTTCATTTTTCAATCTACAAATCATGGTGAATACAGAAATACAACAAAATTCAACAAGAAGACATCAACTCAACTTTATAAGCTTAATTAATCATATTGTTGTTTAGTCAAGTACATGCCTACAAACCACAAGTATATTTAGAACACTTGAAAGATAATCATCATGGGAAGACCAACAAGGAGGGCAATTGTCCGGATAAACTTTAAATGAAGAATAACAGTTATGGTTAATCATTCATAACAACAGTTAAATCCTCCGAGCTTGGAAGAGTCTCTTTCCTTGTGTTTTATTTTATGCTTTTGATAAGTTAGTTGCTATCGTAGGTGATCAGTCTTTAGCCTGCAGAGTAGACGTATTTTTTTTGGCGTTTTTCAGTCGAACAGAGGCCTGCACGAGGCGAGCGCGAAGTGTGAGTCACGTGTGAAGGGAGGAGCGCATATTTTTGTGCTCCTCCCCTAGCGCGTGCGCATGACTCGCGCTAATAACCTCACTAAACTTGCAAATAACTTGCGTATAACCTTACTGGTCGTAAATTGTCTTCACATGCTAATGATGCATGCGGCCCTGGACGTCGTCAATTGGAGAAAAATTCGGTAATATTGGCGGATCCCGCAAAACTACAACGCGTGGTTCACAAACAGCTACTGACGCTTGAATTAACATTTAAATTGAAGGAAAGGACTGGGAGATAACTGTCTACACTACTCAGTCTAGCGAGGGTATTATTGAAAAATTACATTTCAGTCAAATTTGATGTCAGCAACCCCGCCCTCGAAAAAACAACAACAACAACAACAACACCAATAGCCATTAGAAATGCGGTTAAGTAATTATTAATCCACACAAATGTAGGTAACGACTACTGACAACAATTACAAAAAACATTTACGTTAATGCAGAGGCATATTTTTTTCGTGGCACGCTGTAAGACAAAAAACTAAATGGTTATAGCCGATAAACTCCCTTGAAAGGTTTCTAACAATGTGCCGAAAACTGCCAAAAAGGTACCAGGAAATTTTCAGTGTCAAGCAAGCTTGATTTACTGGACAAAACCGGCTTTGTTCTGATCATAAAAGCGAATAACTAGTGTTTCTACTGGGAAAAAAAGTGATTTTAGAGTTACTACGGCTTGAAGCACCGAGACTATTGAAAATGTAGATGATGTTTTGTAATTCAGTTACACCCGTAAATTATTTGTAACAATTCTACATCTTAGATTTGGCTCTCTGCTAAACTTGATCTTATTTTAAGCAAACTGATCACAATTTGTGGCGTGCGTGGTGAAAACTGTGAAACACGAAAAGTTGAATACGTATATTTTCGAAGATTGGGTATACACAAGGTTTTATCGCATTTCCTTGAGCTAAATAGATAAGGGTAAATGGAAAGGGGGGAGAAACAAACAGAAAGCAAAGATTCATTAAGCCATTCGGGCAATATAAAGTGATTATAAATCAATCGATCGAACAAAAACATCAAATTCTCCTCCGGGTATAACCCGTATGGGCATTTCATTTCTTTGATGTTCCCGTGGGTGGTGCGTAAGAACTTGACATCAGTGGTTGATATCAGGGCCGTAGTGCTGGTGGGTGATTAGCACTAAGCGCCTAGATTGCTTTTTTTTACTACCTTACTTGGAGAAGTGATCGAAGCTTTAGAGGATTTTAAGAGAAAATCGCGTCCTTAAAAATAAAAGGGCGGAGGTAAAGGCATTGAGGAAGCTTTTTCGCGCGTAAATGGAATATTTGTCAGGAGTAGAAACAATTGACCCGAAAATGGAGTCTGAAAGATATAATCAAAGTGTACATTTTCAACTTTCCTAGAGGAAAGAGGTAGAAAATTTCGAGACATGAATGGATCCAAGCGTTGAAATGCGTGGGGGCTTAAAATTTATGATTCAGTTATTCTGTATCAGTTTGTGTGGTATATTAGGATTGTTAGGGAGTCTTTTTTTGTCGGCCCTAAGATGATGTCTCACTAGAATCTTCATTATGTTCCCGCATACACGATTTCCTGTGCCAAACAAATTAACAAATGATTACAATTAGTGTAAATTAAATGTTCTCATTGTTTTTAATGGTAATGAATGTTTGGCGATATGAGAGTGTTCGGTGATTTTTTTTAATCTTTTTAGGTATTTGTTTGGAGTATGGAAGATCTTTTCTTACAAAATTCGTCATTGAATAGACTCTTATTTAATTTCGTTTAAGGATTACCAAACAAACGAAGTACATGTAAAGAGAAACGTTTAGGCCACAAGAGAGTACTTCGGACGAGAAGTGTCATCTATTTCTCCTTGAAGCAGGAGAGACTGTTTCCTGCTTCAAGGCAACGGATACGGGTTACAATTGCCAGAAGTTAAACTGACATTTCAATGTAAAGAAGTAACTTTCATTTTCCGTCGTGTCTCAATAAACGCGTTTTAGAAGTGCGCGAAAATAATCTCGCTTTGTCATTTACAAGATCATTTCATTCGAATCGCCATCTTCTCGAGCACTTTACTTTCATTGACAGTGTTTTTTCTAAGTATGCAACATCTATTAGCACAATTTTGTTGCCGATGTTTGCTTGAATTCAAAAGAATCCCCTTTGCAAAGCTATCCTTAATAATTGTCTTTTAAATTTTTATACGCATGATGCTTAAGTGTTAATGAAAGCGGGTATGGCAACCGCTCAAGGTGAAAACACACGACTTTTCGAGTGAAAGTGATTCTCATTATTTCAGTGTTCGGTGTGGCTCCCAAAGAAGATCATTACCGGAATTTTCTATCGCTCGTATTAAAATAACACATAAGCACGCAAAACAGATTAATAAGGTATCAGGAAGTAAAACGGCCCTAATCCATATTTATCTTCTTTATGTGTACATCGAACTAAAGAAAATGTATAATGTCAAAGTTGTCAAGACGCTTCCAGGACAAATGGTGCGTGAAGGTTTAAAACGACTGTGTTTGGCTATTTAGTGTAAATGGCTGTTACAGAAGGAAACATATGTGCATGTCTCTTAATTTTTTGCGCCTCAGACTTTTACCTCTATTCCGACAGAAGTAACTGTATTTCTCGAAACCGTTTTGTTGTCGTTAAATGTTACAGCCTGTGATTGGTTCAAAAATATGTAACTGACGCCTCTTCTTTGAAATGGGTTTTAGTACTCTAGCTCATAAATGTTCCAATCGTTCTCAAAGAATAACTGATCGCGCTCTCCTTTGACGCTGTCCTAAAAATGCTTGTTTTTCATTTATTCACCCAGTTGGATATCTTCAGGCTATTACATTGCTTGAAGGCACCAGAGGAAAACTTATTTCATAATATGATAGTGTACGAGGTTTCGAAATACTTGCGATGCAATGAAAGTCCAGTTCGTGCGCTTCTCGTTTCACTAGTTACCGTTTTCCACGTCTAAATTTTCATGGAAATTATTTAATTTTGTCCCGGCATCCAGCCACTAAGAAAAAAATAAAGGAAACTCTTTCGTCCAGAGTAATTTGCTTCTCCTAAGGGCATTGTACTATGCGAATAGATTAAGTGTCTTACTCAAAATATATTATAATGAATTGACCTTTCGTCCAGTAGAGACCGTGTTTTACGTGTTTGCGTCAAATAAAGTTCAGGATATTGTATTTTCAAAATAAACATTTGCCTAAAAAATTGATTCGTTGATACGCCTACAATTCAAATCTATCAGGTGCGCGGCATGAAATCTAGAAGCGAACCTTTTTCACAAAATAAGTAACAAGAGTTCGGTATTCTTGAACGAAAATATGGATTTATGAAATTATATAAAAGCAATTCAAATAAATATATATCGTTGTTTATTAACTCCTTTTGTGTGTTTTATTAGAAGTATGAATTTTGTTTACACAAACGGCTTTCATTCACGCTGTTAGAATTACTTTTTTCCATTTTCGTAAAGATTATTTTAAAGGTCGCTGGAAAATCTCGATTTTCCCGGCTCGGCGTGCCACATGTGCTTTCTCTTCATTGTGAAAAAGACAGGGCAGCAACAGTGAAGGTCCCATCAAGTTGAACAACTTCATTCTTCCTTTTCCAGAAAGTTAAAACCCGTAGGAATTCTGCTCGAAACGCTCTATTCATGACTCCGTATATTACAGGATTAATGAAACAACTGCCAAAACCGAGATATATATATAACATGAAAACCTGCCGTGGGATAGCGAGTTTATGCGCTGAGAAAGAATCAACCATGTCAATAATAGCTATAGGTCCCCAACAGAGGATAAAGCCCAGCACAGCCGCGAAAAGTGCCTTTGTTATTTTTACTTCTTCCACATTCAGTCGAAGAGTCGCCCCTTTTCTTGTATTGTTCATCTCCTGATTATGTTGTTTGATGGTTGTAAAAATCTTGTAATATGCGAAGGTGATGATTCCAATGGGAACAGAGATGTAGATAACATCCAAATACGCCATGTATGCCATGTCCAGGTACGGTGTATCGAAGTCCATAAAACAGATAACTTTACCGTAGTGTACGATAAATGTGGCCCACTGAGCCATCGATGAAAGCCCTGCACCAAAAGCTGCGAAAAGTGTTATGGCAACCACAGAAATACATGTTGATTTTACTTTAAAACGCTGGCGATAAAGATTGGGTTTCACCACGCGAAAATATCGGTTCACAGCCGTTGCAGTCATAAGCAGCAAAGAGTATAACGCGCAGAAAAAACAGAAAAATCCTTGGAAATGACAAACAGCACTGCTGAATGGCCACTCTCCTGTTATAAGAAGAACCAGGGACATTGGCATACAGAGTACTGCCATGAGCGCATCAGATATGGCCAGAGTAACGACATAGATGTTTGGTATGGTGCGAAGTCGTTGGTTACGGTACACAGCCCAGCAGACTAGCATGTTACCTATGAAGGCCAGAATATTGATAAACATCATAAGAGCACTTTCGAAGACAACCAAACCAAGTGATCTTCGCTGAAGTTCTTGGGAAAGAATTGTTTGCCCCTCACTCGCCATTGTTCACGAAGCCAAGAAAATTTGTCTCAGTCGACGAAGCCTCCTGAATCTTTCAGCACCAAGAGCCACTCCTGTCCATGGATGTAAGCCGTATTCGATTTACAATCGGTTGATGTAATTTGCTTTCTCGCTGAGATCTGTGGGTGTATAGGCTATTCTTTAAACGATGCGTTATCTGCCCTTGTTAGGAAATGAAAAAGAGGCTCATTTAAAAAAAAAAAGGCTCATTTAAAACCCAGGTAACGTAATATTGTCTTTATCATACTGGGCACAATTTTGCATGATTTTGCATGAATTTTTTTGGTGTGAGCAGGTGCACATTTATCGGAAAAAGAAACGTAATTCAGTTGTTGATTAACAAAAAGGTAATCACTTTTAGAACAAGTGGTGACACTTTTATGGAAACTGATAACAATTGAGTAGATATTGCAGTTAAATTTCAAAGACCGCAAGGTTTTTTTTTTTTTTTAGGTAAGCAAACGGTTTATCATTGGGGCTTATTTTTCAAATGAACCCGACGAAGTTCGTGTGATTCAAATTAGCATTTTGTTTGCTCAAAAAAATACTCGGTAAGCGTGGAGTGGTTTCATGGAAACAATTCTTGTGTGTATGAATAGAAATGTCACCATTAATGTGACTCAGGCTTAAGATTAGCAAACAGGAAAGTGATTATACCGGAAGAACGATTTGTATGATTTGTATATACTGAAAACTTAACGCCTGGAGGATACTGTATTAGTATTTTTCAACGAAACCAGTTTGAAATTTAAGAAAAGCAAAAATTTCAGGAATTTTTTTTTAATAAAAAAACAGGGACACTTATTACAATATATTGAAACATAATACCTCGAATAATTAAACACCAATTTAGTGCATGTAAATCAATTCTGATAACTTTGACGTAAGGGAGAAAAATTTCGTTGTATGAGTCAAATTTTAGTAAAACGAGTTTGGGTCTTTTTTTCGTTTTGTTTTCTCTTTTTTCGTGATATTTTTCAATTTTCAAGTCTTTTGCCTTTTTGAAATTCATTAGACAGAGCTGCAAATTGTTATTGGTGTCATTCCGGGACAAAAATTTTTAAACGAATCTTACATAATGAATTGAATTTGTTTTCAAACTCTTTCGGTACACGAGGCGGTTTCGAAATTGCCAGTCCAAGCAACTTATAGGATATAGGATGAGTGGTCGACAGTACTTACCATTCTTTGCAGAGAATTGATCTCTCTCAATGGTTTTATTTCTCTCAGGCGGGACGAAGGTTATCTTGAGCACTTTCTCTAAACATACCCTATCACTTGTGTAAATAATTTTTGTCGAAATCAAAGCATAATTAATCTTTCTCTTTACAGTAAATGCACGGCCCAGGTATCAAAAAACTCGTCTAGTATCCGATCATGTTTGTGTGTACTTTCGACGTATTTCACTACAGAGATAACGCTGTTGAAGACTCCGGTCAGTGGCAGTTTGGCTCCTGTGCACGTTTTTCACCTACAAGGCGTAAACATAGATTTGATCTGACGTTAAAGAAAGTAATCTGCAGCCTAATTAATTTCATGTAACATCGACAGCTGTCATAAAGTCTAAATTAAAATTTGAACAATTTGTCAGTATCCATTATATATTTTCAACACAGCCTGCGAGATACTTTTTTTATTCCAAGATGAGACTCCCATAGTATTTGAGTTGAGTTCAAGAAAGAGAGGAAAACCGACACAATTTCTTAATTAACTTTATTCGGTCGGTTTGACGGGTTTCTTCAATATGTATCCTCGTTTCCTTACACATTTCGAGATTTAAATTGGATTTTTTTTTACCTCAAAAGCAAAAATAAACTTCACACATCATTTCGTGATACACGTAATTGTAATTAACGCAGAAAAGCTCATTACAGCTTAGATATACTGCTAACAATGAACAATGACGGTCGTTAGAGAGAATTTCAAACTGCCTGCACAATAATTTGCCTCCATTTTGCAATTAATCGCGTAAAACGTATGTAATCAGTGATCAGATGAAGGTGAGAACAGCTCAGGCTTTGTGTTAAATTTTAGTTAGCTCCCAGTAATGCTCAATTTTGATTTACTTTTATTTTTGTTGTGCTTGTTTGTTTGCTTTTTCGGTTTTGATTGAGTTGTAAAAGCGTTTAGCCTAAAAATGAGGGTGTTTATCGCTGATCTCTTTGACACTAATGAGCTATTTATGTTTCAACACTCCTCCATTCCATTAGCCGGCAGAGCAGGCGTGATTTTGGTGAGCGAGTGCGTAGATTTTTCTTGGTGAAAATTTTAGCGGCCACATCTGATATTTACAGTAGCGGAGGGATGGGGAGAGAAAGAAATTTGTACCAAGGGAGTGAGCGACAGTCAAAAGTATGAAGAGAGGAGAGGGACGGGGCATCGGAACCATTGTTGTTTGGGCTTAATTTGTTTGCAATTGAATAAGAATTTCATGTTGAACGTATTTTACTTATGGTTACTCCTTCACTCCACAGAGGAATTCCAGAGAGCTGTCCGTATCTCAACAGGGCAGACATTGGACCCGTATGTAGTTCACACGGTATTTCAGCTATTCGATAAAGACGGTGAGATTTTTATTTTTGTACTTCGTGCAGGGGAGACTCGCTTAACCACCTTCCACCGGCCTCGTATTACGAACACTTCGTGTATTACGACCTTTTTGTGCTCTCCGTGGGAATTAAAAATCAAACCCTTTCTTGACTGAGGTGCCTCATTACCACGACCAGCGCTTTTGATATATACGAACAACTCTCCACTCTTTCATGCTCAGCACACTTACCGCTTGCATTCATAACCCGTTCTTTACACACCTTCGTAGTTTGAACCAAGTGTCAGATGGCCAAGGGTCATGTTAATACTTAAGCTCCTAAGACAGTCTAATTCGTAATTTTCCTTACACACATTTCCCTATTTGCCTGTCGCAGTTTCCGTCGTTGTCATCTTTTGCTGTATAGTGAATTAATAGTGTAAATGAAAGTTATTTGTAAATCACATCAGCAAATTAAAGGAATAACTTAATATTTCCAGCCCAGTGTATTTCCTTGCCGAAGAACACAACACACGAGGCTTGCAATTCGGATGTTTAGATCCATGATAGTGCGAAGGTAGTAACTCTCAGCCCATGAGTTCCTTTGCGAGGATAACAAGGTGTTTTTGGGAGAAATTCAAGTTTGCCTCCACCTCCAGAACTACTCGTACTGGTACAAGCAGCGGTTCTTTTTGAATTAGCAAGTAATGTAACGTCTCTTCGTTATTCTTCAGGTGATGGTAAACTAAGTTATAGCGAGTTCATAGAGTTGATGAAGGATCGCCTCAAGCGTGGATTCATGGTAAGTGTTTTAGTTTTGGAACACAACTTTAACATCTTAAGGTCCACGTTTACGTGGCTCTTAGCGTTGTATGACGCGCGTTTTCTCCGCGCACGAGATGACATGAGACGATTCTGGGAGAGATTTACCGGGAGTCTGGTACTGATAATAACTGATAATCAACTATGATGAAACAGATAAAGTTTTACTTTAGGAAAAGATAATCTTCGAATTCGGGAGATAGTGGACGCCCCCCCCTCCCACCCAAAAAAAAAAAACCTTTAAGAAGCATTGGCGGGGGTACTAGTGCAAATAATGCACTGTTTAGTAGTGAAGGAGTCTGTTCATCTGATCCGGACGTTGCATGTAACTTCAAATCCCAAACGGGTCAAGCTTCACTTAATTCTGTAAGTTAATTCCAGAAAAAATGGTCAATTCATAGGGCGTTTTGGTCCATTGCATAGCTTAAAACTTGTTGGGACTGGTCTGTAGAGTTGATAAAGGCTTCAAATCAACCGAACATTGATTTCTTTCAAATCAATAATTCATTCGTTTATTTGTACATGTGACGTAGGTAAGACATAACATACAAAGTAAGGTTTAAGAATGAAACTAGAAAAGAAATTGTATATATCATGTATGTACCGCTATTATTCAAGGCTTACAAATATGAATATTCACTAAATACTTAAAAAAGCTGCTCTTCCAATCGTCTTTCTGATCTTAATCAAAATCTTTCTCCTAACTTCCGGTTTTAAAGAATTCTATTCTTTAGCAGTTTATTCGTGTAAAAAAATTCCTTTTGAGATAAAGAAGACCCCTAGGCATATCAAGAATGAGTCCATTCTATTCGAAAAAATAAGGTTACCTGTACTCTTAGCCAATGCATTTTGATGTCTTGCGAGGCAGATTCTCCCGAAAAATGCCTTCGCCAGGTTTTCCAGGTTTATCCGAACGCAATCTTTTTTAATTCACCTCTGATTAAGTCCCTCTTTGCCCCAGCTTTACCTCTCTGTCTCTGTGATCTGTTTGAGTTTTCGCTTCAGGCGTTAAGGCGTGGATACTATACTTTGGTGATCCCAATAAACTCCCAGGATTTGATGTATTTGACAGTTCTCCCTTTCGGCTGCTCTACTTAACAATTGGTTCATACGTTAGCGTGCGTTCATCGAGATATGAAGCACGCGGGAAGTTTGGAGAGCACGAAAGATGCGTAAGAGTTGCTCGCGGCGTAGCCGCGAGCAACTCTAGCTTCTTGTTGTCTTATTCTTGTTAATCAGTGAAGAGAATTGGGAGTTGCATCAAGATAACACCGTCTGTCAGATGAGTTTATCTATTCCTATCATCTGCTTGTTGTAGAATGTACTGAAGTCGTTAGATGAAGTTACATTTTGGTCATACGTTAAAGGGTTAATCACGTGCCAATAGTAGCGGCCTTGTAACTGTTTTCAAACGAGAGCTCATTTTTACAGCTTCTATTTTTTTCTTTTCGTTATTTCTTTCTTCCTCTCCCTTTCTCTTTACTTTTTGCTTGACCCGTTCCTTTTCTTATCAGTCAGTTATCAAGCACGGGCAGGTATTCTGGCAGATATATTTTCTGTAATAACAAAGCTTAGTGTTGTTGTTTTTGGCCGTTGAAAGTGATGCTAATCCCTCTGTAACCTACAAAGTAGCGAAAAATCAGCTCATGGTTGCCTCTTCATAAGAGCATGGGAAGACCTGTAAGACGAAATGACCGGCGCCGGGCGAATATTTCCCCAGATGAGCTAGAGGATCCAGGGTTGAATTTGAAGCATTTATGCGGGTCCTCAACTGATGAATGTGATGAACCTTTTTTGTCAATAGGCACGGTGACGAGGAACTGGCCATAACATGTTGATACTTGTCTGTTTGGTGCCTCCGTGGCTCATTAAGTAATTCCAGTTGTGGAAACAAAGCTTACCCAGGGAAAAGGAGGCTTTTTTTAATCTGATTCTTCCGTTATCAAAGTGATACATTGACCTTTTTCTAGAGATTTTAAAGAAAGTCTAGCTTTAGTCCAAATACCAGCACGTTCGTGATTCAAACTTTCCTATCGAAAATACAGAGTTGGCTGAAGCTTAATCATTGAGTAAAGAGATGTCGGTGTTTTCAAACCCAATTTTGGACTCTGCCGTAACTTAGTGTCTGTGCATAGTAAAATTAAGCCTGAGTATTGTTCTTCATTTGCAATGCGGGAAAATTTTCCTCATTCCCAACCATTCTGGTTCCTTCTTCCATTTTTGAGTTATTTTTCCTCTTTATGGTTTTTCACTGCACTAGCAGATGATTTCATGTATTTTGAGCCGTCCTTTTGGGGTTTTCTCCGTGACTCTGTTCAATGTGTCGTGATATTGTGGTTTGAGTGAGACTTGAAACTCAGGAGGGTGTCTTAAAGTTATAATATTTCCCTCTTATTGTCGACAGAAGGGAATCCTTCCGCGAACGTGGTTCTCAACAACAAGGGACTTTGCCCAGAGTGTTTTGATTGTCATGTTTATCCGGAAGTGTCAAAAAAAACACTCGGAAAAACTTGAGTCGATTTATTTTTTCTGTTCACAGGAAGCACAGTGTGTCAGCACAGCAGTTTTTAAGCGTTTTATAAATGTTCACACGTAGATACAACTTCCGTGGTGCTGTTCAAATAACAACACTTATGTTCCTTGTTTGTGAAAATGTCAACGGGTAGCGAACACACGGGTCTAATTATAAGCGTGACGGGAAGTCATCAACTTGCGTGACAAGTTTAGTTTCAGTACCAAATGCGTTTAGTCACACTTGAGCTATAACGCCGGTTGATAGTATTGGTGTGAGTTATTCATCGTATTTGACAGGTCTCTTCAGGCTCAGTGGTTTAAGTGTGAGCTCTTGTCGTGTTAGTAAATCTCTTCAGTACTGTATCTTTTTCTTAGCCCTCTTGGCATTTTGTCAGAAGTTTTTCAAGTGTCTTTATTGCCATTCTTCGGACCGTTCTCGGTCCTTGATTGTAGAGTGAATTGTGCAGTGGTAACTACTCAACTTTTAAATCACATTTTTCTCAGTAAAATCTCTGTTGCCGTCGGAATTGGGACCTACTTCGAAGTTTCTGTACCTTTTTAAACTCGTTTAGGTCAAGTGTAATCTCTGTGAAGTGTTAATCTATGTTGAAACTATTTAATACCTTTTTTTTTTTTTTTTTCTTATTGTCTTTTTTTTCCAATTTCGCTCCGAAATGATAAGTACTTATTTTTAATTTTATTGACACTCGAGTATGTGGTATGTGAGGTGTTTATTTTCTGATGTGTTCCTTCGTCGGAATGCTTTGTGCCGCCACTGATGTCGTGGAGTTTTGTATATAAACACAATTGTATCCTTGCAGTGAATTTATGCAGCGTAATGTAATAATATGTATCCATCAGGTACCAAATCGTCTTCGTTTAGGTCAAATGTCGAAACTAAATACATTAATCTTGTAATGTATCTATTTCAATGACTGATGGCGACGCCTTATTAGCAGTGAGATGAACATTAAGTGTCACAGTCATTTCCTGTCTACAGATCGCCTTGTGTGGCATGGGATTGATTGAAGTATGGTACTAATTTGTGACTTATGACTTAAAGAAGAGGTGCGACCGGTTATTCAAAGTGGCATCTTAGTGAAATCTCTTATATAAACAGGTCCCGGCGTCAGAGAAGACAGGCTGGCAGGGATTCAAGCAGTGTATCAAGAGAGAGATGTCCTTGTAGCAAGGTCGGGGACTAGCTGTTATTTATTAAAATTTTCCTGGTTTGGCGTGAACTGTCAAACAAACATAGTGTTTGCAACGCTCTAGATAATGAAAACTGAATTTCCTGCATACGAATGGAGGAAATCAAACTAACGTGCATGTAAAATGAATTTCAAGTGAAGTAAAAGATTTCAAAGATTTCCTTTTGTTTCAGTTATATTTGACCAGTGTTGGTTATTCTATCGCGAAGAAAATACTTTATAATCAACGAAAACCGAGTGTACACCCCAAATATTTGCATGGCAGTTTCACGGGTTTCAAGGCTGTTAATGTTTATTTAACTGTAACAAAATCCAAACATTAGTTTTGTGTTCCCAATTTAAGACTGCTGAATTGTTTCGTGTTTGGTTCTTATGGTTCCACAGAAATTGGATGAAAATGGATACCCCTGATAGTAATTGCCTTCTTTCGGCTTAAATCCCCGAAAAGATGCGAGTCCTGCTCTTAAGTCCAGTGATACAATGTTTGTTACAACAAACTTCAATTATACTTGTTCATGTAATTAACTATGTTCGATGGAGATGATAGACCTCGATCACCACTCACCAAGAAGTGTTGACAAGACCATCAAGATGTACACCACTAACAGGTACATCTGATGACATCTGCTCCCAGAAAAACGTTATCATTCCTCTCCGGAAACGACTATTAATTAATGATTAGCGGCCATTAGTGTCGAGTGTGGCATGATAATGAACACGCTATGATTATTAATGCATTATGCACTGGAACCACAAGATGTCTTGCTCTCGTGGACGAGGGCAGCAATTAAAGGGACAATGATTTATTGTCCTCGCCAAGCGGAGTCCAGATTGCGTGTAGTCGTGGTCTCATTTGCGGTTTACCCAAGGAAAGCAGTGTTTTTACGAGGTGATCGGTAAAACAGGATAATGCAAGGGGCGGCAGTAGACAAACATTCTTACTGACAAGTCTCAAGTTCTTATCTCAATTAACTATACCTTTTGGATTGTTCTAGATGACGTCATGAGGTTAAGTGGCGGGCTAACGACATTCAGCGTTTGGCAAAAAACAGGTCTGCTCCGAGCGAATTGTGATCGCTTACTCAGAGAATTTAGTTGTTTGCATCGAGTTGCCTAAAGCCGCCTTAAGAAGGAAACGATCACTCGAGAGTTCACCAAAGATTGCGTGTATATTGAGATTATTCGCCTACTCGCCCCCCTTAAATCGTCGACTCGTCTAAGCTCGAATGGTAAAGCCGCCTAAAGCCTTTAATCATTCGATCAATTTGTCTCGAGAATAGCTTTGAAATTCTTGCGTATATGCCACATAAGATGGATATATCGCTATTTATTTTCAGAGGAGACCGCGAGCGGTTTGTGTAGGATGCGAAAACTGTTCCCTCTTGTCTTTATCGCACGAATCCCATCAGTGCATCACGCAACGGTAGCAAGAGCTGTCTGGGGTTGAATCAGATTTCTTGAAGTCACATTCCATCGCTCTCCTCAAGTGCGCGCGTTCTGTTGATTATCAAGACACATATCAACCTTGACTCGTGGTGATCTTACGTAGGGTATTCAGTGACCATTGTGGCGCCCGTATGGCCATGTCAGTCTCAGTAGCACTTCCTTTCTATACGGCATCTTTGGCCCTTCTTATTGCGTTCGGTATCCTACGGTTTCTATTCTGTACCTTGGTGTTCCGAAAGCTGGTCGTTAAACTGTTCATCAAGTTTGCAGGATGTGAAATCAGCCAAGAAGTGTACGGTAACAGTTTGTTTGGATGGGAGATGTATAAAGCGGTGACGGCCGCTTTGATGACAGATCTGCAGAAAAAAGCGAAGCTCGGTGCAGAAGCACCAAATCCTTGTGTTGTGTCGGCCGACGGCCAGTTGCGTTCAAATTTATTGGACTTCGCCAAGAAGAGCAGGCCGTTGGTGGTGAATTTCGGTAGTTGCACTTGCCCTTTCTTCATGGACAGGCTGAGAGACTTCAACGAGATCACGGCGGATTTTAGAGATATAGCTGATTTCGTCGTCATTTATATCTCCGAAGCGCATCCCTCAGACGGTTGGGCTTTCAAGGTAATAATAAAAGCCAAAATTTATTTCTGAGATACCCAATTTGTTGTATAATCCTAGTAAAAATGTTACTTTAAAATCGGGGCATAGGTTACCGACTAGTGGTGGCTTCAAGCTTTATCTCATTCTACCACGCGCTTAGATCCGTAGTATTGTAGTGTATACGTTCGTATATACGTATTTGAATTCGAAGAACCGTGAAATTAGACTATACAGTTTGCTGTCTGTAGAGGAAGCCCTGTTTGAATAGTTAATTAGTGAAGGAATGAGCTCGGACTTTGCTCTGACTCGTATATTCTTTTTACATCACGATCTAGACTGACTTCCACGTGAAACAGCATCGCACTCTAGAGGAAAGAGTCCAAGCAGCTCAGCTGTTTCAGGACGCGTCTAAGCTAGAAACTCCAGTGTTGGTGGATTGTGTAGATAACGAAGCGAACCAAGCGTATGGCGCACTGCCAATCCGACTGTGTATTATCTTAAATGGAAGAGTTGAATTTGTTGGCGGGATGGGTCCGACATTTTACAGAACACAGGAGGTCAGACGATGGTTAACGAAATGGAGGGAAAGTGAATTGAACGTGTAACCGTAGTCCTATATACCTTCACAATTATTCGAAGTAGCACAGTGAGATACAAGGACGAACACTGAAAACGAAAGTTCAAGCACGTGTATCGCCTTCTTTCACTGTCGCTGTATCACTTACAGACAAGAATATCATGAACAACTTTATAAGGATTGTAATCAAGGGGCTAGTGACGACCGCACGACAAACACTAGCCGAAAAGCCTAGAGCTACATACCCTGTACGCTCGTAGGTTATCATATTCAGTAGACCTGAAAATCTGAATGCTGCCGTAAAGGCGGGTATGGAAGATAAATTTGACACGAACGTTCTCACATGCTTCACTCGAGAAGACAATATTTAATAACCATACATAATTATATTACTCTCGTTTCGTCGTCATCAGAGTTATCATAAGTTTTTATTCAATACAGAATTTCTATTGGGTAAAAGGTAAACAGTTTCTTTTAGTTTCAGTTGTCCTTTGCGAGGTTTATATTACCTATGTTGTTCCCTACAAAGGCAATGTCACCAGTTTCGTGGTATTTGCCTGAAGGTTAAAGGAACGAAAATACGATACAACTATTTTAATCTTGCCCTGTGCGGTCATTGCATTTGTGTTGTATAACAAAACAAAAGAACAAGGTGCGAAATATAAATAACAGCTAAAAATTGAATCTTGCTGCGAGTCTTAATCCCCTAACCTCGTTCGGCGATCATTTTTTACTTCACCTTAGAATATACAAACATGAAATCTAATTACGCGATTTTCAAGCCATCATAAACCGCGGAAAGTTGGTAAATGTCAGGAGACGTCAAGTTTCATTTTTTTTGTGAAGGTTGTTTATCGCAAATCCGGAAAAAGGTACACGTTTGGTTGACACTTTCAACTTGACCGGAAGATTAGTGTCCATGAAGTCAATCCTAGATGATGAAATATAACATATTGCCGAGGAAATACCTACAAAACTAATGCTATGAAGTGCTACAAACAAAGCTCTTTGTTTAATTACCAGTTGTTTTCTTGTTGAATGACCCTGGAGGGTTTGCAAGCATTAAAACGTTTGCACCTCTGCAAAGTTGGCATCACGCGATGATTTTCTCATTGAACGCCACCGCCAGAAATCCAAACACGGGTGATTTGAGCTCACCGGGGAGAGCTCTCGTATTACGTGCGATAATCTCTGATTGTCGAGACCCTGTTTAGAGAGAAATGTTTACGAAATTCATCGCGTGACTATCGAGTCTGGTAAACAGCCTTTGTTTTAGCGCGTGTGCGCGAGATCATCTAGGAAGTACCTCCTCATCTCTTGATTTACGATCTAACGATCGATTGGCCGAGTGTTGATGACTGAAAACCCCCACTTGAGAAGAGTCGTTTTTCTCTAAGTGATTTCTCTCGCTTGAATCCATTTGCGGTACAATTCGTTGGCGACGACTGATTGCTTTCGCTAATCTACATTGTCCTTGATCACGTTTCTCAGCTATAGGGCTTCAAGCATGGCATTGTTTGCTTGAACAGTTTTTAGTGTACTTCCTTTTTGGCTGGGAACCCAGTCGTTTAATAATTACTGTTCAAATTTCGATCAAATGCATCATATTGTGACACATTTCAGCACTCACAGAATAAAATGCCATGCGAAATCTGGTGAAAACACCGACTTCCGGTGTCGAAACGAATAACATCGTGGAATAAACAAATTAAGAAAAATAGTTTGTCACGGATGAGAGAGATCGTACCGAATTGAGAGAAAATTTCCAATTTTTTTTATGAAAGTAAAGAAACCAGTGTGAAGCTGTTGAAGAGACTTTAAACCTTTGGAAAAACCGCCTAAGAATAATTTCAATTCCAGTTCATTCATCATCTGACATTCGAGTTAACCTCGCGTGATAGATACATTACGATCGCGTGAATTTGAACCTTACGTCATAATTTGTCCAATTTTCTCACGAATGTAGCTTTTTACCTTCTTATCTGGTTGCTTGTATCACGTCTGAAACGCAAAATGTTTTCCTTGAACTGGTCTTCATAAGGAATTACCTTTTAAACCTTCCGGTATTTTTTCAGAGTATATGATTAATATTTTCTTTTTGTCTAGAAGATGCAAGACGGATAGGTAAAAAACCGCCGAATTAGAATTCTTGTAGATGGATTTTAAAAGAATACTTGAAACTATAAGCCTTAGCTATGCAACTGGTACTTCTGTTGTCATAAATCTCCTCTATGCGAAAAGATTGATACGAAATAAGAAAAAAAATGAATATTTTTAGATTGGCAAGTCGCTTCTGAGAACTTTCACTGTTTTAAAAGATGGCCTCTACTTTGAGTCAGGTTCATCGTTTCGTCTATTATCTCAGACGATTTAAAGGGATGATATATTTTTTTTTTGCACAGAAGATTCCTTGCAAGTTTATATCAGCTTTCGTAGGAAACGGCTTTAGAGGAAGTTGTAAACATCTTTGGATTTCAAAGGGTAACTAGATATTTCTAAACATACATCCCTGGAATAGAACCAAACTTTGTTTCATGCAAGGACCCTCCTTGTGAACGAAACTAAAAAAGCGCTAGCAAGACGCACGCAAGAAGTATAGAAGTATCCGGTTTTAAATTCAAGTCATTTCTTGACCGTTGAAGGATTGCTTCATTAAGAAATCAAAGAAGCGGTAAATCACAGACTGGTTTTGGAGATGAGGGCAAAAAGGGGGCAAAATTAGTGATTATCTCTCTTCTCCAGCTCTCGTGGTTTTCCCAAATTACGTGCTTCCAAAACAGAAAACACGACCGAACTATTTATAGAAGTTATCTTTTATTGATTTATAAACAGTAGAAGCTAAAAAAAAGAGGGAGCATTTATTTATTCCTCCGTAAAGACTTCCAGATGTGAATTTCTCAGTTCGATGGTTTTAATTTTGAAAGACTTAATTTGGTGATGATTGCCACAAACACTGACCGTTTCAATAGATATGATAAAAATAGACCGTTAACTCAAAAAAGGGCGATAATTTGACTAAAAGAGAGGAATATAAAAAGCATCTGCTCTGATGTCGAATATGGAAGAAAAATGCTTTCAGCACTTTACATTTAAACAGCAGGAGGCACACTTATGGTTACTGCTTTGTTGCGCCGCATAGAGCACGACACATATGTGTATAGCCAATGCAAATGTTGTTACGTTCAAAGGTGTTGGTTATCGAGGAGTTGAAGCACTTGAATCAAGCTATCCACGTATTCTTGGACTCGGCAAAAAAGCCTCTCTCGCACCTGTGCCTTTCACTTTACCACACAAACTAAGTTGCAGAGAAAAAAAATCTAAAAAATTTGAGCCACTGAAAAAGCGCAATTTTTAATTTAAAATATGTCGAAAATTTAATTTAGGTAGTCAGAAACTGAAACAGGAGTTATTTTGTTATGTACACAACTCCCGTCTCATGGAAATGTGCGATAAACATTTCACGGCAAGAAAAGTAAACACAGATTTGCTTTATAAAGGGAAAATTATTTTATAACTAGTTTTCAACCCCTTCAAGATAAGATGCACTGCTATAAATTTTGGCTAAGGCCCGAAAATGTTGCAATCAACAGCAGTTGATGATTTTTTTCAGCTTCTAATAACTACAAACAAATTAATTTCAACTCTTTGCGATGCCTGTATGAGTTGTTCAAACATCGCGTGATTTCATTGTATCTTTCATCAATTCGAGAAAGTTCAAAACAAAAATATTTCACCCATAAGCTTTCATACCGGGAAAACAATACAGAAGTAACTGGAGAACTTGCTCCTTCTTTGCAGAGTTTGATTAAAAAAAGTTGAACATATCGTGCAACTGAACAAATGATTTCAGTGAGAATACTTTGATCGCGTGACCTCAATCTTCGACAATTTCGCTTGTTCGCTGAATGACGTAATCAGAACACGACTGATCACAGCACACTGCGTGTAAGCTGGACACAAGGGGTCCGTCAAAACAAACTTCCCACAGAGCTTAAGCGACAAAGGAAATGAACTTAACTGCGATCTTCCTTCAGCAGATTGTAATCTCGCACGCATAGCGACCTACAGTCAGATAAACAAGGAAAATTAAAAGGGAACATTTCTCGATTGCGGTAAATATTGATCTACGCTTGTTTGCATTTGAGTGGGAAGCGTCCGACTTTCAGGCACCGAACTGCTAACACATAGTTTGCAGTGACATCAACTCGAAGATTCAAACCGCGACGCTGGCCATCAAGTGTATTTGTATTGGAAATAGGTTTAGAGACGCAAAAATGTTCTCTTTTACTGATTAAGTAATTTTGTAGGAGGGAAAAATCACTCCAAATCGATTTCCCCTTGTGCCACTTCAAATTGTTTTGTTTTAGGCCCATCGCCGTCATCGTTTCATTGTTTATCACTCAGTTTCAACGATTATTAACACGTAATTTGTGTCAAAAGGAACATAAACCTCACTCACCGCAAGTCACGATACCGATTAGATTAAGTCTTCTTGCAAATTAGTAATCATGAAACGCGCGCAAATTCTAACATGTCTTTTCTTGCTACGATACAAAAGCAAAATTTAAACTAGGAGCGAAATTTTGCCACAGGTTCGTTTGCGGACAGCGCGCATGATTGACAGCCCGTACGCAAACAAAAAATCTGTAAGGTCTTGCAAGAGTGCTGGCTAGAATTATGTAATTAAAAATTACTCTAGCAGCGATTCTGGAAGGTTTGCAAACCGTTCTGGAGTGATGGAGACCCCTTAATCCACACTTCTCGTCCACTCGTAAAAGTGTTCATCGAACCCGACTGAGTCGAGCTGCTGCTAAAAGTGCTAATTTGATCGATTGATAGACACTAAGCCCCTACTAAAGAATTGCAAACATTTAAACAGTTGCCATTGCCTTCCGGCTCTCGGTCTCAAATACAATGTTATTAATTAAGTGAATTCTGCGAGTTATTTACCGGAACACTGTAATACGCGTGCCACAAAAGTTGGCAAAAAGGATCCGAAACGTGTCTAGGAACTGGAAAAAATCTGCGGATTGCATGGATTCGTTGGCCAAACCAAAGGATTACAGAGGGAGAAAACAAGCTCAATCAGATTTTAGATATTTGAGGTGGACAACAAGTTGACTTAACCCTGGGCTGCCTTAGAAGGCGGGTAAAATCAACATGGGCTATAGTTGTAAATGCACGCAATCTGTCTTAATCACCTGGAGGTGACAGTCCAATCAGAGTTCACTTCATAGCACGATAAAAATTCCTTTTAGAGAAAAATTTGGGGGAGCGGGTTGGAATGTACCGCTTCGCTGGCTCAAACCGGGCAATCGTGTTGAAATCGAGAGGCGTAAAGTACGTCAAAGGACTCGTACACTTGGAATAGACTAGTTAACACGCGTTTTATTTACATTCGTGTTTTCGCACGATGGATTGACTAGTTGAGCTACAAAGGTTCCCTTTCATCAATTATTATGCAGAGCTTAGAATTAAAGTTGTCGCGACCGTCTAAGACGCTGTTTCTACAGATCAGTGACTCAACTGCTTGTAAGTAAGTTAAAAAAAAACATTGCAGTAACGCGGTCTACCACGGCATCAAAACACGTCAACAAAATCTCTTTGTTTGTTGCTACCTCGAATCTACCTTAGATATAAGTGTTTCTTTCGACATCGTTCTTGGTCATTGTTCGAAACGTTTGCAGCGAGGATTCCCAGATCTTTTCGTTGATGCATTGTTATAAACTTCCGGTTTTAGTCATTTATCCTAATTGTATTTCCTTGCGTGGCTTTTTCGATGGAGATGCATTTGTCATTAGAGTCTTGTTTGTTCCTTGACGCAGTTGTTCCCAATACTTTACGCCCGATGACGGCCAGTTTTCATAAACTCAACCTTGTATTCCTTAAGCCACTGTCTCACATTTTGTGGGTCGTAGAATGTCGGTCCAGCTAAACCAGCAAATTTCACTTTCTTGTTCTTTATCACGTAAAGTCTGATAGGTAACCCAGCGTATGCATTATTAGCTTCATTCTCCATTGTATCTATCATTATGGGACAGTTAAACTGCACAGAGTCCTGCATGAGCTTTGCGGCTTGGCATCTATCCCCTAAGGTCTTGTGGGTTGAAATTTCGACGTTGTTCTAAGTATGAGATGGAGAGATTTAGTCAGTTGACGCGGGTATCTATATCATTTGGCAAAGGTTGCACTTTGACAGTCACTCACATAAGGAAACTTCTAAGGGGCGTGCACATATGATTTTAATTTATCTAGGAAACTGAAAGGAAATAGTTTTTTTAAAAGACTTTGTATCTCACCTCAAAGGCCCAACCGTCCGTTGGATGAGCTTCCTCGACGTAGATAGAAAGGAAATCAGCGACATCACTGAATTCTTGCACTACGTTTAGAAATTCGCCCACCCTTGCTCTGAAAACTGGACAAGTCCAGCTGCAGAAGTTGACAACTAGTGGACGGCTCCCCTTGCAAAAGCTAAGCAGTCGACTTTGCGACTCTCCGTTTAAGGAAATTAGGAGAGGGTCCGGAGCAGTGTGGTCCTTTCTTGCAGTTTTTTGCAGCTCGAGATGGATGGAATTGCGCACAGATTTTAACATCTCCCAATTGAACAGTGAATTCCAGTACATTTCCTTTGGCAGAGGTACTACTGATATCAAGTCCATCATTTTAATAACGATCGATCTCGTTCTGGGCAAAATGCTGAGAACACGTAGGAACGAAAATGCCACTAAAAGAAGCAGTGTTGCCGCGCAATGCACAAACGCGCTACTGCTCATTTTCCGCGACATATTTTTTCCTCGACGAAGCTGCAGAGCTGGCGAGTCAAAGCTCGTGTGTATCTCCTCTCGAACACTTTCCCTGGGTTTGAGGACCGCAATGACAGCGTATTTATACAGCACCGAAGGAATGTCAGTAATTTTGTTTCTCTTAAAAACACTCATTCGACAAATCTGACCTCACTGATGAACTTTCGCGTGACGTTGACGCGGAATTTTTCTGTGCTGGCAGGTGCGGTGTGCAGCTCTGGAACCAATGAAACCCAAACAGACAGACTTGCGCAACTTTGTAGGACAAATTTTGTCTCCTCTTATTCAAATAGCGCATCTGTAGTCACAATAAAAATATGATGTTTAGCTATTTGCGATCAAATTGGCGCCGACAATTTCTCTGCGTGCGTAATGTGGTTTGATTTATCGTGAGTGCTGTGTATGCTGTCCGATGCCTTAGCGAAAATTGACCCCCATTTATTCTGGAAACATTGCGCCTCACGGAATAGTGATTTTTCGTTTAAGCCTCTTTAGTTCAAGCACTACTTTCTTGTTATTTAAAGCTGTGCGTGTGTTTCAATCAAGTTTCAGTTGTCATCGCTGAAGAGTGAAGAGTTCTTGAAAAAGTTGTTAATCTGACGTTCCCTATTTAGTCGTGTTACTGATTTTCGCAAGGCTTGCCACGAAAGCACACGACGCTTTGGTGCGTTAAGACCATGATGTTAATCGTCTAAACAGATTTTAATCGTAAATTTACAAGCACGCCTAAAAATAGAGAAATGTCAGACTTCTCTGCGGTGGTTTCTTTTTTCCACATATGTGTTCTGACGTATTTTTTTGATCTTTTTCGCATACCACGGTATGTAGTCTGTTAAAAATAGCCATTGGCTTTTGCGAGTTTCTCACTGTGCTCTATATTTGGGCCTTTTGATGGGATACAAGCTTTCTTAAACTGAAGATAAACCCATGTACCGTGGTAAAAGAACGCACCAGGGATGGCGAAAATATCTTTGCAAGCGAATGTGGACAACAGTTCAACAACTTGAATCAAAGAAACACTGTTTGGAGGAAGGGAAAATTTGAAAGAAGCATTAGCTCGAGAGGAAACTTCGTGAGTTTAATAACATTATTCAATCATCTTTAAGTAATGCGCCATAAATTTCGTTTAGAAGGGAAATTTATGGCGCATAAAACTATTTTAACAAGCAGTGTTCATATTGAAAACAGCATGTAATACCTATAAACAATTCTGATGTATTGTGAACTGCAACTAACCTTGTCGTTTGGAACCTTTTGTGCAAAATATTCTTACCCTATTTGGAGTTGCTCTCAAATGTTGCAAATTATTTGAGGGTTTTTGTTACGGCCTATCGATTTTAAAGCATGTATTGTTTAAACTAGTATGTGTAGGAGTTGGGAGTATCGGTTTAAAATGAAGTAGCTGTAAAAAGGAAAATTAAAGGTTCTGATACCACAGCCTCTTAAACTCTGAACTCTAAGAAACCTTTTCTGTATTTAAGATAATGGGTGCTGAAGAAAAACTTCTTGATTCTTGCTATCTGTGAAACTCCAGAAATTCGGAGAGTGTACGGATTTTACACAAGAGCATATTTTTGAACAATGAGCCTTAGCTCTAGTGATTTCCAAAAATCGAACGTCGCCTGAGGAAGTGTTTTGCCGAAGCGTTCGCGTGACATCTGCTGCTTAACCCGGCAGTGTGTTCGTGCTGAAAACACACTTATCTTGCACGCAATGATGACGCTGCAGTCAACAAACCCTTGAATATGTTCACTTCTTTAATATTGATTCACTGCGATCATTTTGAAATAAGGAATATTGGATTAAAATGCGACGAGATGAGACGCAAGTTTGGAAAAAAAAATCGTGATAATAACGCGCTAGACATCGATATGGGGCTAATACCTCTCCACAGCTAATAGACATAACAATGCTGTTTCGTTATCATCTCTCAGTAACGGTCACCGCGTTGGTTCAAGAGCAGAGTCAAAGTTCCTGCATTCCACATAAACTATACTTCATCGCTATCGTGGAAAATGCAAGGAATTCGAGAGGGTGCTTTTAATTCGCAAATGTTTTTTATTTTTCAGTAATTTGCTTCAAATTAAAATGATTCACTCTGGAATTCGGGCGGAATTGTCGAAGAATTTCAAAAAGGAAGGTTTTAATAGCCTTAGCAGAGAGACAGATTCTTCATATAACAATAAAGAGTTCTCTTTTTCAGTTGGGAAAACATGTTTCTGTCGGACAATCTCATTTACGCTTTAACTTGTTTGTCGAAGCAAACTCGCCATGCAACCAGGAGCACAAAACGAAGACCCTGTTTCGTAGCTGGACGTGACCTTCCTTTCAAATTAGACGCTACTCAAAACACGTTTCTCCATTTTATAATTGCCACAAGACCAGTGATCTTGACTTTTTCCGCCATTTTGCTTGCAAAGTATACAATGATACATCGGATAGGAATTTATTAATTAAAATATGTCACGTCATTTAATTACTTCTTACGTACAAAGTGATGGGAGGTGATTCAAACAGTGCACTTACACCTGGTGCCTCTTGACTTTTGATTACCCTCAAACACTACAGAACTTACGCGATTTTAATAGCGCGCGCGTTCTTTCTGCAAAAAAGTTTGTAAAAGGATACAAGCAGCTCTGCCTCATAGGCGGCTTTCACAGTTACGCACAAATGTATGTACCACATGCGCCTCGAGGCCAAATTATGTAGAGTAATTTGTGCTTGTGTAGTAATTTATTCACAGCTTCCCTTTGAATAGTACAATGTTCCGACTTAGAACGTGACATTGAAACAGAACATTACCCACTATGCGTGGTCGTCACTTAGTAATATCTATGGACCTGACAACTGCAGTATCAAAATAATAGTTAAAATATGTATGTATAATGTACAAAATTCTTCTTGTTTTACAATAAATTTATACCAGACTTGAAGATGCGTATGTACACCATGTCTTCCTTCAATTTTTTTTTTTTAAATTCCCTCAGTAAATTGTCTTGGCGGCTTGTTTCCTCCAGACAATAATCCTTCAAAATACTACTTAATTATCAGACTGAAGTGGTCTGCGGTCAAAGCGTGCATACAGATTCAAATATTCCACGTGCGTCTAGCGTGCTAGAGCAAGAAGTTGTCTAAAGTGATACTAAAGTCCATTTATTTTTCCCGCGCATTTATCTACGCTCTGTGCCTGGCAGTTTTCGGATGAATTCTGATGTTCTGAAGCCATTGTCTTACTTCCTTAAGATTGTAAAATGTGGGTCCCATCCCCCCTGCGTATTGTATTTGGTTCCTTCTGATGATGTAGAGTCTGATAGGCATGCCAGCGTAAGCCTTGTTCGCTTCATTCGTCATGGTGTCTGCCAAAACTGGACAGATGAATTCAACTGAATCTAACATCATCTTTGCAGCGCTACATCTCTCTTCCTGAGTTTGGTGTTGTGGTATTGTGATGTTATTCTGCAAGACAAATCACGTCATTGTAAAAACGTTAGCCTCTAAAATATCTTATATGGACAATGATGTTTGCCCCGGAGGTTTTATTTCATTTTAGAGTTAAGTCGCTGTCTTAAATTCTTGGGAAAAATTTGCATTTAAGTGACGACTTAAAACGTGATGAAAATTTTGCCCCAAAGGTAATCAATCGAATGGTTGTCTAAACTGCGTTCACTTTTTTTATTCCCGAACATTCTACAACTGAATGGCAATTGTGTGATTCTTGCATTAAAGGTGTCTGTCTGGGTGATCATTACGAATAGTCTTGATTTATATTACTAGTATTTCTTTATCTAGGTCTGTCGCAATAGAAAATTGGTGGAACAATGGATCATCGACTCCTTAAAACTGACTAAATCACTCAGTCAATAGAACGTGACTGGAATCAGCAAATCTTTTTTATGAAATACAGATGTGGCTTCTCGTTAAATTCATGTACTTGATGGCTTGACCTTGAAACTGATCATTTGAACTTGGTAGTTACGCTAAGTTACATCAGAATCGTCTAATCTTTGTTATCTGACAACTCTTTCTGGCACGCGCTCACCTCCAATTTCCAACCATTGGTTGGATGGGCTTCCTCTACATATATCGTCAAGAAATCGGCCACGTCCCTGAATTCTCGCACGATGGAGAGGAACTCGTTCACCCTTGTTCTGAAAACAGGGCAGGTCCAACTGCCGAAGTTGACGACGAGAGGACGGTTGCCTCTGCAAAATTCTAAGAGACGATAACGTGATTTTCCGTCTACCGAAATAAGCTGGGAGTCTGGGGCGATTTTTCCCCAAGAAGCTGTCTTTTGCAGTTCGAGTAGCATTGACGAGCGTTTGGAGCTTAACATAGGCCATGTGAATAGTGAATCCCAATAGTCCTCCCTGGGCATTTGGATTGTCGAAATCTTGTTTACAAACTCTGAAATGATCCACTGTGTACAAGGAATGAGTTTCAAAAGCCGCAATACTGTAAACGCAAGCAACAGCACTGAAGTGCCGAGATAGTAGCACAAAAACATACACGTGCTGTAGATCATCTTCACGCGTGAGAACTGGACTGTCAACTGCACCGTGTCTGAGGTTCAACTGGAACGAGAGCTAGACGAGTTGCACTTCACAGCGGGAGAATTTAAAGAATGTCTTTTATACCGACCTCTTACGTGATTTTTCAAATTTTTTTTTAGTCACAGCTCGAGCGTGCAATGCGGAAAATAGACATCGGGAGCTGAACGGATGTATCTTTAGCAAAGTCTTTGCTTCTTTTGCTATATTTGGCTCGGCTTACCTCTGGTATTTAGCGGTAACGCTTTTACAAACAAACTAAACACAACTGTTCGCAGCAGTACCACTCGGCATGCGCTAGACGCAGTGATGAATTGCAGGCCTGCGCTTTCTTGTTAAGTATATTTCAATGACCCCCATTTGTTCTCGAAGGCATGATGAGCACGCAACAAATTAGAATTTCTTTCCACAATAGCCAAAGATTTCTAATTCCATGAATCACTGTTAGAGGACAAAAATTTGATACGAAGCTGACAGAAAATTTTTCACGCTCATCTGCATTCCTATTCAAGGGCACTTAAGAGCGTGCTTGAAATGGAAAAGTTAGAGGAATCAAAACTGAACTTGCGATATTTCACGCTGAGATTTGGTTTACCAATGGTTCCACAATAGATACTTTGCCGCCAAGTTTTGCGTGATTTCCAATTTGTAAACAAATGTTATTTTCATCACGCGATGAATTCCGCAAGACTCACGCGAATGCACGCAAAATCTTATAGACACTCTGAAATGGTGCTGTTGGCTGTTTACTGTACAGTTGCTCGAGGTTTTTTACAAAAAGCGCAAATATTAAACACTTGCTTAACTCATAATTGAGTATTTGTGTGTCTTTTCCGTTGCAAAATTTCCTCACAGCATGACGCTCTTTTAAAGTAATCAAGAGCTTGCTTCAGTGCGCATGCTGGCTTGTTAGAAGCTTTCGCTACTCTCGGGACAAAACGCTAGCCGCGCGGAATGTTTGACTCATTGTGGCGCGCTTTTAGACGACAAATTGCAAAAACCACGTCAAAGGTTTAATGAGCTTCAAAAATAGACCTTCATCCTGAGACATGCCGCAAGACATAAGTTAACTGCTTATGGATGCCCAAGTGCAATAATGGCTGAACCGCAAAGTGATCGCCCTGCTCAGTTCTATAGGCATAACCTTACAACTAGAAACTGAAAAATAACTCTCATACGATAAATGATGACAGAGTCCGTTTGAAATGTTTGTAAACTTGGTTTGATGGTTAATTTCTGCAAGGCACGTTCGACACAGCGCGAACCTAGTTTACTTGGAAGAAAGTAGTGTCTTATTTCCTGCTTTTCTGAAGCAGACCGGCGGAAGGAAGTTGCAACTCGGCCGCGGCGTTGAAGCCAGTCGAAAACGCTCTTCCTGCACGTAAACACGCACTTCTCGTTGAAAAAAAATGGCCATGTGAAGCCGGGTAAGACTAACCTTTTATCTTTTCTAAATAATGTTCCAATTTTACGGCTAGCACACAAGAAAAAAAAACACTATATCCGTTTTGATTTCCTCATTCATTCATGCATAATTTGGTGAAAGGAGAACGAAGAACGTGTGCTAACCAAGTCGTCTAGACTTAATCATTGAACCTTAAAAGCCCTTTTATTTGAGTGGCTCAGATACGACATGTTTGAAATTAAATTGAAGAGCAAAGACTTTCTCGATGAATGAAAGGCAAAGTAGACTATGTCAGTAATCAACTGTACCTTTACGAAATCTAGCTGTTACATCTCGCTTGGTCTCAATAATTTGACTGATATATGCTTTGTGCGTAAAACACGCGAACAGACCCTTTGTTCTCTTATCACAGTGCATAGTTCACCAACTTGGGCACAATAAATTACTCCGAAGATATGACATATTTCTCTTAAGGAAGTCAAAGACTGCGAGAAACTTCGTCCTACGCGACAGAAGTACATGATTTGGAACATATTTTGGATACGGCTATGGGCACGGTAAATCATGGGCTAGTAGTGAAAGTAAGGTCTCGAAAAAAAGTCTCGAGTACGTTTTCTACCAACATCCACGCGGTTTCTTTATGTCAGTGCTCCCATAGAAATAAGTGATTTATTGCTTTTAAGAAATAAACAGCAATTACTTAAAGGTTTTGAATATGGCGACAATTCAAGAGCCATTAAGCAGAAAGCTAAATAGACCAAAACACCGAATAATTGGATGTGTAATTGCTCGGTGAAGTATTTTGACTGATGCAGACTTTCAACCCTCGCAGAAATTATTTGAAGTGATTTAATACATGGCAATGTTGACACGAGTATCACTTGCTTTTTGGCACGGGCCAAGGCAGCTTTGTATGATAAAACCACTTCATTGCCACAACTCTCATGTGTTTGATATTGAACTGCGACAGCGTGGCGTATTGTCTAAATTATCAAGTTTTACTTGAAGCTGTTTAGTAGAACTGGGTTCTTATGTGACTGCGTGCCCCGTGCACAAGTTTATGGCAATTACAAACAACACAACACAGTTTTTCCTTTCCTTTTTTCGCTTTTATGTCATTTTTTTTATTAATTAAAGGTAAAAAAAAACATTTGGTTTCCTCAATTTACGAGTGCTCTTGACAATGACGCCCTTGAATTCTCTTTTGCGGCTTTAGTAATTACAATTATTAAACTATATTGGCTGCACAAATTGTTCCAGTCATTAGCTCTTTGCTAATTTTGCGTCAGTTTTGCACATTCAGCTCAAAAGGTAGTGCAATGACAATTAGCTCTTTTCTTTCGATTTTTCACAAATTAGAAGGATTTGGGTATGTTATGTCAAACGCGCGAAGAACTCAGTCATGAAGCAAAGAGACTTTCTAGATTTCACTGAATGGGACGGGTGGCGGACAGTAATTCAGACATGCTTGATTGGGATCAGACCTTTCGACATTTGAGGAAAGGAGGTTCAAAGCTGCATTCCTTCCTCCCTCCTCTTGAGAGTCAATTTGTGCAACCCTTCAGTACTGTTGTGTCACGAAGAGCCGAGCCAAGAATATTTTACATCATGAAGTGTATGAATCGAAATGAAAAGTGAGTGATAATTCTCTTTTCTTAGTCAGCTGCAATGCTTACTTCTTTTGAACTGAACACTCCCTAAAGTGTAGACAAAAATGAATGGTCTTAAACTTGGAAAAACCGTTTTTAATCCGATGCGAACAAAAGGTACATTGTGCGTGATTCAAAGTGGATCCAGTGCAATATAATCGAAGCTATATCTTACGAAGATGAAAAATGATTAATTTTTGTGCAACTCTTTTGCGATTTTTTCCTCCTGTCACGACGATGAAAATAAAAGTTCTTCGTCGTGGTACCGTTCGGTAATGAACATGTTTGGATCATGCAGAGACTGGAAATAATTCCTCTATACAAAAACTTTTATCATCTTTAGATATTCTATTTTCGTTTGTGAAAAGAAAAAATGAAAAATTCAGGCACGAGTGGAATTTGAACCCATTTACCGTCGTGCGAAATACCTGGGTAGCTCTCTTACCTATCTACTTAGCTGTCGAGCCAACAGGGAAATACACAATGCTTTAATTTCGCAAACGCACCAAAGGAAACATATGCCGGAAAATCACGATCGTGTTTAAACTGTGGAATACAGATTTTTTTACAAGACAATTTGCAGTTGTAAACTCAATGCAGGAAACGAATTTCATGACCGATTTGTTCAGCGCTCTGATCAAAATGGGCTATCAAACCAACGAGTACTGGTGGGCGGTCATGGGTCGAAGTTTTGGCCACCGAAATATTCATTATTTTTATTTAAAATCCCAGCAGAGAAACGTTTTCCATCTCTTATTTTTAACTGAGCTGGTTACTGGTACAATTAATTTTTAGAAGGTCATAGAAATTGTAGGGAAAAAAGATAACTGCACCGACATGCGACTACTGGTCAACTGATTGATTATTCGTTCATTTTTACGATTTTTAGCTGAATAAACATTGAATTCCAAGTCATTTTATTGAGCACGCGTATCGTGACAGTTTTTACAACATGTCTTGATAATGAATTATTTTTCCATGGATGCGTTAGCCACCGTTGCCAAATCAATTTGTTTATCCCGTGAAGAAATCACGATTCTTTCTAAACCTATCCTGGCATGAAGCCAGTCCGACAACGAGTTACCGGTGGGGCAATTTTTGAAATTTGGCAACCTTCAAGGTCGCGAAATTTTCTTAACCTCTTTGTAAATTTCATGATGTTTGCGTTATTACTACAATCTCATTCACACATAAATACAACTGTTTTAATAATTCGGAAAATGGGAAATGCTGTAATTCAGGACAAAGGTGAACCCAAGGTGAAGAATTGTATGGCAAAAAATTACTAAAATTTAAATTTTGCGCAGTTTTCGCAATTCTTTTTAATTTTTGTAGTACCTTGTTGACATCTTGTTGGCATATTTTTCAAATGAACTTTGAGCCTCAAAAGTGTCCTGTAACCTTACGAATTTTTTACCATTGTATCCTGAATATTTGTAGCCGCATTCAATCTGGGATGTAAATTCCATCTTTGCTCCAGTTGATTTTTTTCTAAACATGGGCGAGTTCCTTACCCCCTACAAGTAAGTTATTCACAAAGGATTGGCACTTGATTAAAGGCTTAAAGATAATGGAAAAACCGATGCATCTCTCCTTCCTAATACGCTCCTCACATCTTTTTAACAATATCTACCCGCGTGATCAGTAGTCTGCTCTCAATTCGATCAACTTCTCTTCAAAATCTTATCACAGAGATTTATCTCCGCTCAATGATGATCTAAATCGCGTGAAATGAATCGTTTCGTTGACAATTTGAAAGCCACCAAGGGTTTCATATAGTCACGTTCACAAAAGCAGTGATGACATGTAGAATTCAAGGTTATCTCAGTTATGCGTCCTTAATCAGTTCTAGCTAACCTATTTGAGATGGAAGTTTAAGGGGCGGTATGAACAAATGCTTTTTATTTCAGGAATTTTGTGCAGGTTTGCGATTTTATCTCGCTCAAATACCGTTCTCTCCAAAATACAACCATTGGTTTTGGAGCTCAGCAAAGTATCTGAACGTGATCAGTGTGATTCATGGATCTTCTTGAGGTTTATTATAATTGTTCGGGGTTATGCCTTGAAATGAAGTCAGGAACAAAGATGACCTTAAGGTCTGACCACATAGAATAAAACAAAACGTATCTCGAAAGGATTTCTAGTTTTAAGGCATCATAGATCAAAACAAACTCAAAACACTTTTTATGGTCGACTTTTGATTAAACTTTGCCGTGGAGCGGAAAAGAATATGGGTCAGTCTTCTCCCTCCGCTAGGACTATACCATCGCTCTGTTCGGTTTACTTTTGCCCCAAGGGCGCATTCGTCTCAAAATTATTTGGACGCGGTTGAAATTAGATGTATTGGCCAGCGACGATGTAAATGTGCGCTGCAGTAGACGTATTGGACAATCTTTGAGAATAACTATGCTTAAGAATGTTTTTATAACAGACTGTGAACAAGATAAGAACAAGGTAGAGGAGAGAGTTAACGCAGCGAGGTGAGGAAGATTGTGTAGTTGACCATTCTGTTTCGTCAATTCGGAATGGTCGGCCATATACACAAGCGACAAAACCAAAGCGCCCTTGATCCTGTTAGCAAATTAATTTACTTAGGTGTATCGGTGTGACAATTTTCTCGATCTTCTAGAAACGCCGGGTGTGCTGGCTTAGAGAACTAACCGCAAGGTATTATGTTAATAAGTATGATGTTTCGTTGAATTGGTAGGTTTAACTCTCCCTGCGTTTTGGTTTCTTCTTTAATCTCCTATTTCATAGGATTTATTTAATTTTGGAGTGGTCATTGTCTGCTTATTTAATCACCAGCTGTAGTTGCTAATTTACCTGTATGTGTTTTGTTACCAAAAAACTCATCGAGTGTGAAATTTATGACTAATTCTTTCATCAATTGAAGGACTTAACATATGCAAGTAGACCAGTAAGATAACGAGACTGAAGTTATGTCTTTAATACCAAGGTTTCTGGGAATCTTTAGACACAACAACATTTAACATGCTACACCTTTTTTAAAAATCATCAAACAGAAAATTGACGCTGCTTCCAACAACTTATCTCAAATAAACTTTTGTAAACCGGCCAGTTTCCTTGCCGACTTGAGACTGACCTTTCTCCTTTGCAAGGTATATGCACAATACTACAAATGCTTTAGGAAAGTCGCTTTCAGTACAAGTACGCCCCCCCCCCCGTGACTTCTTTCATTCCAGTTCCCTTAAATGGAGACCTTAATAGAGAAGGGGGGAGGCCCTTGTCGCTAACTTATTGCAATCCAATATGCGAGCCAACAGTTTTCTCCTCATTCGTCGTCCAGAATTAATGAACACTGTAAACAATATACATTTCTCTCGCTAGAACCCTACGATACACAAAACGGACACAAAACGGAAAGTATTTCAGGCTTTAAATTACATGTACTGTGACGCTAGTTAACAGAGGGGCCTATAAAAAACTTGAAGTTCTAAACAGTGGCTTTAGTATTAGAGGGGTTTAAAAGAGCGTTTGCGGTGTTGAAGCAGCGGAATAACCAAAAACTAGTTCTGTGCCCCATAAGCAACAGCTATGTCATCAACCCAGAACGTCTTTTAGTGTTAAGAGGCCGTATCTTTGTGGGGCTCTGGTGGAAGCGACATCATTCCCTTTAAGCTGGCCATCTTCAATGTAATTTTTCCCGACCTTTCCCTGAGCCCAGAGAAGCACTTTATCGATGTATGGCGTCTTCACTCCTGCGATATCCGCTATACCCCGTATGACAGAGAGCCCGTATGGGATATCCTCTGTCAGATAGCGGTGATGAAAGTCTGGCACGAATTTTCCGTGTCCAGTCTCTTTCACGGGATGTTTCAGGCCCTGGTAAGCGGCGTTTGTTCGCAGAGCGGTGTACTGGTTTGTTTTATCAGCTATATCCTCAGGATAACAGCGTAAATCCCATTCTAACATGGGAACGACCTGAGAGAAATCAAGTACAAATGATATATAAAGGGGTAAGTTTCTAAAGAAACTGTGGTGCTGCGTCGGTGAGAGATTATGACAGGGTAATTTAGTATTATCAACTAAGTTGATAACGTAAATTGGCCAACGTAAAGATTTTAAAAGCAGACGTTTCGAGCGTTAGCCCTTCGTCAGAGCAAATAATGACGAAGGGCTAACGCTCGAAATGTCAGCTTTTAAACTCTTTACAGTTATCAACTCAGTTGATGATACTGAATTACCCTACAAATAATACAGTCTGGTAAGAAATCATTAATCTTGCATCCAAGATGAGATGAGGATTAGCTCATAGATTCCTCTCTGCTTAATACTGTTAGGATGAATGTACCGTCCAACCATCCTTCACAGACTGTCTCTCTCACACACTCCCCCCTTCCACCCCTCCCCCACTTCCATTTTCATTCTAGAGTGTAAAGCTGGTTTTTTTTTGTCCTTCGGCAGGGACATTTTCAATGTTAAAGCCAGTGGAGTTACATCAATCATACCTAGTGAAACAAGGTGTGATCCTGACGTTCATATAGTAACTGTGACGCAATAATAAAGCGGACAATACAGAAGGTTTGTGAAAAAGAAATAGTCAAAACCCTACTCAAGCTTCCCTGTTTTTCCGCTCTGCACGACTACTGCGCCCAGTTTACCGACAAAACGCCTTGAACGGGCAAATTGAAACGATGCGTAAGAGGTAATCACACTAAAATGACAGAATTCGAACTAAAAAATTTTTTCAAACTAGGGTCCAGACATATTGTCTGTCTGCGGTAGATTTGGTGAGCGGGTATCGGATATTCAACCCAAATGTCAGACGCTGTCAAATTAAAACTCTAATTTACGTTATCGCATTAGTAATCAGATTATGTTTGATAAATGTAACAAGCTTATTTCCAATCCACAGGGAAAGCTTATGAAAATCACACTAAAATTCTGTAACGACTCATGAATCAAATTTCTCCTCCCAGACGTGGTACTCGTCATTCACAAAATTTGCATAATTACTTGTTCTGCAGCTAAGAGACAATCAAACTCAGAGCCCTCCTCCAAATTATTTTTCAATGACTCTCGTGTTTGGAACTTGGGGATCTCAGTATATCTGAAATTAGTATGTACCAATACGAAACGGTGGAAAGCGTCAAAATTCCAACAATCTTCCAGATCTCCTTTGCCATTCGTCTCCTAGCAAATCGCGCGAGATCTGCGCTCAAAAATATTGGAATCGTAGCAGAGATATGTCTTTTAGTTTAAATCCTCATGTTGTGTTATATTATACCACTGTTTAAGTATATACTGAAACAGCTGTTCACCACAGTGTCGGTGGCTATCGGTGGATATCTACCTTGCCACTTCACGGCTTGGTAAATATCAACCAATAGCCACCTCCACTGTGGTGAAGTGTTATGAATAGTTATGCATTCAGCTGTGAATGCGGCAAGGTGTACATCGGAGAGACTGGAAGACCTATGCAAGACAGAATTAAGGAGCACGATCGAGACATCCGACTCGCCCGTACCGAGACCTCCGCCGTTTCAGAGCATGCCCACAACACCGGACATAAGCCACTCTGGAACGAAGTTTATCGATCGTGACCCTCATTACTACACGCGCAGGGTCAAAGAGGCATTTCATATAAGACTTCACCCTAACAACATCAACAGGGATAGTGGAATAGAAATTCCAGAAGCGTGGATACCCACGATCAAAAAACACAACAACAGGAAAGCCATGCGACAGCGGACCGCCGAGGGAGAAAATCACTGAGTGAAACAGCAAGGATCGAAATGCACCAATCAGAGCTGTTGAAAAACAACTAATCACAGCAGAGCATCAGGCTTTATAAGATCACGCATGATCAGTGGACCTCATCGCTTGAAGAAGACTAGCAGTATGCAGTCGAAACTTCGCGATCTACATCACACGTGACTACATCGCGAGACAAACGAAAAAACTTAGCTTTTATAGTTATTTAATAACCGATCCAGCTGTTAGTTCGACTCTCTGTTACGGTGAAGTGTAAAAAAATAGAACTTGAAAAGAGTGCTAAAACTAGAATCACATCTACCTGAGACATATCGGCTCCAGACTTTTCCGCGATTACTTTTCCCAAGTGAACTACCTCGTCCGACATTTTGGTAAGAAGCTCGCCTGTCTCTTCAGTGACTCCGGTATAAAACATGGGTGGTTGGTCCAATGGAGTCCCGTCCCACCCCACCCATTGACCATACATGATGGCCGGGTGCGAGCACGCATTAGGGTTCATAAGAGAAACACCGATAAGGTGCCCAGAGACAGTCAAGCGAGGAACCCCACCAAGAAGGTACTGTAAAGACGTAACTGGCTCCTTCTTAGGTGGTGCATCGGATCCGACCTAAATAATAAGAGTAAATACAAAGCCGCGTTAAATTTACGGTAGAGGCGAGCAGCCGAATTCCCTTAAACTGCATTTCACAAGCATTTCATATAATTCTTGTTTTGATCCAGCAGAAAAAATACTCTCCAATTCAACATAACTGCAGAACTCGGCTAAAGTACATGCCACACACAAAATTAGATTGCACCATGTTCCTACCTGCATTGCGCCAACCAGGGTCTCCTTGGTTCCCAGGACTTCGCATTTCCTGCCGAATTCACTCAGACGACAAGCCCAAGGCAAGGATTCGAAGTTCATCACCGTACAACTGTTTGCTTTATCTCCCAGTATGCCGCGAACTTGGAATTCTAGTCCCGAGGCCCCTGGCAGACCAACAATTATCACACCCGGTTCAATATACGGCTTAAGAGCTTCCAGAAACACCTGATGGGCAAATGCTGGCAGCACGAAGGCTATGATGTCAACACCACGCACGGCTTTCTCAGGGTTTTTAGTTATCAAAGCTGGCTTGGATCTGATGATGCTCGGTTCTTGGTCACGGCGGTTGCATGTGATCTCTAGGTCAGCGGTTTGCATGATTTTGCTCCAACGCTCAGCCTCGTCTTGATACAAACTGAGCACCCTGACTTCAGTTCCCGGATGTGACGAGGCGATGCCAGCGAAGGCATGCGCACCATTACCACTGCCACAGATCAGAAGCTTTATGCCGTCTGTGGTACTCATAACTGGTAGAGCTCTGATAACTTTTCTGAAAAATTTATAATAACAAAGGTTTGCATTGTTGTTAGAATTAAACAAAGCAGCATTTAAATTATAAGGTTACATCGGCTGCATAAGAACGGTCCTAGTTCAAGCGCAACAGCGAGGCTAAAGAAATAAAAACCGCCAGACTGAACAAAATACGACAAGGAGCTAGTGAGAACCCAGAGTTAACTAATATGCACGACCTGAAGCAAGAGAAAACGGGAATTACCGAGTAATGGCTGGGTTTTATATGTTTTGTATCTGATTTGTCGAAACGGTATTGTGACTTTTCAAGACCAATCACAGGACAAAGTCAAGGAAAATTTTCAAGTTGACTCCGGACTACTAGAAACTCAATTTGCAAAATTTCTCTTCTATTTATTCGTTCATTTTTGATATGTCAAAATGGTTTTTACACGCTGCAATTCACTGTAGTTGATATTTTTGTTATCGGTAATTTCCAAATCAAAGCTCCTCAGGTACCAAACCGGAAGATATGTCACGCAGCAAAATTTCGTGAAGTCGTGACCGCAAGAAGTTGTGACCTCAAGAAGTCACGATTTTATCGTAGCGACCTCAAGATGTTTCCTTGCATTAATTAAAATGTTGCTCCAAAATATACCCACGAAGGAGGCTTTTTATTACCAGTAGTTCAGCGGCAAACGTTTTTTAAAAACTCACAAAAAGATTTGACACTTACAACATAACACAAAAAGTGATTTTTGAAACCCAAATAAAGATAAATTTCTTTAAGAAGACGAGTTAAACACGAGTTGGCCGACTTGGTCAACATACCCGAGTGTAAAGATCTGTTTGGTAAAAAAAATCGGTTCTCTTGCTATTTTTCTGACGCTGGAGTTGGAGAAATCACAAAAAGTCCTGTCAATCTAAACGAAGTTTCGAAATTTAAATCATATGTTCATTTCTCTTCATCTAGCAATCGAAAAAAAAAAAAAGTAAAAATCTCATAACATAATCAAATCGACGATGAATGTGATTAAACACGTAACATAACAGCCTCCTCTCTCACTGTTCCCTCCATGATTTCAAGTAAAACGCGGAAGAGCTTACCTCTTACTTATATTTAGCCGGGAATCTTTTTTATCAATAACAGCGACAAAATGCTCGTGCAGCCTAACACGTTGGCGCTGATCGGCACCGCTGAAATATAATTTATGCATGCGCAGCTGTCATTTGAGCGAGATAAGAGTGACAGGAAAATTGCGAATATGCGAACTCTGACAAACGAGCGTCTGGCAGATGCCTTAGCTTTACATTAGCCTAGGATATGAAGGGTTAGGCTAAGCCGCAGAATACCCTGCCACTCATTTACATGTCATTGAATAAGAAATAGAGAATAATACATGGGCGCGCGTAAATATGCAATTTCTCTTCGAGTGTTTAACTCGATAGCTCACGAGTGGGCGAGGGGAACAAGTGAGATGTCGAGTTGAACACGAGAAGAGAAATTCCATATCTACAAACAACCATGTATTATTTTGTTTATCATATAAACACAATAGCCCTTTACTGAGAAAAAAAGCCGACTTTATTAATAAATGAAAATAAATAAATCGTCAATTCCCGAAAAACAATCTCAGAGTGTTGGCGCTAACTCTTAAGATGAAAAAGTGCGTTTAATCATGATTAGAAAAACAACAATGGTCGTAATTTTCAGTTTACAAAATTCTCATTTATTGACTTTGTCCTTACCGACAGAAGAAGTCCTTCAGGTAAACGGCCAAAATCGGCCAGTGGCAAATCTTCCTGTTGGCGATTTTCATTCTCAGCCGAGTGAAATGCTAATACCAAAGCCACTGAATATGCAACTTTCGGTTTTTCTTTTAATACATTGGTTTCCTTCCCCTTCTAAGAAAGTTTGAACCTCACAGTCTGTGAGCGATACGGATTTCTTAGTGTTTTAGCCGCCGTAATTTGAGAAAGCTCCAAAAAAAACAACTTGTATTGAGAATCGTGAAGGCTTTGCCGTTCAACCTGATCGAGTGGCGCCAAAGGCGAATGACGTGTTAGCAGCTGATTGGCTCTATCAACACACGTGAAAAAATACGACATTTTTTCACGTGTGTTGCTACGGCTTTTCTCAGAGCCCGAAATCCCTGTATAACACCGCAGTTTATGTGATAACAACGTTTATTGTGTTAGGCCTCGATCTTTAAAACCTCCCGACACATGTAAATAAGGTGGACCAAAGTGGCAGGCTCCAAGAGTTATGGCAAATACCGCCTAATTGTCTTACTTAACTAACTTTCTTCAGTTGACTGCTCTGAAACATCAACATTAGTGTCACGCAATCTATGCATGTCAACGGAGCTCTTTTTTTCGTGCCAGACCCACACGGACGTGGCGGCAAACGAAGCCAGGCTTCGCCACTCCTGCCACAACAATGTTAAGAACCTGAACAAGGAAACAAAAAAACAAACACAAAAAGGCCAAATTTTGCGGGTTTTTAATGGAGCATTAATTGTCTGACTTAGCTACAAAACATCTTACGTATCTGAACATTTAGTTGGAAAGTATTTGATAAGTCTCGGCAACTAGCACCCTTAATAAACTGCACAATGTGACACAGTACTGGTTGTCATTTACGGGAACCTCTCTTCAAGGATTCCTTTATTTTGTGCACACCTTCACTCAAAGTACTCGACTTCGTCAAACTTTGGTACCAACTGAAAAAATTACCTTACAGCCCTTGTTTTATTAACTTTACCAAGGGTACTCTCCCAAGCAAGAGACATTTTTCTAGTCCCGAAGCAGGTTCTTCAAGCCGAAAAATTAAGGTTTACAACGTACAATACAGGATTCTTGTACTCATAGAGGACTCAGTATGGAACATCAGCCACGCAACGCACTTCTTTAACTAGGTAATTATAAATTATTGAGCAACGATTGTCCTTTAAGTCAGAGTTTTATGTACCATGGTCCAAAATGTACCTGTAATGCACTCAGTTGTTTGATAGGGTGGACAGAAAATTAAATCGTGACACCAGAGGTTGTTGCAAAAACAACCATCACTCTTCCCCCACAACCAAGCTTTCTTAAAGATTCTTGACACTTAAGAGATGCAATCAGATCCCAGGCCACTAAGGGCATGACATACAATTGAAAATTTAAAGTCTCTGAACGCTCTTTAATCTATATTTATATAATTTCAAAGATTTTCTTGAGTTCGATCATAAGCTGCCAGTCGGATTTCTGTAGATCTTCTCTGAAGTACTCCTTCACAGCATCGATAGATTCCCGGCTTATCTGTAAGACATCGAGAAAAAAAGAGTATTTTAACGCACTGAACGCTATCGGCAGTCATGAAATAGAGATCGCAGCATCATGGTAACTTCAATTTTTTACGCTTCCGCCCAATAGTAATAAAATTGCGCAAAAAACTAGGGGTAAATGAGCGACTTGAGGCTTTTCCCAGTCGTGTGGGCCTACATCAGTGACCTATTCACAACAGCTGACATGTGCAGCTTTTTAATGAACTTAAATTAACAGTTTTTCTTGATTCAGATGAGAGTCCAGAACACCCTTTGACCCTTTTTTCTTCAGGCGGAACCCTTAAAACCAGGAAATTTACGAGAATTGAGGCACGAAAAATCGCGGGATATAAAATACTTTTCTCTAACTCAAGTCTACCAGCTATCAGTGATCTCAAGCTATCCGTGATCTATCAGTATCCCACACACAATCTACCTAATATCTTATTTAACACAATTGTCCTGATATAAATGTTCTTTCGATATCGTCTAAGGAACCCAAATTTTCTAAGATCTAGCTTCAAACGGGTTTTTTCGCCACATTACTTAATTCGATTTCAGTTGCTAACAAATTTGTAGACCAGTGTAAAATGGCAACCCTTATAAATTAGAGTTAATGTTTTGTTGGAAATAAATAAATAAATAAATAATTAAAAATAATGGAAATAAATAAATAAATAAATAATTAAAAATAAAAGAAATAATGCAGATATTATAAAGCTAGGTAATCTCACCTTACTGACCAACAGGTCCGTGTGATCGAAATGCCGCCCATACATTTTGGGAGCCTCTCCTGGGGGCGACTCGATCTTGACACACACCTCCATTCCTTTACGAGCTTCAGTAAGTGGCTTGTGGTTTGCTTCAATACCAGTAAGGACACCGATGTCCAAAAACTACAGAAATATACACGTGTAAAGAAAAACAAAGATTAGCGCTGCCACACAACAGAATGACAAGGCGTCCAATAACAGGCTTGAAGTAATTTGCTCTTTGAATGAGCCATGTAGGTAGCTAGCTTTCGATCATCTACCCGAGTGAAACAAACTAATTGTTTCTCTCTAATTTAGTATTGTCAACTGAATGATTCGCTCTGGCGAAGGGCTAATGCTCGAAACGTCAGCTTTGAAACTCTTTACGGTGGCTGATTTACATTATTGACTCAGTTGATAATACAGAATTACCCTGTTATACTCTCCCATTGATGCAGCACCACAGTTTCTTTAGAAACTTACCCCTTATATTTATTTGTTTCTCTGCTGGTTACTCAAATTCGTGATTTCTCAAATATATATGTGCATCTCTTTAGCTACGCCTAGAGCCAGTAAGAGGTTCTCAGCACTAGTCGCCGGGGACATTTCGCGTGCCTGTCACCACCTACACCTTTCCCACTCGTTTACCGCTTACAAGTTTCCCACGCTTGCCACTGGATAAATGTTTTCCACATTCAGAACGCTTCTCCCGCAACTTCTTGCCCCCAACAAAGCACTTCCAACACTACCTACTACAGGAGTTTCAATAGAAGCAAGTAACCGGCGGTCTGCTGCCGCCGAAAAGACCTCTTACCGCCGTCTGTTGAACCTGCGAGCAGGCACATGTGTTTGAGTGTCGCCTAATGGCACAGCCGCCTATTACATCATGGGTGGCCGCTTGGAGAAAAAAGTTAATGAAACCTCTACTGTACTATACAATATCGGACTTAAAACTGATAACAAGTCATACGCCGGTATGTTTCTTGCCTTAAGAGTTAGTTACGCTAATCATGGATTCGTTAAAACCTACCAGGTCTAAAAGAAGTACAAAGCATTTTAGCGCCTTACAACAACACTGACCTCTTTGCTTGGAATCGCTATTGGTGTCCCTTCCTTTATGACACCAGCCTCCACGACCACGCCGACGACAATCGGGCCACGAGAGTTGAAGATATGCTGTGGCATGATTCGAAGCTTACATGGAAACACTGCGATGTGTTTGAACTCTTCACGCTTCTTTTGTTTTAGATCCTGGTGAAAGGCATTGAAAAAACGCTTTCAAGCAACTGTAGAGCTTAAAACATACCTAGATAATTCAGCTAGTATAGAACGCATTTTGATTGAGTGTCATAGGTAAAACCAAACCAAAGTAATTACAACAGCCAATCAGAAGGCAGGAAAATAACTTAGAGAGCCAATGAAATTCAACGTAAAACCGATCAAACCCCCTAAAAGCGCGGGAAAACGCGGGCGACCAAGGTTTACACCTGACTGTTTGATAGAGTGGGCGAGGTTTCTGGACCAAAAAAAGAGAAAAGTAAATCAATAATAAAGTGATACCAGAATACTTTACAAACTCAATTAAAGGAATGGCCGAGAAAGATATTACGATCACGGTCTGGTTTTCGAAGCTAATTTAAGTTTATCCTACGTTATTTCATTTTGCAACTCATTCTACGCTCTTCCAATGAATTTACTTTGGAAGAGTTCTGCCATCCTTCCCTCCCGGGAAAGGTAACTTTTCTTTCAGAAAGGCGCTGTATTTATCTTACCTCTCTATAAGCTGTAAATTTATCAAACAAGTGGTAAATGATGTCTGCGGAAAACACTCTCACGCCCAAATTGTCAGCCATTTCTTGCGCTTCTCTTTCTATCCGTACATCAAAGGCCAGGATCACAGCGTATCTAAGCAACGCAACAAACACGTGGTATTTAGCAAATCAGTAGCTATAACACACGAACAAACACAAGCAAAACAAAACGAAAAAAAAAACATAAAATCTGTGGTTAGTACTTAATCAATTCTTAATCTGACTTGTTGTAATATATATTTATACACGAATGTCTAAGACTACTGTAACCTTTTAAAGTGCAAACCCAGATGCAGACTGTTTGATCTACACGAGTGGTTGTGTGAGTCGAGCGAAGGGTTGAGAGAGGAAAAGCTTAATTAGAGGAGGAGGAGGAGCAACCATGACGTAGATTTGCTGGATGAGATTGAAAGGAACTCACTGGCTATCGTGCTCCAACATGGTGGAACATTTCATGATGTCCTTCTTGTGAACTGGACCAATGTTCACTCCGGAGTACTGCAAAATAACAAAACTGCTTAACATCTTCTACCTAACATGAATGACTAATAATTTATCACAGCAAGATATACGACAAAAAATTGCCTATTGCAAAAAATACCAAACGCATTTCAGAGAGCAAGATCACTTATCTAACAAAAATGAAAATCAGTATTGTACCAGATTCCTTCACGGGGCAGGAGAATCCTCTAAATTTGCTTCGCTTTCATTGTGAGGCTTCGTAGTTCAGTTGGTAATAACGCCTGACTAGTTTCTGGGAGGCCTGGGTTCGAATCTTGTCGAAGTCTAAAATTTTTTTAGTGCTTTTTTTTTTTTTCTGCAATTGCATAAATTGAAGCTTACTTGCAAGGATCATTGCTTTATTTGAAAACGATACAAGCTACTTACGGGAATTTTTGATGTGCGCAGAAATTCAAGTAAGGCTTCCAAAGATCCTAACGTAGAGGCTTGTACATACACACCACGATCAGACAGCTTGATAGACTGTAGAGTGTCGCGTAGTATATTGGCCACTTCATTCTGATAACAATCAGAAAACAGAATCACAATTTGCCGTCAATAATAACAACTTAAAGGACACGACACAATTTTAATTTGAATTGTCTTTAAAGACCGATTTTCACCGTGATCAAAGAGCTCACGTTGCAATTTTGAAGCTTATGTGGCCCCACAGTTAGTCTACATGCAAAGTACCCCTGCAAAAAGGCTGGATATTGCGAAACAGTACATAAACTAAATCCAAGAAAGACAATAGTCTCTTTCTACAGTTTCGTATTTTCACTTTACGTAATCAGACCTTTATCCCTTTGACCGCCAATATGTGATTGCTAATTCTCCTCTCTAGCTACTACACTTTTCCCCGTAAATTTGGTGTTGGATTAAGGTAACAACTTCTACCTGATAAGCTTCAGTATTCTCATTACCTGATTCCTGGATGAAGTATGGATATTGTAGCGAGAAAATAAATTTCAGTCACATCTGGAGCAACGTGAAATAAATACACCATGAGGGAAACGTTGAACAGAAAAAGGGGATTTTTTGTATACTTTCACATCGCACAAAATCCATACACAAGAAATAAAAATTTCCCTTACTTTCCAATAATCCACCTCATCTGGTTGCTGGGCAACAAACAGTGGTATACCAGCAAGGGCCTTTTCCAGGTCCTTAGCAGCAATTTTAACTCCCTGGGCGCCCAACAGCTCCTTATTGTTAATATACTGGTTTTTGACCCGTAATTCTTTGAGGGGCTGAGGCGTTAGGAGGGCCCTAATTTGGGTCACAATGGGACCCTCAATTCCAGCCACAATAATTGTGTCCCCTTCTTTGAGTTTCCCATTCACCAGGATTAAATCTATGGTGGTACCGAGACCAGGCAGTGATTTGACCTAAAAACGCAAAACACATTATGCCGTGAGTTATATCCAAGGACTGGATTCGAAACCGAGCTTTATGCTCCTTGGCATAGAACATTGTTAGGTTTACAAGCTGATCTCGACGACAAAATTACCCTCCATTACTTTCTATTGGCAAAGGAGAAGGATTTCATTTTACGGAAGGCCTTTCCCTTCAAAATTACAAACAGTGTCTGAAATTCTTCTCATTGGATAAAAGAAGGACCAAAACCAGTCTTTCAAGGAATATTGTCGTCTGATGGAGCTTCAGGTCAGAGTTGATGCACCTAAAGAGAAATAAGCTTGGATTTCTCAAGTTCATCAGTTCCAGTTTTCCTTGACCGTCCTCATTCTCTTTTCGTTAAGTCCTACCTTGTTAATTATCATTTGCAGGTTTCCTTCAAACGAGCGACAATTTACAATGAAGCAAAACGACAACGTGTAATATCACCATGTAGTTATTTTAAACAGCTTTGCAATTATCTCTGAAGGTAAATCGCTCATCTGGTGGTAGCCTCCAACCATCGAATATCATAAAAACATGGGTTTGATCTCCCTCGACGCCTAAAACTCAAGGCTTTTCCAGTCGATAGTCTAGTCACTTACCTCTAACACCATGCTCTCCATATCCTCTGAGTAGGAGAGCCTCTGTGCCAGTCTTGTTTGAGTAAGTTGCACCACTTGTGAGATGAGGTCTCCCATTCCATCTCCCGTGTGAGCTGATGTGGGTACGAGCGAAACGTACGAACGAGGGTCGGGATTGTTGTAGAACAAAGCTGCGTTCAAAGCCTGCGAAAAACGAGGAAACATGGTGTTAGACAGGCAGGAACCCTTTAAATCCTTTGAGTGACCAAGACAGAATTTCTCTTTATAACATCATTACAATATCAAGCAGACAAGGGATGAGAATAAAGAAAAATATAAAATAGGGAATTGTTAGTTGATCAAATGCCAAATTCTCCAAACCTACATCATAAGCATTGTGTGGCAGACAGTAAGGAGAATTACTAATTAGATCTTGGGAGTGAAAGGGCTACGGGGCTGAGTCACTGTTCAAGTACGCCATTTGCAATCACGTCAATCTTTTACGTTCTGTGCCATACTTACCATTTCTTGGTTTATTCTAGCCTCTTTTGTGAGCGACTTCCTTACCACTTGACTATCTAAAGGTTTTATTAGATTGGCAAGTACGAAAATCACAAACCTGCTCAGAAAACTCTTTGATTACGATCTGCACACGTTCATCAAACTCTTGCTTGGTGTTCTTCTTCTGTTTCTTGATCGTGTCTACGATGCCAGAATTAGGTCCTCGCTTCCATTCGAACAGCCTGTCAACCTTCAAAACGATAAAGGTTTGTTTTTCATTCACAATTAAAAATCCTTCACGACTCAATCGTCTTGAAGTTGCCACTACTTGCATGTGGTACAAAGCAATCCCACGTCCTCGCCAAAATTTCGTTCGATCACTTTTTCGAAACGTTCTCTACTCAGCCAGGGATGCTTTACAATACGCTATGGGCTTCAAATTTGAAAACAGACAACCAACTAAAATGTCGTACCTTATTCAGTGCCACAACAAAAGGAGTCTTCCTCTTCTTCAACAGGTTGAGTGACTCGATGGTTTGTGGTTCCAAGCCGTGCATGATGTCTACCACTAAAATGGCCATATCACACAGCGATGAACCTCGGGAACGTAAATTACTGCAATACAGAACCAGACACACCATGAAGATTTAATCCTTTAAACCCTAGGGTCAGTATGCATATTTTCTATACTTTTCTCAGTACAAAATTTAAGGTTCTGACAAGGATAATTTGTCTAACAATCAAGAGCTTCCTTAGTTGGTGATCATTTCTTTTATTCTCATAACCTTAATGTGTGATTCAGGGGTGATATTGTAAGGAGAAATTAGATGCCAGTCACTCTTTGGAATCTAAGGGTTAGAGGTTATCGGGTTCACGTGTTCAAGTTTCAATTCCTTTTTCCTTTTTTACGTTATGTAACAGCTTTTTCAATGGAGTTTAACAATCAGGATCAATTCCGCACTTGCAATCCTGTCTGTTAACTATTTGTGATCAAATCACACGTCATTAATCGTGCTGAGAAAACAGTCTTACCTGAAAGACTCATGCCCTGGTGTGTCGATGATAAGAAGACCAGGAAGCTTAATGTCAAAAGACTGGAACTGAAACAAGAAATAAGAACAACATTTTTTCATGAAGCTAGAAAGATCAATTTACTTCCATCACTTAGTTTGTCAAGACACGACATCTGCTTCGCACCTCGAAAAACCAGAAATCACGTCATTTACACTTTTTCAGCCCAAGCACAATTTAGAATTGACCTGAAAAACAGTTAAACCGATATATCTTTCGCTCTTCGAGCCTCTTCTGATGTTAACTGTGTGCAAAAGAAGCGATGTCCAGTTCTCTAAGGTTTGTAGCCTCGGCGCTTAGAATTTCCCACAAGTGAATCTGGGCAACAAAAGAAATAACACCTGCAGAAAAACGACCCTCATAATTGCATGCAAGGTTCTTATGACGAGGACCAACGTTCGATGAATAATATAACACATTCATTTCTTACGTCTTTAATCATCTTCGTCTGCTCTCTAATGGCGTCTACAGGGACCATAGTAGCACCGATCTGTTGCGTGATCCCACCCGCCTCTCCGTCTTGGACATGGGTGTGACGAATCTACAAACACAAAATATTAATTCAGTTAACACTCTATCAGGACTCCCGTCCACAGCTTTGTTTCTTGAGAATCTCCTAACGACCCAGCCTCTCCCTCCTCTTCAACGAAGTCGTGAGTTTTGCTGTTCATATAAAATTGATAGCACTTCAGTTCAAGATATTCTTGTATTTGAAAGCTTTCTCTTTATCAACTTCCCTTTGGAATATTGCACGGAAATGTAAACTGTGCATGTTAAATCTGAGCGACAGTCAGAGGAAAAGTAATGACTTGTGTTTTCGTTCTTAACAGTGAGTTTTAGATGAGCTCCCCGACCCCCTTGCTAGCCCCCTCCTATATCCCCCCCCCCCCCCCCCCCCTTCTTACCCTTTCTTGCGCTTTGGTTGTTCCAGGATCACTGGAAAGAGGCACGGGCAGGGAGGGGTGGAAAGTGGATCTGTGCTTGAATTGAGTAATTTACCTTATCTAAAATCTTTGTTTTCCCGGTGTCCACATGCCCTAGTACACAGATAACCGGAGATCGCAAGTTGTCCGTGTTGCGGTTGGCTTCTGCTCTCACATGCCTTTTCTGAAAACAAAAAAAATAACATATCATCAAAATATCTTTATATCAGACGCAAGATTATCATAAATGTTTGTAATTCTTTCGATCTTTCTCTGGTAATTTAAGTTAAGAAATCCCACCTGTATTCTTTCCCATACAGTCTCTGTTTTGCTTTCCTCGTCGTCCGACTCTTCCTCGCTGTCACTGTCATCGTCATTTTCCTCAGAGTCACTTTCTTCTTCACTTTCCTCACTCTCCTCAGATTCTTCTTCACTCTCAGCAGCTACATCTGTGGGCTCTTTGACTTCCACCTTCAAAAAGACCGTCGGATAATTATAACAGATTAAGAAAGGCCTCGCTGTTGATTGGACTGTAATAAATTAAACTGGCCTCTTCAAACTTTTCTAGTATTCTGCTAACGTCCCAAGTGTCCGGTAAACCGACAGATAGTTCTTTCTATTGTTTTATAAAAATTGCTCTAGGTTTATCGCCACAATTTACAACAGGTGTTCAACCAATTAGAGTGAGCATTTTGTTTCTTTAGAACACGTTATAATGTTGGTAAATCACTGTTCTCCTGACAATGTTATGTTACGTACAAAGTATAAGCGCCTCTTACAAAAAGACGAATAGAATAGTCATGTACCTGAACGGTGTCGGCTGGTTTGGCATTAGAATCTACAATAAAAAAGGCTTTTGTTGAGATTACTGCATTTTATAATTAATAACGAATATAAACACCACAAACACAACAGGACCGTAAAGAACTACTATGCGGCTACACATTTTGTTGAGTTATTCGCGGGCGAATAACGCTCGTTCTGAAGCGCTTCTGATGAGAGCCTGCCTCCTAAATGTTCATTACGTCTGATATCACAACCGACAGACCACAAATGAGAATTAAGAACTAAGGGTTGCCACAAAACTGGAAAAAGGAGGAAGGAAATTTATACCAGAGGAAAGTACAGAAAATCGCAGACCTTTAACAGCAGTGCTTTCCTCTGTTTCTTCATCAGAATCAACATCCCAGGAATCCTTAACCTACAGAACAAACACAAGTTTACCAGAAGACTAACAGTGAGTCAAATTTTGCAAAGAAAGACTTTCAGCTTCCAGGGCTAATTAGACTATGCTTACAAGACTTGAATTTAAGATTTAAACCTGAAACTCCTATAGGCCATGATATAATTTTTTCCTTATCCCAATACCCAGCAGACAAGAGATAAGAATTTAGAAAAAATATCGATAAGGAGACTATTAGTTGATCCAATACCAAATTCTCCAAACTGACTTACCTCATCTTCTTCCTCATCTTCTTCATCTTCCTCTTCTTTGTCTTCTTCTTGTTCATCGTTTTCAGCATCATCATCCTGCAGCTCTGAAGAGGATACAATGAAAAAAAAAAAAAACTGTACATTCTTGAACTTAAAGATTCCCTATGCATCTATTTAGCAAAAAAAGAAATATTTTCATATTCACTATTAGTCATTCATACCATCAGATTTCTTGTCCTCCTCTCCAACAGTTGCCCTTTCAGTTGTTTCTGGTTTTGGGTGAAATGTAATCACACAAAGTTATGATATGATTCATTATTATTTTTTTCGTTAATAAAGTCTTCAATTGGTCAAGTTTTGTTATTGTCTGTCTGAGTTTAGGTCAAAAATCTGTGGCTTGTACACAGCTTGTATGTGAATAGATTACCTTTAGAACTGCATCACAGCCCTTTTAAAATAAATTTCAAACACAAAATTATTTTCCTTACCAATATCCTCAGCCTCAGCCTGCACTGCTTCTTCCTGATCTTGTTCTTGTTGCTGCTGCTGTTGCTGTTTCTTTGGTTTTTTTGTGCCATACCTCACTGGCTTCCTCACTCCATCCTGCTCTTGTTGATTCAGGGCCGGAATGTTGATTAGACCTACAATTACAAAAGATGTTCAAAGTCAGCATCATTTCCTTGACTCCTTAGCTTGAGAATTCACTCTGCTCAGGGTTAACTAAAACCAACTTGCTTTATCACTTAGGTACCTTGTTTTTTCATCGAATCTAACATGGCTTGAGCTTGTGCTCGCTGTTGCCTCTGTGATTTAGTGAGGAGTTTTCCTTCCTTTTTAAGCCTCTCTTTCTTCTCCTGCAAATTGCCATCAATAACAAAATTTGTGCCAGTGGAATTGGTGCATAAACTAGTAAAACATGGAAAGGTAGTAGTGACCATGTGCAACCACTGTATTCAGAGTATGATTATGTTTTTCAATTCAAGGTTGAATAATATGCTTTCACTCTTTGACTCCCAGAAGTGATTAACATGTAACTTTTCCTTATAATATCCATTCAATATCCAGCTAACAGGTAATGAGAATTCCCAAACTTATCAGGTAGAAGTTATCTTGATCTAACACCAAATTCTTGTAACTAGATCACAAGGAAATGTAGCAGCTAGAGGGGAGAATTAACAATCAGATCTTGGAAGTTTTAAGGGTTAAGTTCTGGGTTTGTAATGATGAAAAGCACACCTATGTACCTTCTCTTTCTGTTTTTTTTTCTCTTTCCTTTCCTGTTCAAGTCTTAACTGTACAAAAAAATATATTAATAACAAATCAGTAAGTAAGTAATGATCAATAAGCAAAAACTCAAGTCAGGTCAATCATTAACTCAAAGTTATCCATGTATATTTTGCACACACACAAAAAAAAAACCATCGCAGGAAATGACAGACAGTAAATCAATTGGTTTAATAGTAAAAGACATGATACCTTCTCAAGTCTCCTGTTCTCTGCCTCTTCGAGAGCTCTTTGTTTCTCCTCCTCTTCCTGTTTCCTTCTTTCTTCCTCAGCCTTGAGCTTCTCCAGCTGCTCCTGCATCTGTTTCACCAAGGCCTTGTTGGGCTTCTTCACTTTCTTCTCTTCTTTCTCTCCTTTTTTCTTCTTTTTCTTTTTCTTTTTATCTTTTTCCTCTCCATCCTCTTCACCTTCTTGGTCTTCACCCTTGTCTTCCAGGTTATCAGGTACTGTCTTGTCAGCTTCCATGTCACCTGCACCTTATGAAAGAAATGAATTAAAAAAATAATAACAACAAATAAAAAATCTTCTGCAGAAGAAGCAGTTTAGTAACAAGTTACAAGTTATAGCACTGAAAAACCAAGGCACATGAATCACACATTTTTTTTTAACCGCACGCACAAAAAATCATACATACACGTCTGACTACCCTGTGTCGGAGCGCATGAAATTCGTCTGTGTAGTTAATGTATACGCGAGCAGTACTGTACATACTTTAAAACAATTGTGAACCATGGGGTCTCATAGGGCAGTTTTCAGTTGAGCTTTGTCAAACCAAAATCAAAGTAATTGCAAAAGCAAATTGAAGTGAAGATCAACATCATTGTTCACCAATAAAAACTCAAAGTAAAATGAGGCAAACTGCATGAAACACTTCTATAATCATTGAAATTGAATTACAGTAACTACAACATGTTCTGATTCTGTACCTTCTCCCTTATCTTCATTGCTGGTTTCAGCTTGGGTCTCACCAGTCCCTTCTCCACTCTTGTCATCCTCCTTGGTTTCTCCTTTACCTGCCTCTTTTGTCGCTTTTGCTTTTGCCTTGGCTTTTTCAGCTTCTTTTTTCTTTTTCTCCCTTTCTTTCTTTTCAGCTCTTTTTTGTGCAGCTGTTTTTATTATAGCACCAGAATCATCAGAATTAGTGTCGGGTTTCGGAGCTGCAGTATCTTGCTTTGGAACAGGTTTCACTTCGTCATCTCCAGAATCTTCCTCCAAATCAAAGTCAAAATCCTTTTTGTCTTTCTTTTTCTTCTTGGACTTTTTAGATGTGGTGACATTAGGTTCATCGAAAATCTCATTATCATTATTTGTCTCCAAAGTATCATTTTCACTTTTGCCATCGTCCTTGGAAGCAATTTGTTCAATTTCTGTTTCAGTTTCGCCTTGTTTCTTTTTTTTGTCTTTCTTATTTTTCTTTGAACTTGTCACTGTTTCCAATTCATCGTCATTTCCATCAGCTTCCATGACCCCATCATCTTCAATATCAAGACCTTGAAACCTACCACCAGCATTTTTGTTTCCCTAAGGAAACACACAAGTTACAAATCAAACTAACAAATAGGTTTTACATTGCCATGCATCAGTTCAATAATAGATCACAGATGGCATCAAAATGAAGAACGACAAAGTAGTGCATAAGGTGTAGCAAAAAGTGTCACTAATGTTCTTACCACATTTTGAAAGCATCTGTGATTTATTACTGAACAGACCCACAGCAACATGGAATCTATTTCTTTTGTAATAACAACCATTACAATTTCCTCAAATGTGATTGGTGCATTAGCTGCTTTATTTTTTACTAATCATTCTGTAGAGCTGTAATCAGACTGTGTAATCGGACAGTTGGCTGTAATCAGACAGTTGAAGTAGCCAATCATACTAAGTCCACTCAGCCAAATTCACCATTCACAGAATTAATTACAACAACCATAGCAACAACCACTAATCCTGAAAAAAATTGCGGAATTTCTAAAATAGAGAATCATTTTTACTCAGGACATTGTCTCTACCATAGATATTTGACCAAAATGTATTTGTTGTTTTCCGAAATTGTAATGGTTATGATTAATTGGTAACAGGACTTCTAGTTGTCCAGTTCTGTCTGTAATCATACTTGTGATTGACAAATTTGACTCCCACATTGTGGTCATCCAATTTTGTTAATCACTCTTATGATTACAGACTGAATTGGACCCCACTTGGTCGTATTACCATCATGTAATAAAGAAGCAAAAAAATGTTAATGGTGATGTCTTTCATGCAGCTATTCTCCAATAGATTATAAGGACCAATCAAAATGAGTGCATAATTCTGCATATTATAGAAAGTCTTGTAAAAACCATTCCAAAGTAAAATTACAAAAAAGCCACAAATTACTCACTGCATTATGAGACATGGACAACCCATATTTGGGTTATAACTGTTTATTACAAATGAAAGTTGTACTTTTCAAAAGAATGTTTTAAAAAATAGAAACAGATTGCCATTTAATTAAAGCATCTTACCTTAGGTTCACTTGCACCATTTTCTTTGTCTAGTCCGTCCTCCTTTAATGATTCAAGATCATTGAGCACATCATCCTCCCTGAAAATGGTAGTTTTTTAGCTCAGTTGGTAGAGCACTGCACTATTATTACAGAGGTCATGTTCAAATTCAGGCCTGGCTTTTTTTCAGGCCTTATTTTCACTACTGCTTAAGTTGTGTTCATAACTGTGAAGATTGCTTGCAGATTCATTTCTTAAACTGCAGTTCACACATATGATTTTCATATATTTACAGTCATAGATACTGGTCTTTATCAAAACATGGTCACCTTCAGCCTCACTCCAAATTAAAGGCATGGCAACTGAGTACACAGCTGTAAAATGTCTTATTCTGATGATTTTGGTTCAGATAATTTAGTAATAAATCAATTAATAATTCCCTAGTTGATAATTTCCTTATTCTTGTCACTTGTCTGCTTGAATTCATATTGATGCTGTAAGGAGAAATTCTGTCTCGGTCACTCATGGTAGTTTAAAGGTTAATTGATAGCCAACTAATAATAGTTAGCATATAGTCAATAGAAATTAGACCAATCATCAGCTGATGCCTTCATGACCCAATCATGAACTGATGTCTGTCTTGGTCGCGAAACTGTCAGAATAATTTGATGTTTCAGATGTTATTGAAAAGCAAAGGCAATATACAATAATCACTCTGAAACACGTGACAAAAAGTACATCAAGTAAAAAATTACTGAAGTTATTCTTACCAATCAGCGTCCTTCTTTTTCCCTTTCTTTGGCTTCCCCATCCTTATCTTGCTTCACTTGCCGCACGTTTTCGTAAATTAAACTATCTACCAAATCATGTGGGGAATAATTCACAACACAGGAAGCAAGTCAAAAAGATGACTGGCGCTATCTCTTTGTTTGTGATTCAGATATTCTATCGATTTCTGCCGCTTCTTTAAGTTGCATAGGCAAAAACGTCATTTAAAACCAAATATGAAAATAATTTTGGATAAAGAGCTCAAATGGAGTTGGATCTGAACCGTAAAACTACCAAACTTTAAAATAGAATCCACGAAAAAAGTTATTGCATGTGAATTTGTAAGATCGTCGTAATCTTCTTCCCCAGTCCATTCCTCGGAAGTCAAATGAAATCCCAGAGTTCCTCACTCGCTGAGTCAGCCGAGAAGCACACATGACACAGGCATCATGGATGTCGAGGTTCCTGGAAGAGGGATCGGACTTTTACCAAGCCCGTTGAGTTCAAATTAGCCACATTTTCCCCTTAGCGAGAAATATTCTTTATGTCGAACAAAGAAAAGTACTCATCGGATGGTAAGGGCCGCCGTAACGAGTCCAGGTAGGGATATTTTTGCTTGCATCTTCATCGATAGCTGATTTGATGGCAATGCCCCTCTTTAATACGCCGGTTTATTTGGGGTGATTTGTCATCGGCATGTGTCTTAGTAGTGTACAATTTTGGGCTTGTTAGCGCACTTTTAAATGCACTCTTTTCTTGTCCAGGAACTGTAGCCAAGATAACGTTGGTGATGACAGCGCAGACATGTAAGTTGTACAATCCTGTACTTGTGAAAATCTAATTTATATTACAAGCTTCGATTGAACGCCAAATATGATATTTCAGCGTGTAATTTTATGTGTTGTAAATCCTACTTGTAACGCGTTTGTAGGCAGAGTATTTTGTCTAAACTAAATGCTGATCAGTCTCCCTTTTCACGTGAAACTAAGATCATGTTAGTGGTGTTATTGGCAACTCAAACTTAAAGGCACCAATTCTTTTTATCGTCTTGGCAACACCATGCTACCTCAACGTGGATTTTTATGCTATTATTTAATGTGGTGTAATGCTCATTAGTTCAAACACTTTCGATTTCTTGTATGAGGACCTTCTTTGTTCTGATTTGCGTGTTAATCTGGCTTTCATTGCGTGGGGGCGAGAAAAATTACTCTTGCCATGTGGTGTTTTGAATTTGTTGGACACCATTGATGACGAATTATTTATTGTGTAGAGCGATTGTGGTGTTAATAGCACAGCTATGATGTGAATTATGTAAATCAGTTCGATTTTATTCGTGCACATGGAGTTAAGATAATCTAAGCTTAAAATTACATAGGACACTCTTGCAATAATTTAAATTTTGGCTAATTATTCATAGAATTTATGTACATGTAACAGATACAGATGCTACTGATACTTTCATGGTTTTCTTTTGAGGGAGAGAGGAGGGGGGGAAGTCCTATTTTCCTTATGCTTTTAAAGGATCATATTCAGAGTTTCCTCTTTAACCCTATAACTCCCAGAATGGGGTAATCTGTAGTTTCTCCTTATGATATCCCTATATTGTGCAGCAAACAAGAGAATACTCAAACTTATCAGGTAGCAGGTTCCAAGATCTATTTTTAAAATGTTACCTATTGGCAACCTTCATTGTGAAATGGTCGCCATTGAAAATTTTGGTCACTTCACACCCCTCCCCCCTTCCCTCTATGGTCACCAAAACAGTCACAAGTTGGAGCACTGTGTACAAGTTGTTATCCTGATCTTACATCAAATTTCCAAGGTAATGGGTAGCAGCTTGAGAAGATATTTAACACTCAGATCTTGGCATTTAACGTAGAAACATGTCTCACTATTATTGGTTTCATCCAATTTCTTCGCAAATGGCTGCAAATTAAAAAAAGTAGAAATCAGCATTATATTAGTCTCAGTCTTCATGCATTGTCTTCACCCTCCAACTCCCATTGGTGACCAAGACAGAATTTCTCCTTACCATATTAAAACAATATCAACCAGACAAGTAATCAGAATAAAGAAAAGATATCAATTAGGGAATTGGTTGTTGATCCAATACCAAATTCTCCAAACTAACATCATAGAAATTGTATGGCAGACAGTAAGGAGAATTACTGATTGGATCTTGGATCATGTACTTGACTGCTTAGAGAAGTCTTTGTATCCTAATCAAACTTTTAACAACCTTTGCCAAAACATTATTAATTGAGAACTGAAGAAATGGTGGGACTTTATTTTTCTACTTTGTTCTACATCAGTTAAATTTTTTTGGCTGAGATGATGTAATTTGATGCATAACCTTGAGTCTGAGAAGTGAAATGATTATTTGGAAAAAGTATTGAAAGATGAGTCTTTAATTTTGCTCCCAAAAAAGTGTACAAACCCTATACATTTGAAGGAAAACTTATGTGTGCCAATACAGAAATATGAAACAAAATTAAGATTGAATCTGTATTTCACTGGTTACATCCAGGCATAAGGAAAAAATAATAGGGAAATAGAGAGCATTTAGGTAAATGCCTTGGCTATTGCATTGCATCATGGGTTACTGGCAATATATTATTTGCAGTGATGTACATGTGCAGTGGCATGTATCATTTATCTTTTTACAGGAAGCGAGCTGCCGAGCAGAAGATAAAGAACTATTTTTTCCAGCTGACAGATGGTTGTGGCTCCCATGAATGTAAAAATGAGTACTGTGCATCCAGTGGAAGAAAGCAAACCTCCAAGGATGATGCTGCAGCTTTGGCATTACAGTTATTCATGAAGAAGGCCCGTCTCTGTGAACCTCTGCAAGATAAAAATCACAAAGGTATGATTATACAGTGATTCGGTAAGATTTTAGGGTTTTCAAGAAAGTTCAAGACTTGGTTTATTATCAATTTGGTACTGAGGCAATTAAATAAAACCACATAAACTAATTTTAGAAAGTACAGTTGTACATACTTTGACAATGAAGCCCTTAATTGTTAAACAAATCAAATTAAATTATGATGTTTATTATGTACAAAATTAGATGACAGGAAACTTTGGAGATTGTCCTTATTGTGGAAGGTCTCTGTATAACATAGGAAAAATAGGAAATATTAACTACAGTGTGATAAAATAAAATTGTAAGAACTAGCAAGAGTTTAGCTTACTTTCAGCAAAGGCAAACAAATCAGAAACAACCAAATTTTTTTCTTAAGCTTGAAAGTGTCAGCTTTTCAAAATTGTTTAAGGCTTTTAATTTACTTTTACCAACATGTAGTTGATATTCAGTGAAGTGTTTCACTTGCCAGGGGATGCAACACAACATCTTAGACTTTCAAAACTTTCTTCATTTATATGTGCTTTATCTAGCTTTTCCTTGGCATCATTAATTAACTTGTGTGGTATCACATAATTTTGTAAGAGTTTGTTTCATGACATCATTGATATTTGTTACTCTTTTCCCTCATTTTTATGTAAGGAAAGTTTTTTTGTGACATTAATGAAATATTGTTGCATGGCAACTGTTAGCCCAAGGTAACTATTAATTTAGTTTTTGATGAGTAGGGGAATTATGATATGTAAGCATTGGAGGAAGTAGTAGGGCATTTAACATTACTTCTACTGACTGATCGTTTGGCATTGTTTACGATTGTTAGTTCCAACACAGGAGGCACCATTTCTCACAGAAAAATCAGTTTTGAAAAACCTTGACTCATTTGCGGAAGAGGGAAGCTACAAGAAGCTTGTACACAACATTGGCATAGTGTTTTCTAGTTCTGAATCACTGAACAAAAGTTTCCTGTTAGATTCAGCAAGTAGGCAAAACTCAGGGACCAATGTTGACATAGAGGCTGTTCGGCGTATGTATGCAGCCCTGTTTAAAACAGGAGATTCCTCTGTGGAGAACTCATTAATAAATTCCCTGGTTGCCTTATCCCCAACTCTGGAAGTGGAAATGCGATTCAAGTCACCAAGCAATGATCCAAACTTCTTGAATCAATTTGTGATTATCATGGAAAACACTATGTTACAGAGTCCAGAATATTTAGATCAAGCTCTTCCTGGTTTTCTGAAGGCCATGGCGTTACTGTCTGCTAAACAACAAGCAAACTTAGTGCATATCTGGTCACAGTTTTCAAGTCAGGAAATTCGACGAATGGTTGAAACACTTCAGCAGCTTGTGACATATCAAGTTTTAACAGGACCTTGTGCTACAAGCACTGCACCAGTACAAGAGGATGATGCAATAGTAGCAGCAACCAAAGTCATGAAACTTCTGTATTATGCAAGTGTAATGGGTGGAATCTTTGATCAAACTTGCTTAAGCAACAGCCATGATGGAGCAACGGGAGGTGATAATGAAGAGGACCCTCTAGTTAAGGAATTGAAAATTGATGTACAAGACTGTCGCCAACCATTAGTTAAATACCAAGAGTTTGTTAATGATCCGTTAAATGACCAAATTGAAGTAGATCGTGATTATACCTACTACAAACATGAGAAGGGGACAAAGTTTTCATTTCTAAAGTACAACTTCATCCTTTCTACGGTTACAAAGAGCATGGGTTTGTTTTATGATAATCGGATACGCATGTATAGTGAGAGACGGCTGACTATACTTTACAGTCTTGTGAGAGGAGAGCAGGGAACACCATACCTAAAACTCAAAGTTCGACGAGATCACCTCATTGAAGATGCTCTTGTTAACGTAAGTACATGTATTAAGCCCTCAACCTTGAAAAGGCACCCACTTCAAACAAGAGCCCACTCTGAAGATACAGTGTAGTCCCATAAGCACCCAGCCTTGAATAACGCATTGTTTAGCCAGGGAGCAGGGTTTGTGTTTGGGTTTTGCCTTACTGCCCCTTTACTGCACATGGCTACCTATTACACCATCAGCAACAGCTTATGTAAATGTTATTGAAATCTCTGCAGGCTCTTACACAATCTATGTAACTCAGTCCTTGTGTGGAGGTAGGCCACTGAAACAGTTTCAAAGCTGACATCAGAGCGAGAGATGAAGGGCTAACACTCGAAACGTTAGCTTTGAAATTCTTTATGGTGGCCTATTTATTTTTACTTTTCAACTCAGTTGTTCATACTAAATTACCCTGTTATACTCTCCCATCAACCAGCACCACACTTTCTTCTTGTGTGCAGACTTTGATTAGGTACACATAAATATGAACTACACTGTTACAAAGTATCTTTTTTCTTCAAACAGCTTGAAATGACTTCACAAGATAACCCAGGTGATCTCAAGAAGCAGTTGTATGTTGAGTTTGAGGGAGAGCAGGGAATTGATGAAGGAGGAGTGTCTAAAGAATTCTTTCAGTTGGTTGTTGAGCAAATATTCAACCCAGATTATGGTAAATATAATTTTTATGATTTTATGATTTTATTCTCTGACTTTTAACAGCACCTTTGAAGAACTCCTTTTTAAACTGTGTTTCTGAATCTACTTTTATGAGAGTAATACAGTGATTAAGTGTGAAAAGCGAGACTTTGGGTTGCCATACTCAAACAGAAGAGGCATGAATCTTTTACAATTTTCTGTTATCTAATGGCTACAGCTACATTAGACTCCACAGCAAGAATTTTATTAATGTATTCAAACAAAAAATCCACCCTATCAGTTTATGTACATGTACAGCTGTAGCTTATTATGATCTCCTTCTGCATACATCGTACACCTTTTTCCAGGTCTCCAGGAAGTAAGCATTGATGGGACTCATTAAATTGTGAATGGGTGCAAATAGACTTTTCTTCACAAGTGGCTGTATTTCCTGCAGTAAAATAGTTTCCACAGCCCTTATCTATATTTGCAATAGAGTTATATATGAGGATGACAAAATCTTCACTTACCAGTAATTGTAGTGTGGTGAACCACTTACATGTTAATGCCTACAATGTACAAAATAATTTACAATGAGCATCAAAATCAGTTGACACATTGTGTTGGAAGGGTTCTTTTTTGTGAGTAGATCCCCTCTCCCCCTGTTCAGTGTTGTTTGCTTGTAGCTAAAAGATCGCAAAACTGCAACACTACATTCTTTTGGGAGGAAGGAGTGCAAATAATTGCAGGTTATATTAGTCAGGACAAAAGAGGTAAAAGTAAAGTAGAAGGGAGTTGAAAGGTCAATGTGTCAACAATTTTGTTGCTGATTGTGCATAAGTTTACTTACGTATTGACGAAGTTCATTACCTTTTCAGGGATGTTCACTTTTGATGAGGCCACACAGTACTGCTGGTTCAATCTGAATTCATTTGAGACAGATAGTCAGTTCTTTTTGATTGGTTTGGTCCTGGGCCTGGCAATCTACAACAACGTCATTTTGGATGTGCACTTCCCAATGGTTGTGTACAGAAAGCTTTTTGGCAAGAAAGGGACTTTTGAAGACCTCAAGGTTTCACATGCGGTATGTTCCATAGTAAAATTCATTATCACCTCCTGATGGTGAGTGCACTAGCTTGCCCCAACTTTTTCATACCTTCTATAATGGCACATACATTTTAAATAATTTGCAGGGCCTTGCTGCTGGTCTCCAGAACATGCTTGATTACAAGGGTGATGTTGAAAGTGACTTCATGTGTACTTTCACCATTGGCTACACAGACATGTTTGGCATGTCAGTGACCAAGGAGCTGAAGGAAAATGGAGCAGAAATCAGTGTTACCAATCAAAATAGACAGGTGAATGGAAATTGATATTGAAGCTATTTGTGTGCTTTTGTTGCTTTTTATTGTTAAGAGTTGCACTTTCCCCTAAATGTACCACAATATACCGCTACGCACGTATTTGTTAGCTGGCACTTCTCGTTTGTTCTCCTCCTGTCGCCTCTCCCTTCAGAACTTTAGCTAGCTCATAACTAAACTAAAATTATTCTTCACTCAAGGAGTATAATTTTATTTATATTATGAATTAATAAATGACAAGTAAAGATTTGATCATAACATGAATACCATAGTGTAACATTAACTTCTTGATACTGTTTAACATTATCAGGAGTTTGTGGATTTGTATGCTGATTTTATCCTGAACAAGTCAGTTGATAGGCAGGTAAAAACAAAACTGTTCTATTGTTATCGACAATGATTTCTTCACAATTTCAAACAGTTTGTACCTTCTGTTTCTTTTAATGGGACAGTGTTGCTGTTGTGCTATTTTCCGTGTATAACTTTTATTATTGGTTTTATTTTGTCCTCGCTCATTTGCATCACAGTGCACATTACGTCAATACTCTAAAAGAGAAGGGAAAATGTAAAACTGAGGTTAAACTAGAATCTCTACGTACACAGGCTGTCTTCCCATGACCTCTTCCGGGCAATCTTTCTGTCACCTTCTCTATAAAATTACAGCTAAATAAACTTGTTAATGAAAAAGCCAGCAATCAGACAGTCATATCAGCAACAAAACACTATGTTAGTTTCTACATCCTTTTGGGAAACTTTCTTTCTCTGTTTTGAGAGAGATAATTTGGTAAAACAGTGCAGAGATTATAGGTGTAAATAGTAATAAGGTGCATCTGTGCTGTTTTAATTTTTGTTTTGTTTTGTTTTGTTTTGTTTTTGACAGTTCAAAGCGTTTCGACGTGGTTTTGATTTGGTGGTGAGTGAGTCACCTTTAAAGACATTCTTTCGTCCGGATGAGGTGGAGCTGTTAGTTTCCGGTTGCCAGGTAACAACTTTGAATGTTATCGTTACGAACATCGCTTGGCTGTTAGGCTAGAAGTTAGGTAATTTGGAGCAGCTCCCTGAAAAAACCTGTCGGCTGACCTTCGGTCAACTGTTGGTCGACTAAAGGGCATTTCTATTGAATATTTATAACCAAAACCGAAGTTATGCCAGTGGCTGGGGAAAAGGATATTATGATAAGGAGCATCTGGAAATTCCTTGTAAAATGAAGCAGACTGAAGGCCTGAACTGCGGGGAAAAAATGAGTAACCAAATCGCAATCGGTTGTTCTATCAGCTACTGGAAATTTCGGTTCAATTGAAAAATTTACTAGTATAGAAGTTCAGTTATTATTAAAGAAAGTTTTCGCACGGCTTAAATACCCGGGGCGCCTGGTAAATTCTACCATTAACACCTTCTTACAATCAAGAATTGTTGGTACGCAGCCCACACAGACGCCCAAAGAACCAATATCCATTGTTCGTGTGGTCATACCTTTCAAAGATCAAGAATCAGCAAATTATGTTAAGAAAGAGCTCAAGAATCTTAGCATGAAGGTGCAGACAACTGTCCAGCCAGTATTTGTTAGCCGCAAAGTAAGCCAAGATCTTAAAGTACGAGAAATCAAGCCACAGATTATCAACCAACAACGCGTCGTTTATCAATTTCAATGTGACCTGTGTGATGCGGGTTATGTGGGCTATACACGCGGACACTTACACACACGCGTGGATGGACATTTGCTTTTCATCAGAGACTTAAAACCCACTCTGAACGTGCAAAGCGATTCAATTCGCGCAAAAGTATTTGTTTAATTAGCTCGTAACATATTTATGCTAATTTAATGTTACACTTTGCCACAAACTTCATTCTTTATTTCTCCTTGACAATGGCGTCATGATGACACCGAAACGTCGGTTTTTATCGTTAGTTTTTGCTAGTCTTTGCATTTCTAAATCCTTATTGATAAAAGTGTGCATTTGTTCCTTTTTTGCCCTTCAGGATTTCGACTTTGATGCACTTGAGAAGTCTACCGAGTATGACAATGGTCTTTCTGAAGGCTCAACTGTAATCAGGTACAAGCATCGATTTTTTTACCACGCGAGGAAAATAATCCTGAGATAAGATAAAGGAATATGTAAACGTTGACTGCTAACTCATCTAGTAACTTTAAAAAAGAAGTTTGCGATGTTATTTACGATGGATTGCAAATCTAACGTGCTGAAGATCTACTTGAGATATTAGAGTCGGGAACTACATGGCAATTTTTTAACAGCACAAACAATCATGACCCGATCACGACTTGAGGGCGACAGATTTATGAATATTTTATAATTTTTCTTCGTAAAACTTACATCCTCCTCCGAGGCCGTCGTTTGTGCCTTTCATGCAGCTGTCCCGTGGAAAGGAGAGTTGCATGAAGAGTGCAGTTGACGGCTTCGAAAGAGGCGGTGGACCTTGAGTGATGCTTGTATGATCTGACCGTAGATGGTTCTGGCAAGTGGTACACGAGTTCACTTTGGAGCAGAAGAAGCAGCTGCTGATGTTCACAACAGGAAGCGATAGGATCCCCGTCGGTGGCTTCTCCAAACTGAAACTTGTTATCGCCAAGAATGGCCCTGACTCGGACAGGTATAAACTGTGACTGTAATGGGGTGCCTATGTTTGGCTTACTACCAGGAAATATTGAAATAATGATCCTTCAGGACCCAAAATGATCTTTGCTATTTTCTTTGCCCCTACAAACGGGAATGTCTTGGAATTTCCGCATTTTTCTTTTCGAACGAAGGAGGCTGCTAAGAACGGCTTGAAAGTGAATTAATTTTACCTACGGTGGCCTATTGTTAAGCCTTCAGAACTGCGTACCAGAGGCAACCAAGGTTGGGCCTTGACAGCTCCACCGTTTTGTGCTCTTCGGTAACTCACCGAATTCTCACAGTGCCTCTCCCTCCCCCCGGTAATATATATGGATGCCGACAAACTGCCAGTATTATCAGAGGAAATTCCGTGAGGGGCGGGTAACCTGTTGTTGTTGCTTTGGTTTCTCACGGTCTTGTTTTCTGTTTTCCTCGACAGACTTCCAACCGCGCACACGTGTTTTAATGTGCTCCTTCTCCCGGAATACTCAAGCAAGGAAAAGCTTAAAGAAAGGCTGCTGAAAGCCATTACTCACGCTAAGGGCTTTGGTCTTCTGTAGTTAAATCACTTAACCCTTTAACTCCCAGAAATGTCCAACATCTAACTTCTTCCTTTAATAACTGTACATTTTCCAGCAGACAGGCGATGAGAATACTCAAACTTATCAGATAAAAGTTGTTATCTTGATCTAACACCAAATTCTCATAACTAATTTACTTGGAAATGTGTGTGCAGCTAGAGGAGAGAATTAACATTCAGATCTTAAGAGTTGAAGGGTTAAACAAGGATATGGTGTTCCCCTATCAACACATAACTGGCAAAATGGGAATGTCAGCGTTTGAAATATTGGGATTAGTTGAAGACTGTTTTATGTGAAACTGAATGTTACTGCTTGACAATAATGATAGTGAAATATTAGCCTTATAATGACTGATTGCGGACTACTCTAGGTTAGCATACAATTGAATATCCTCTAAATAACACGAATGTTTCCGCTCCAATCTGCACACACGTGTAACATTTTTCGAATTGGGTGTTTGCGACGCAAACAGGGAAACGTACGCTACTAGTGTATTCCAACTGTATTGCCAGGGTATGCCGCGAGTTGCGACGCTTTACAATTCATATTTCAGGGCTGGAACCATTCACCAAACATGTGTATTGGCGAGAAATACTGAATATGGAATGGACGGCTTATCTCTTCTGACAAGGAAGAGTATCATGGAATGATGCGTATATTAGGATTGCTTAGTGTCATTCATTTCTGCTATTCCCATAATTCTCGAAGAGTTACCTACAAGATGAATGAGATCGGACGCGAAAAACATGTATGCAAAGTTGACTGTTCTCAAAAAAATTGTTTCACCTTAGCATACTGATAAACTCTACGGTTTTTTCCAGGACTTATCGGGTCGATGATCTCTACCTATGTTTATTTCAGAAATTCTTGTTAGTATTTGATCAAACGTGTGCATATTGAAGGAATGATTCTATCGCAAATTGTAGGACATTGTATTCATTTTTCGACTCAGCTTGATGAATTTCTGCCCAAGAACAAAAAAATATAGACTAGTCAGGTTGGACATCTGCTGAACCTTGAAACTGAGTCAAGCTCTCTTTAGGCTAGCACTAATAGTAACGCAACCTTATTAGGGTAAACCTAAGGCACAGTGTAACACGTAGGGCGTGCATGCCAGCATAAATAAGCGTCATAAGACCACCTAACTGGTATCTTCAAGGAGTCCATATGACTGACTTGAAGCAAAGGTTACTGCATTGGTGTTGCATTTGAATGCTGTAGAGAGACGTCTGTGTCGGTTTTAGTGTGATATTGCCGCATGTTCTAAAGGAACGTGGGACATTTACAGGGTCACATTTACTTGTATAGATGTTTGCTTTTAGGTTATTATAAATGTAAAAAATGCTTTCGAGTTTCCGTTTATGAGGTAATTAAAATTGTATTTTTGAAATTGAAGTGTGCAGTAATATTTTCTTAGGAAAACAGGCGTCGAAATTTGAATTTTCCTTCCCGACTTGCACTAGCCTCGCAGAGTTTTGGCCTTTTTTTGGTTTGAGTGCTTTCTCTTTTTATGATGGAATTTGATGAAAAACAAACATGGAACAACAACATCCTAAAAGATCTGATGTCTTTTTTTGCAAAAGAAGATCGTTTTAGTCGAGTCGGGATCGGGGCGACCTTTCCCTAGAGGGCGAGGTACTGGGTAAAGAAATGATGAAATAGTTCACTTTTTTTTTTTTTTTTAACACATCAGGGCCCAGTTGTTCAAAGGCCGATTCATGCTAGCCCAGGGTTAAATTTTAATGCAGGTTTCTATATTTCTTTTTTCCAAAGCCTTTTAAAGAAAATTTTCCCTCTTCTCTTTAGAACATCCAATGATCAAATTGCAAATAAAATGGTTTTAACTGAATTTTCTTTTAAAGCTTTCAGACCTGAAATCAAATTTCATGCTAACCTTGGGTTATCTTAACCCAGATTTGAACAACCCGGGCCAGAATAACAAGCAAACGCGAAGCTGATCGGGAAGAGAAGTCACTCACAAAATTTTCGGCTTTTTTCAGCTTTTTCTTTTCCAGCTAAGAAGCCAAATTTTATTACGGCGGACTCCTTCTGTAGCACCACCAAATCAATTCAATATTCAGAGGAGCGCTGACTCGTGTTGCCGCGGGGCACTATCACATCGTAATCTTTTTAGCGCTCTCAACTCAGTTACCTACTTCTAATGGAAAGTTAAATTCCTGAAAAACGTGAACCAAACTGTCGCTGTGAAAAATTATACGACGAGCGCAATGTTAGATTGAAATCAAAAATGGCCGGTCGAACAAAGGATCGCGAGCTTTTAGCGTTAGCTCGCATTAACAAGACGCCTGCACTGCAGGGTATTGACACCTGTGCATTTCAACTGGTGGTAACTGAAGACAGATTAATTCTTCATGAAGACAAAAATTTTTATTTAAATTCTAAACCTCAATGCAGTCGTTTCCTTCGTATAGAAGTTTACTACTTGTAGCTTTGTTTACGTTCCAGGAATGGCGTTCATTTGGAAACAATGACGTTGACAATTTTCTGAGTAAAAATCATTCATTGCCTTGGAAGGAAAACCTGAGTGACAGTATTAAACATGAAAACTTTGTTCAATTCGGCTCGAAAATTTCACGGCGTGTACAGACGGAATTATATGCGGAATTAGAGAAAGATCCATTTCAGCAATGGAATTACCGCTTGAGGTGGAGAGAAATGGGCGACTTGAAACTTAAAGGTGAATTGATGTCGAAAGCCATTCAACCTGGAAATCCTGTCCGTTTGAAGAACGTGCTCATCAAAGCGGTGAAGGGTCAGCAAATCAATGTTGCAGTCATCGGAGGTTCAAATAGTGCGGGAGGAAAATTGGGAACAGATGAAAAAAGTTTAGACGGATTGTTTTTCAAAGTTTTCGCAGATTGGTGGAACAAAACGATTGGTAAGGTCACAAAGTCGTTCATGAAAAGTTACGAGGTTACTATTGGAGGAACTGGGAGTTACTTCTTCGCCTTTTGCTACAAGACCTTTATCCCAGAAAATCAAACAATCGACCTCGCATTCATTGATGCTTCTATTAATTTCAACATGAGAGGCAAAGTTGAAGCTTTTGAACAATTGACTCGTCAAGTGCTCCTATATCCTTCGGTACCCGCGATTCTATACGTAAACCTCGTCAGCGGCCTCGGTGTAGACCCAAATACTAAAAAAGTTGTAAACCCAAGATGCATTAACTTAGAAAATTTTGGCCAAACCGAAGTGGCGCGACACTACGGTATAACCTCTTTTAGTTTGAAGGAAGTACTGTGCCGCAAGGAAGACGATAAATGGACAGCGGTCGTCACTAATATGGCCGGCTCCGATGGCCGTCATATTGGTATCAAGGCCCATGCACTTATTTCTATGTTAATGATTGACTATATTCGCGAGGTTTTTGATCAGGTTTTGAATGACCTAAGCAATGGAAACATTACCTATCGTTTTGCGCCTTTACCAGAATTGTTATCACTAAAACGAGACACTGAAGTTCTGAAACAACCGCTTTGCTGGACCAGGATGACACCAAATATTTTCAAAGATCTTCATCGCCCCAATATCCAAATTCAAATCACAGAGAACGATGGATTTTCACCATACGGTAGTTTCCGTGATGAAAGAAGCTCAGACGGGAACACAAATACAGACTTGCGAACAGATGCACAGGGGGGGTGGGGAACGTGGCGGCGTTACAGTAGTATAAAGTTTCGTTTTTATCTTCCCTCTGTTAGCTCCTCTTACAACACCAGGTCTGTAATAATTTTGACACGAACGTCTGGCAATGGCGGAAAGGCCGAGGTAAGGCTGGATGAGGAGAAGAACAAAACGATTTATATTAACACAAAGTCGATCTATGGACAAACTCGGTTGGATACTGTTGCTACAAGGGTAAAGCCAGGATACCATACTATCACAGTCAGAACAGTTTGCAAGGGAAATTTCCTAGTGAGTGGAGTTGTAGTCGGACCGCCAGACTTTGAAAGACGAAAAGTTATATAAACAGCCTTTGACCATGCAGAACATCTATCTGTGTCATTCGGTTATGGTCCAGTTAACGGTCATTAATCACCCAAAATGGCGTTAATTAGGCCCTGTTCGCACCACACCGAAATATTTGGTTTGGTATTTGCAAAAAAAATTGAAAATTTTGTAACAACGAATTTTTTGTTTTCGTAGTAGCGTACCGCAAATGCCAATCAATCGAAATAGTTACCGAGATTTCGTGACAGTGCTTTTCCTTTTAAGTCGTTTCCGGTCAAAGACTGATCGCAAAGCAAAATACCCCCGCGATATGTTTTGATGGCCTTTCTTTGCTGTTTGCTTGCCATACAAAACCTGACTGTGACTAGTCAACAATTAATTCTGGTTTTGGCTTTTATGGATCATGGAGACGTTAACTCAGCTGCTCAACAGACGTCGACGCCGCCGTCGTTTTCACATGCATTAGCGTAACTTCCCTGGAGCCTTTTTCCGTAGAAATTTGAAAATGGGGAGAGAGTAATTTGACAACTTACTAACACGTTCAGAGAGAAAACACTCGTACATAATACCATTTAGCCTGGTATCAATTACGAAATATGATGACCAGTTGAAGGGTATCTGTCAGGGAACCTCCAAAGCTAGTTGACGGTATCTTTGAAGTTTGGTGGCACTTGCGAAAATTTTGGTGGGTCAAACAAATCGTTCGCATTGAAAAGGGTTTCGCGTCGACAGATTTTTTTGCAAAACAAACAAAATTTCGCGTAGTGCGAACTGGCCCTTACTGAAACCTCATCTGCAAGGCTAGTTTGCATGACATGTTTCTCCAAGTTTTGCTACCTTTCTGTTTTTTTTTTTTTGCATATATGAACTTTTTTCATCTCAGTGGTTGCGAATAATTTCTCGTGAAGATATAGCAGTTGGCACCTTCAAAATAATGCTCCATGGTAAAATTGGCCCTTCTGACGTAAATACATCAATCATACCTACGTTGATAAAGAACTACGTAGATGCTAACAAGTTTAATGGCCGGAAATCCGAGCTGTTAAATGTAGCATCACATTCAATTTCCTCTCTCGTTTGAAGGGTCAGTTACTTAATTAATTTGTCTAGAACGAGGATAAAAAAATCCACGAAAGAATTAGTTGAGCGAACATAACAGAAAACATTAAAATTGGTATGTTATGTTCTTATCACCTGTTAATGATTGGTACTGACTCCAGCAGTAAACGAGATCTGGGAGTAACAGCGATGATGCATGTTTTACACGAAGTGGGGTCAAAGATTCTCTCTCGATAAGATAGAGGGTTTAGGGAAAACAACACTGAGAATACTGCCCACATACAATGCACAAAGTAATAATAAATTGCTGGTCACGAGTGCTATATGTATCATCACAACTAAAGGCATTGAGATGGCCTACGTGCGGATGGGAGCTCTCACCAGATCCTCTCTGAAATGATTTGAGTATCACTTAGCGCTCTCCTGCATATCTCCTGTCATTAGGCTCCACTGATAAGGAATTTAATTGATAAAAAATATGCAAATTTATTTATGGTTAAAATGGTTTAGAGACTTAACGTTTTTACCTTTTTACAGTTCAATATCCAACGACCTCCGGTGAGAAGAATTTATGGCCCTTCATAAAAGCAGTTTATTGTACATGTGCATTTACTCCTCGTCTTAATTCCCGAATCCATCCATCAATCTGTAATTAAATTCAGTTCATATCCATGGGATATGTGTGCAAATAAAAGGCATATCATATAAAGTTGGGCTTTATCTATTCGTATTTATGTTTCTAACGGACATCATAACAGATTGTGCGAGAAATTATGTATGCGCAAATGGATATTTCTGTCATCAACATGCTTGACTACGAAGAATTTATTATTTGGAAATGTTGTATAATGCACCTCTTTTTTTGCAGCAGCTTTGTTCTGCAAGAGGCCGTTTGCATCATTCGACCAATTCGAATACTGTTGCTACAATGGTATAGCCAGAATACCATACTATTACAGTCAGAACAGTTCGCAAGGGAAATTTCCTAGTGAGTGGAGTTGTAGTCGGGCCGCCAGACTATGAAAGACGAAAAGTTATATAAACAGCCTTTGACCATGCAGAGCATCTATCTGTTTCATTCGGTTCAGTAAATAGTCATTATTTATGCAAAGTGACGTTAGAACGAGCCTTGTAGATGAGGTTTCAGTAACTAACGTCACTTTGCATAAATAATGACTATTTATTTAGTGGGTGAAGATATAGCAGCTGGCACCTTTAAAGTAATGCTCCATGGTAAAATTGGCCCTTCTGGCGTGAACAGGTATTGGGTATATCGGAGCCGCAAGGCTCTACTAAACATCCAGCCAATAAATCGTAAGATTTGTTTTTTCAAATGAGTTGAAAATGCAAACCAACCACCATAAAGAGTTTTTAAAACTGACATTTTGAGCGTTGTCCTTCGTCAAAGCGAATGACGTTAACTCTAGAAACTTGTTACATTTGATGGAATCAAATTATCTTGTTATATCTTGTTATGGAATCAAATTATCTTGTTATATCCCACACCGAAGCAGCACCACTGTTTAGAAAATTACCCTTAATTAAATCATAACTTTTACAATGATTTTGTCTACGTCTACGTTGATAAAGAACCACGTAAACGCTAACAAGTTTGGAGGTCGGATATCCGAGCAATTAAATGTAGCATCACATTCAATTTCCTGTCTAGTTTGAAGGGTCAGTTACTTAAATAATTTGACTAGAACGAGGACAAAAGATTTCACAGAGGAAAGAAGGAAAAGTTTTTCATTGCTGTAGTTGTTCCATGCGCACGTATATGATCGTGTCCTATTTAGTTTTAAAAATGAATTCAAAATTTTTTAATACTTCAACATATAATAAGTTCAGATGATCATAAACCGGCTGACTGACTAAGTTAAGTGGCGCCGGAAGGTGAAATACTCTTCTCTTAGTCATGACGCACACACCTCACGTGATCAGCTCGAGCCAAACATTTTCCAGTTCGGCACTCCCAGTAGTTAATCAATGCGCAAGAACTTTCTTCTTTCTCTGCATTTTTCTTAGCAGTTAAATTTTTCAAATATGTTGGAGAACTCCATTTGGCGCAGAACGTTCGAAACACAAGAACATCTCTGTGAATGATATTTCAGAAACGCAAGAACTTCTGCGGATGTTTGGGCCGCAAGGGCTCTTTCACGATTGAATTTTCATGAGCGGAAAAACTACTTTGTTTTGTTATAGGAGGTCCAACCGCAAGAATATCCGCCCGGTTGAGTTGTTATAAGTAAATGTCTTTGCAGTAGGATAACCTATTTGTGACGGTTCCTTGTGGTGGCACATCAAAGGTAAACGGGTGGAGGAGACCAGAGCCTTTTGGTTAGAAATTGGTATCACTATGAATTTCTTCAGCGGTATTATTGTCTCGTTCAAGCAAGATAGTCTGTGGTCATGGTTTATTTGTGGGCTCACAACTTTGTGCGTGATTCTGACAATTGGATTTAGCAGTGCTCTTGGCGTTCTTTTTCCCGTTTTCATGAACTCTTTCAGAGAAAATCGTGAAAGTACAGGTCAGTTTATGTAATACTGAACAGGTGTAACAATAAGGGCTGTTTGTGATCTTTCGTAAAGTTTAAGCTCGATCAAACTGACAGTTATTGAATAAGAATGTATTTTTGGACCTGAGACAAAAGCAAAACTCTGGACAGGGCTGCTAAAACAGCAAAAAACGAAGAACGAAAGTACTCTCCGTCTAACAACATAATGTAGTCCACTGGACGAATATTTTGCATTATTAACCGTTGGAGCGAGTTATATCTAACCAGTGAACGAGTGATACTGACCTGGCTTCCACATTCAAACAATTTACGCGTCAAGATTAATTGGTCCATCTCCAATGGACAAATATGCAACTGTTTGAGAGTAGCAAAACCCCAATCGCCTTGTGCACGACTGAACAAAAAAAGTCAGCATAATCAGCAATCATGATGGGGTTCCAAAAAGATTGGAAACCTGGCTTTTGATCCTACTTGACTCGTCACTTAATAATGCAAATACATATCACACATTCAAAATTGCATGATAACAGTAGAACCTGGATTTTAATGGGAGATTACTGTATAGAGACATGTGCGTGTTACATCAAAGCAATAGCGCCGTCAGTCTCCGGCTGTTGCGTCTCGCGCGAAAGAAATCTCAGACGAAATCAGTGATAACTATATCATCAGTGTAACTATAATTTTTTTTTATTTTGCAGCGTGGGTAGCATCGATCATACATGGCTTAACTTTGATTCTCGGTCCTGTAATGGGAGCCTTCCTTAACAAATTTGGCTTTCGAGTTACTACAATACTGGGCTGCCTGTTATGTTCTCTTGGCGTCACATTGGGCTCCTTTGTTTCCACTATTTATATGCTATACGTTACCTTCAGCATACCTTTTGCTATGGGTCAGTCGCTGATCTTCGTTTCGGAAGCAATTATAGTGAACAATTACTTTGATAAAAGAAAATCCTTTGCTCTCGGACTAGTAACGTCAGGAACAGGATTAGGAACGATGATTCTTAGTCCTTCTCTTCAGGCAGCAGTTGACGTTCTAGAGTGGAGGAACACCTTTCGGGTGTTTGGTGGTCTTTTGGCTGTTTCATCCCTGACTGGAGTTATTCTTCATCAGAGTCCATCATCGCAGGAAAGAAACATGAATCGTTCCTCAAAAAAATGGAGCTGGAATCTATCGTTATTTAAGAATTCGACCCTCCTGGTACTGGTAACAACAGGAGCAGCCCTCATGTTCTCTCGCCTGGTCCCATATGTGCATCTCGTGAGTATCTAGTTGACCATTCTTTTAAGACTTAAAAGTCACTATTTCTTAAGTTCCTAAGTCGTCTTAATTTACGCCGACTTTTGAACGAAATTTCTAGCATAGGGCTGGAGATGAACTGTTCGTCTTCGTCTGATTTCTGATTATTCAGTGTACAACTCGGATTAACCTTTTGATTATCATTGATTTCCATAGTCTAACTTACATTTGCTGGCATTTTCAGATGAAGCATTGTGATGACCTTGGTATTTTGGCCGACAAGAGCTCGACAATTTACATGGTTATCGGCATATTTGCCTCTCTTGGCCGCATCGGAGGAGGATTCCTGTGCGACTTGAAGTTCGTAAACAGCCGCCTTCTGCTTCAGGCAGCTATTTTCATTATGGCAGCTTCCACTATACTTCTGACCCTGGCGAAGACTTACTTTGGTGTATTCACTTATGCCATCTTTTTCAGTTCAGCGGATGGATTGATGATTACTTCAATGATAGTTGAAACCCTAAAAGCCGTAAAGGAAAATGAAAAGGCTTCCGCCGTTGGATTACTAATGCTGTTTTCCGGAATTTCTGCCTTGATCGGTCCACCTTTGTCGGGTAGGGGACCAATTTTGTCTTTCCACTTTTATACTCCACCCCCCCTCCGGGGGACTGAGAATATACCCCCCTCTCTTTACAAGCTATATACGGGGTAATTATGAGATTTGCTCCTATGGCGACTCCCACCCACTCCGGAAAAGTCATAAGTAATAATAATAATAGAGAGACGACGACTATGAGACGACGCTGTTGTTGGAGCATGCATTTTAACAGCGTTGAAAGATTCTCCCCTTTGGCTCTCATACCCATGACAAAAATTTTGGAACCATCAAATTGTACATCCTTTGGCTACCTAATCCTAATAAAGAGTCTTTTAAAAATATCAATAACAATTGAAGTGAGTCAAACAGGCAGATAGGTCATTAGAGAGAAAAACGTGAAATTCTGATGTTTGAAGGACTTCAAAATAGACAGACAAATGAATTAACGGGGTAAGTTTCGAAAGAAACTGTGGTGCTGCGTCAGTGGGAGAGTATAGCAGGGTAATTTAGTATTATCAACTAAGTTGATAACGTAAATTGGCCACCGTAGAAAGTTTCAAAGCTGACGTTTCGAGCGTTTCGAAACGTCAGCTTTAAAACTCTTTATGGTGACCAATTTACGTTATCAACTCAGTTGATAAAACCAAATTACCTAGACAGACAAAAGACACCTTATATGCCTGCCATTTTGTTTTTTGAGACATTTTGTTGTTATCTTTCTTATCAGGTCTAATGGCTGACACATTCGGTAACTACATCGTTGCGTTCATTGTAGCTGGTGGAGTTGGAGTGGTTGGGTCTCTCCTTCCATTTATTCTCCTTTGTTTGAAACGTGAAGCAGGGAGAGATGAACAAAACACACAGGAAGATGCCTGATCATGCTATTAAAAACGTTGTTGTGCGATTCACTCTATCAATGTTTCTTTTTACTTAACCACGTGTTTAGATACTTGATCCCCAAAAATGAAAAACCCAACTGATCTTTCTCGCTAATGGCTAGAATGTAAAAGGTATTTACGTACTAAGCATATGAAATTCCATTTTTTTATTTTATAAACTGAATCTCTGCAAGTTTCATTTTCTAATTTCAATTTATCAGGCTGAAGATTTCTCTATTTATTGAAAAGTTGAGTAAATTAAGTCTAGTGTATTAGTGGGGAATGTTGTATAGATTTGCCAAAGGCCTGAGTCATCAGATCGAAATTCTGAAAGTGAGCCAAACGTCGAAAAGTTCATCCCGTTGAACCCATCGATGGATCCACAAAAGGTAGTGCTTAAGAGTTATTTTGGGCTTTCATAGTCAACAAGATCTCAATTTATCCTCGGCAGGTGAAAGAATTTGGATCTGGCCTCGTCACTTCTCAACAATAACGTCAATCCCATTGGACAAAAACAAATTACCAATGGAAAGTATGACGCAGCATAAAGCTGGTGACCAGCGACTTATTATTACTTTGTGCATTGTTTGTAGGCAGTATTCTCAGTGTTACTTTCCCTAAACCCTCTATCTTATCAAAAGAGGATATTTGACCCCACTTCGTGAAAACCATGCATCATACTTTTATTCCCAGATCTCGTTTACTCCTGGAATCAGACTAATCATTAACAGGTGATAAGAATGTAATATACCAATTTTAATGTTCTCTGTTATGTTCGCTCAACTAATTCTTTTATGAAATTTTTTATCTACGTGCCAGTCAAATTATTTAAGTAACTGACCCTTCAAACAAGAGAGGAAATTGAATGTTATGCTACATTTAATTGCTTGGATATCCGGCCTTCAAACTTGTTAACATCTACGTAGTTCTTTATCACCATAGGTATGATTGATGTATTCAGATCACGTTTCGTAAAAAGCTACGAAATTAAATCATTTTCAAAGTTGCCATTTAATTAAGGGTAAGTTTCTAAACTTGAGGCTCAGCGCCAACGCACTTGAGGATTTTTATTTGAGGATTGTCGATCCTTTTATTTTCAATCGTTAATTAAGTCGACGTTTCTAGTCAGTAAAGGGTTATTGTGTTTATATGATAAAAAAATAATACATGGAGAAAGATGCTTTTTTTCGTCTTGTCACCAGCGTATGTATCATCATAGCTAAAGGTATTAAGATAGCCTACGCACGGATCAAATCCCTTAGTAGCGAAGAAAGTCAGGAGATGGAAGATTTAAACAAGATGTACAAAAATAAGTTTGACTTTCCGTTCGTGACTTGCTCTCGTCTGAACAACAAGGGAGCTAACTCGAAGCAGATTCGAGCGCGTTTGACCAGTGATAAGAACATGGAGCTTAAACGCGGAATCGAAGAACTGAAAAAGATAGTAATGCTTAGAATGAAAGATTTGGTTGCGTACGGAAACTCTAACCTCTAACTAGTTATCTATCACATGGATAAAACTTTACTAAATGCATCGTCAGTTATAATTCGGAGACAAATTTCGTTTGCGCTTCTCTCCATATTTAGACCAGTTTGGTTGGTCATGCGCACAACAGATAAACAGTAAATTATTTGCAACAATTTTTCCCGAAAGCTCCTTACTAGTAGACTAATCGCACCAAAGTAGCAGCCATTAAAAACTGTCGATATTTAGAGCATATACTGAGTATGTGAATGAGGCTCACTGGCCCTCACCTAGCTATTAATCTGAAATGGCACAAGGAAGCGCCTGCGTAGATATCTTTTATCTATGAGTCGTACGGCCCCGCTCACGCCATCCTAAACGCTGTTGTGTGCAGGGCCGGACGGGTTGACTTAGGCCTATCTTGAAATTAAGGGCCGTCCAGATTCGCACTCACACGGCTCCGTTGCATTTTCCAAGAAAGTAAATTCTAACGGTGGACGTAAACTAAAAGGAGAACAGACTTGAGAAAATAAGTCGAGCGTTTTCGATTTTACGTGTTTTGACTTTTTGTGAAGAAATATTTCTCAAACTAATTAATTATTCATAAGGTGATCATCCAACCAAGATACGCCAATTTAGTCACGTGCATGTGGTTTGAAACCCCGGTTAAACACTGGAATGACGTGCTATCCATGAGTTTCAGAAAACATCAAACCCTTGAGTTTGATAAAGCATCAAGCTCCAGTGAACTCCTTTCTTAATTTGAATATTAATAACACGTATCAATCCCTCTTTCCGCCATTGTTCGAATATTCCAGAGGCCCATTTACTTTTGTAACGAGTGGACTTAAACACGTCACTTTTTAACAACTTGGCCTCTTTCCATATCTTACTTGCCGAAAACGTGATAAAGCCATTGCAGAAGAGAATGAAGAATACAGTTAAACTTGTTTTTTTTATAATCGTCCACAGCGGTGTGATAACATTTCTCATACCGTTTCTGAAAAGACAAATCACCATCACAATACATTTTTTCGTAACAACAAACTTGCCGACAACATGTGAAAAATTCGTGAATATTTCCATTTTATTTTATTCCTGAGGCGTGATTGAGCAGCTATTTCAAAAACTCGTGCATCGGGTTTCATCGGGGTTTCCAAACAATCGAAAACAATAAAAGCACTCGGTTTGCGACTTCGTACTTTCATCAGTTTTCTCGTGTTTGGAAACCCTGATGAAACCCCCGCACTTATTTTTGAAATAGTACATGAAAGGTTTTTTCCTCATATGATTTCTTTGTTTATTCAGTACACTTCCGTCTCATGTAGGTCAAGTGTCCCATTTAGGTTCAAACATGACTTGAAACATTAATCAACGGAAATAGTCACGTTCTTCATGAAGTTGCGAGTTTCTTGTTCTGACTCGTCTTGAGGAAAGAAGGAAAAGTTTTTTATTGCTGTAGTTCAATGCGCACCTTTCTTACATAGACGATCGTTTCCTATTTAGTTTTAAAAATGAGTTAAAAATTTTTAATACTTCAATATATAGTGAGAGTTCAGATGACTATCATGGACTGGCTAGCTGACTGAGTTAAGTGGCGCCGGAAGGTGAAATATCCGGCTCTTTGTCATGACGCACAGACCTCGCTGCATTCGAACTGCACGTGGTCATCTCGAGCCAAACATTTCCGGTTCGGCGCTCTCAGCAGTTAATCAACGCGCATGAACTTTGCGTTCTTCCTAGCAGTTAAAGTTTTTCAAATATGTTGGAGAACTTCATTTGGCGCAGAATGTTCGAAACTCAAGAACATCTCTGTGGATGAAGTTTCAGAACTTCTTCGGATGTTTGAACCGCAAGAACTCTTTCACGGTTTAATTTTCATCATGAGCGGAAACACTATTTTTTTTTGTCATAGGAGGTCCAACCGCAAGAATATCCGCCCAGTTGAACTTCTAAAAGCAAAAGTCTTTGTAGTAGGATAACATATTTGTGACAGTTCCTTGTGGTGGCACATCAAAGGTAAAGGGGTAGAGGAGACCAGAGCCTTTTGGTCAGAAATTGGTATCACTATGAATCTCTTCAGCGGTATTATTGTCTCGTTCAAGCAAGATAGTCTGTGGTCATGGTTTGTTTGTGGGCTCACAACTTTGTGCGTGATTCTAACTATTGGATTTAGCAGTGCTCTTGGCGTTCTTCTCCCCGTTTTCATGAACTCTTTCGGGGAAAATCGTGAAAGTACAGGTCAGTTTATGTAATACTGGACAGGTGTAAGAATAAGGGCTGTTTATGGTTTTTCGTAAAGTTTAAGCTAGATCACACTTGTAGTTATTAAATAAGAATATATTTTTGGATCTGAGACAAAAGTAAAAATCTGGACAGGGCTGCTAAAACAGCAAAAAACAAACTGCCGAATGAACCCCTATATTTGGGTTAAATGAACAAAGTACTCTCTCTAACAGCATAATTTCAGATTCAAACACAATCTACGCGTCATGATTGGTCCATTACCAGTGGATAAGGAAGTAGCAAAACCCCCAATCGCCCTGTGCAAAACTGAACGAAAAATTCAGCATAGTGGGTTCTAAAAAGATTGGAAACCTGGTTCTTAATGATACTTGACTCGTCACTTAATAATGCAAGTACATATCACACAGCCAAAATTGCGCGATAACAGTAGAACCTGGATTTTAGGAGGAGATTACTGATTAGAGACATGTTTGTAATGGTGGTAACTAGAATTTTTTTTGCTGTCCAGCATGGGTTGCATCGATCATACATGGCGTACATTTGATTCTCGGTCCTGTAATGGGCGCCTTCCTCAACAAATTTGGCTTTCGAGTTACAACAAAAGTGGGCTGCCTGTTATGTTCTCTTGGCGTCACATTGGGTTCCTTTGCTTCCACTATTTATATGCTCTACTTTACCTTCAGCATACCTTTTGCAATGGGTCAGTCGCTGGTCTTCGTTTCGGAAGCAATTATAGTAAACAATTACTTTGATAAAAGAAAATCCTTTGCTCTCGGACTAGTAACGTCAGGACAGGGATTAGGAACGATGATTCTTAGTCCTTCTCTTCAGGCGGCAGTTGACGTTCTAGAGTGGAGGAACACCTTTCGGGTGTTTGGTGGTCTTTTGGCTGTTTCATCCCTGACTGGAGTTATTCTTCATCAGAGTCCATCATTGCAAGAAAGAAACATGAATTGTTCCTCAAAAAAATGGAGCTGGAATCTATCGTTATTTAAGAATTCGACCATCCTAGTACTGGTAACAACAGCAGTAGCCTACATGTTCTCTCGCCTGGTCCCATATGTGCATCTCGTGAGTATCTAGAACTAGTTGACTATTCTTTTAAGACTTAAAAGTCGTCTAGTCCTCTAGTTCTTAGGTTTCTAAGTCGTCTTAATTTACGCCGACTTTTGAACGAAATTTTTTAGCATAGGGCTGGAGATGCACTGTTCGTCTTCGTCTGATTTCTGATTATTCAGTGTACAACGCAGATTAACCTATTGATTATCATTGATTTCCATAGTCTAACTTACATTTGCTAGCATTTTCAGATGAAGCATTGTGATGACCTTGGTATTTTGGCTGACAAGGGTTCGACAATTTATATGGTTATCGGCATATTTGCCTCTCTTGGCCGCATCGGAGGAGGATTCCTGTGCGACTTGAAGTTCGTAAACAGCCGCCTTCTGCTTCAGGCAGCTATTTTCATTATGGCAGCTTCCACTATGCTTTTGACCCTGGCGAAGACTTACTTTGGTGTATTCACTTATGCCATCTTTTTCAGTTCAGCGGATGGATTGATGATTACTTCTATGATAGTTGAAATCCTAAAAGCCGTAAAGGAAGATGAAAAGGCTTCCGCCGTTGGATTGCTGATGCTGTTTTCCGGAATTTCTGCCTTGATCGGTCCACCTTTGTCGGGTAGGGAACCAATTTTGTATTTTCACCCTCAACCCCCTTCCGGGGGCTGAGAAAGTATCCCCCTCCCTTTACAAGCTATATACAGGGTAATTATGAGATTTGCTCCTATGGCGACTCCCTCCCACTCCGGAAAAGTCATAACCGACAATAATAGAGTATCCTGATAAGCTTCTAAACTCCTATGAGACGCCGCTGTTGTTGGAGTATGCATTTTAACAGCGTTGAAAGATTCTCCCCTTTGGCTCTCGTATCCATGACAAAAACTTTGGAACCATCGAATTGTACATCCTTTGGTTACTTAATCTTAATGAAGAGTCTTTTGAAAATATCAACAACAATTGAAGTGAGTCAAACAGGCAGATGGGTCGTTAGAGAGACAAACGTGGCATTCTGATGTTTGAAGGACTTCAAAATAGACAGACAAATGAATTAACGGGGTAAGTTTCGAAAGAAACTTGGTGCTGCGTCGGTGGGAGAGAATAGCACTGGCTATAGTAGAGAGTTGCAAAGCTGTCGTTCCGAGCGTTTCGAAACGTCAGCTTTGAACTCTTTATAGTGGCCAATTTACGTTATCAACTCGGTTGATAATACCAAATTACCCAGACTAAAGACATCTCATACGCCTGCCATTTTGTTTTTCGAGACATTTTGTTGTTATCTTTCTTATCAGGTCTAATGGCTGACACATTCGGTAACTACTTCGTTGCGTTCATTGTAGCTGGTGGAGTTGGAGTCGTTGGGTCTCTCCTTCCATTTATTCTCCTTTGTTTGAAACGTGAAGCAGGAAGAGATGAACAAAACGCACAGGAGGATGCCTGAAAAGGGTTTATGTTAACATATCCAATTCAATCATGTGCCAGTTATAGCAACTGATAACTTATAATGATTTAAAGGTTTTTAAGATAACTAAGACTTAACGTGCGCTCTGATTAGTCGATCACCGAATTGTTTTTGTGTCCGCGGCAATATTTTGTAAGTAAGTAGATTAGCTGTTCTATTGTTCATGAGTTACTACTCCTGTAAACCAGCAGGGAGTCACAGCGGTCGTCCACTGCTTAAGCAAACAGTGCCTTTGTTTTTTATTTAGATCTTCCTCGCTTACTGACTGCCAGAAAAAGTGCATAACCAGTCACTTAGGAAAATGGCTCCTTAGTCATATCATACCATTAAAAACGTTGTTGTGCGATTCACTCTATCAATGTTTTTTTTTACTTAACCACATGTTAAGATACTTGATCCCCAAAAGTGAAAAACCCAACCGATCTTTCTCGCTAATGGTTAGAATTTAAAAGGTATTCACGTACTAGGCATATCAAACTCGATTTGTTGATTTTATGAACTGAAACTCTGCGAGTTTCATTTTCTAATTTCTTTTCTAGAGTTATTTTGGGCTTTCATGGTCAACAAGATGTCAATTTATCCTCGGCAGGTGAAAGAATTTGTATCAGACCTCGTCATTTCTTAAAAATAAGGTCAATCCCATTGGACAAAAAAGGAACTTCTTCTGACTAACTCAAAAAGTGTTTAAAAAAGTCTTTAAGGTTTTACAACCGGAATCGCTAAAATGAAACCTAAATCGGTGGGTGGAATATTGAACATGGTTACTGAGAGTTTGGAACAGGTCACTTGAACCGGAGTATACGTGGATTAGATTTTAGAAGTTTCGCAGATCACCAGGTCCTTTACTCTCAAAACTATTATGTCTTCCACTTCTTTGATCCCGTTGTTTAATTCCTGGTAGCTATCGTTGCTGAGACGCTCTCTAATCCGTTCCAAAACCGTCTCTTTGTTGTTTAAACGAGCTCAAATTACCAACCATGTAGAGTCTGGTGTAGCTTTTCAAAAGCTTTATCTCCTCGGCGCCGAGTGATCTAATACCAGCCTCCGTCTGCTCTCTCTGGGACTCACTTGACAAAGATTCCCAACGATCAAATAGATCCTGATAACTGCGCAGGATTCCCGCTTTTGCGTCGTCTGGCAGACTGTCAATAAACCAACAGATCTCAGTGACGAAACTCTCAGAGGATGAAAACTGCGCCTTGGTGCAAACGGCAGCCGCGCAAAGAGACGTGTGTTCTACAACATTTGCGAAGGTTGAAATAAAATCTTTATAGTTGAGCTCGTTCACGGCTTTAATACTCAGCTTCCGGGTCATATGCTGCTCGAGAAACTTAGAGAGATCTCAACAGTGTCCTTCCCTTTCGATATGAACGTCTGTCTTCTTCAGTTAAGGCTGAATACAAGAAACCTTCTCCTCAAAGGTGTGAACTACCAGTCTAAAGGACAAAGGTACAAGTTTATGTCTTTTATTTCCAAACAAGAAAACTATCCAATAGTCTGCCAAAGAGGGACAAAAATTTCAAAAAACATAGACTCAAGCTTCGAAACCAAAAGGACTGAAATCTGGAATACAAATGACTGGAATTGGACAAATTCAGTGTCTCAGGAGCTAAAAGTCCAGAATCCAGAAGGTTTGGATCCGAAATCCTACTCCATTACGCTTTTTATTTTTATTTTTCCCATGAGGCGAACCTGCGTCTGGGTTTTTTTTTTGTTTTTTTTCAATGCAAAGGAAATGAAAGCTTGGCTTAACAAAGGTATAACAAAGCAAATATATTGCTAGACGTTACTTCTAGGCAAAAGTATCTCTCAGTGTTGGTTTTGTGAATTTTATCTCGCAGAAACTTAAACAGTACATAGAGAATAATTGCATGGGTACGCGTAGATATGGAATCTCCCTTTAGAATGTTTGCTTGATAGCTCACGAGTGAGCACAGCGAACGAGTGAGATGTCGAGTTGAACACGAGAAGAAAAATTTCATATCTACAATCAACTTTGTATTATTTTGTTTATCATATAAATGCAATAGCCCTTTACTGACAAGAAAAGTCGACTTAATTAACGGATGAAAATAAAAGGATTGACAATCCCCGAATAAAAATCGTAAAGTGCTTGGGCGCTAAGCCTTAAGATAAAAAAAAAAAAAAAAAAAAAGAAATGAGTTGAAACACGACAAAAACAAACAACGGGTCTAACTTTCAATATGTAAAATTCTTAGTTATTGACTTGGCCTTACCGACAGAAGAAATCTTTCAGGTACACGGCCAAAATCGGCTGGTAACAAATATTCCAGTTGTCGATTTTCGTTCTCAGCCGCGAGAAATGCCATTACTTAAGCAACTGAATACGCAACTTTCGGTTTTTCTTTCCGTATTTTGGTTTTCTTCCCCTTCTAGGAAAGTTTGAACGTCACTTTCTGTAAGTAATACGGATTTTTCAGTGTTTTGGCAGCCATAATCTGAAAAAATTCCAACAAACGACCTTGGATTGAGAATGTTGAAGGCTCCGGTGTTCATTCATCAACCTGACTGAGTGACGCGGAAGGTGAATGACGTCAGCAGCTGATTGGCGATATCATCTATACAACGGGTTACTATTACCGGGAATATGAAATTCTGATCACTATTATGGAGAATTCATGCATCCAAGACACCTGAAAATGTTTTTAGAAAACCAACCATGTGTTTTGGCCTGTAATGGGCTATAATAGGGAAAGAATTCAGCAGCGCAGCACGTTTGGCGTAGAGCAGAGTTTTTAAAATCCAAAGTTCTATGATGCTGTTAGGCCTCTCTCGTTAAATGGAATTCATATCAAAAAGGTTAATTATTCCAGAACTGAAAGATCGTTATTAACAAACTTGATTAAACCAAACAAATCGCAAATAAAAGAAACCCACCTTTGGAAAGGCTCAGGCGCAAACTACATGAGCTCAACCAAGGAGTAGGTATATTAGCTCGAGAAGCTCGCGGTTAGTTATCCGCAACACCCTTACAAAATTTGGAAGCGTGTCCGCATATCAAGACATCAACTGTCGCATAGGATAAGAAACTCAGCCTAGTGAAAAGTAGGAGTTAGTTGTGAGGCGACTAAAGTGACGTAAAACTGTTTGCGTGCACTTTCTGATGGATAATTCTTCAATGGTGCACACCAGAAGTAAATTTTCTGGTTGGTATCAAAGAAAAAATATTTTAGTCTAAAAACTGAAGGAAGATAGGTCTGGTTGAGCTCGCACCATTCTCCCTTCCTGGACCACCGCCATGGCAGGGACTTCCAGGTGTAGATTCTACGGCAGTGTTTTCTTGATCATTTCCATTCCTATATTCAACTTCATTGGTGAAGCAACTCAGTCGGTTGGCCTCCCCAGGAGCCAAAGTAAACCCGCCACCCAGTGTTATTTGATTAAAGGGGCAATCGGTGACACTACCCAAGATACACTGCGGAGGGTTTGACTTGCATGTTTGGCTTTTGGTGTTATTGAAAATCTCTCCATGTTGTTCATGCCAAGTGAACTTAACTTTTCTTTTCACCAATATGTAAACCAGTTTAAGAGATTTTCATATGTTTTATTTGTACGAATGATACTTTTAACCGTATTTAACTTAGAAATAAAGTTCTTCATATAATAATATACTTAAAATCTTCCTATTTTTTGTACAGCTATAAAACAAACATAAACATTACTATATGAATGCCGTCCAACCTAGGAATTGTTATTTGTATCGATTCTGTGATGTAAAAATATAGACAATAATTGATTCCGACCTCTTTGCTGGATAACGTAACTAAAGGAAAAACCTTGAACCGCGATTAACATCAAGAAAGGATTATCTTCTCTTGCTAACATGGTAATTTAAAGCCAGAAAAATTTATCAAGACTTCCATTCCCTGTTGGTATTGAAGTATTTTCTGTTCCAACCTTGTTAGTAGGTAAAAGTTCATTGATATACATTACGCCCAGCTTATAATTTGGGAGGTATTCCGACTTACTGTACAGTGAGGATGCGCTAAATTTTCCATCCACGACGTAATTGATTCGAATGTCGGTCGCCTAGATGGCTCTTGGTCCCAGCACTGAAGCATCAATTTATACCTGTGGGAATCAAGGATCATTTTGTTAAGATAACAAGTTGTCCGAATGAATGTAGAAACATTACCTTTTTCTGCTTTAATGATCAATTTGATCAGTTTTCGCGGGGTAAAACCCAAAATCCAACTGTCAAAACGGCTATAAATTCAGGGGAATTTGTGATTTACAATGTAAACACAAACGTAACCAATTAAAGATATCTGTGAAGTCATGAGTCAGTCTTTACTCACCAAAACTCGATATAACCAGCGACTTGTTAAAAAAACAAATATTATGACGATTTGAACTGTTGGGTCAAAAATCCGGTGTTTTAATGACATGTGTGGCAATGAGCCTCAATAATACGAGCGCAAGGTAAAATAAAAATACATTCCTCAGGTCAGTAGAACCTTTTGGAGCATTATTTCCATATATGCAACGCACTTAATCAACTATAGCTTTTAATGCAGCAATTTTCAACTGATTGTCGAAAGTTATCCGGATTGTATTGGTTTTGCTTTATTTTGCCATTTGTTTGGTTCAGAAAACTTACGCATCTCTCAACCAATCAAATACAAAACTGAAAGCAATCACGAATTGATCACCCGCGTTTTCCCGCGCTTTGGGCAGTTTGTTCGTTTTTAATTTATAGTCTGATTGGCTCTTTGAGACATTTTCTTTCTTCTGATCAGCCGTTATAATTATTTATTAATTATTATTAATCCAAAAGGGTTCTGGGCCTCACTTATGAATAGGCCTATTCATAAGTGAGGCATATTCATAAGTGTGAATTTAGCTGGAACGTGATTCTACGTACAATTCTCGGCTCACGCCTGACGACCTTCGCAATTTATGACCATGCGACACGTATGTAAATACTTCTTGTCCGCTCATTCCATCGTAAGGGTTCCCCCCTGCAAAGATAAAAAATACTGCGTATTTGACTCAGAAAAAAAATACTAGTTTGTATGCTTGCGAAGATGTCAACTCCCAGAAAGCTGAAGAAAAAGATTCTGTAGAAAAGATAGTACTAAGTAGTAACAGACTTGCAAATTTTCTTTTCAGTAGAGTGAAAGGTTTGAAATCAGCAGTTGATTGTGTAGTCTACACGTCCGGATTATAGTAGTTCTGAAAAGGATTGTTGTCAGTGACAATGGTTGACTTATCAACATCCTCGAATCTCCGTCACAGAGACCTCTGATGATGACTTTCGCTCGCATTGTTCTTTCCAGGACTACCCACACCCGAATGATTACAATGATACTTTCTGTTTGCAGGTTCGATAGCAGCCCCCCACGATCGCACTTGAAATTCCAGTTTAACGGTCTATAATCAGCACACGGGTGATTGTCAGGCCTCCTCGACAAGAAGTGACTTAGTTAGGCTGATATCGTGTTCTCCTCAGGCTTTCTCCGCCATCTCACGGTTTTTACTCCGAAAAAAAAATATGACGACGTTTGAAATTGGAGTCCAAATAACCCCAAGTCTCCCAAAAACCTGAAAAAATTTCATTTACCGAGTGTGAATATCTCATGTAGGACGATGCCATAACTCCACCTGAAAAAAAAGGAAAGACAAAAAGGAAAAAAATTATATGTATATTGTATTACCGCTATCTGTCTCAGATGATTATCACTATTTTTGGTTTGCGAAGAGTCTCTTGTAATGTAGACCATCGAAAAATCTATCCCATACAATGAACTTTTCTCGCTTTCTTACATGATCAGGTTACTGTTCAGCAGGAAACATCGGAGGAGAAACATGAAGATTTGATTTCACGCTAAAGAGAGATTGAATTCTTAAAAAGGGCGCTGAGTTAATATTCCTTTGGGAAAGTGTTATCACTTTTACTTCAAGCTCATCAATCAACTTACACATCACTTTCTGTGGTAAAAACTTGTTTTGTTAGTGATTCAACTGCCATCCACTTCACTGGTATAACTCCCTATGAAATAACGCAATGAACATTTAATCACTTTCGGTATAGAGCCAGAATGAGTGTTCTGTAAGTTCAGTTGTCAATAAATTTCTAAGTTCCAAAAGTTTGAGATACTAGGATCAATGTGATCAAGTCTGAGAAGTAACGAATTTGAAAGGTCGCGGAAAGGAGGGGTTGGGGGGAGCAGTACGCACTCACCGTACCTGTAAGTGGGTACATGCTTACTTACATTCGACCTCCTGACATAAATTTTATCTTTGCCAAGATCTCTTGCCATTCCAAAGTCAGTGATTTTACAGCGCAGACCCTCGCCAACCAACACGTTCCTCGCTGCTAAGTCTCGGTGAACGAACTACGAGTGAACAAACAATTTGATAAATAATATTTCGCCCAGTGTTTAACCTCGTGTAGTAAATTTCTCAACACTATCGTTTTGAATTATCGTCATTCCTTGAGAACTGAATTTCACGAAGGTTTTCTCAATTCAGTTTGAAATGTTGTATTTTTAATTTTGACAAAGACTTGCACCTCTTATTCTTAATTCTTAACTTTGTGTTTGTCCATGTTTAGTTAGTTTCCTCTCAAGCGTTCTTAACATGAGAATGAAATGTCTGGTAGTATGAAAGTTAGAAGTATAAAAAAATTGAAATATCGCTTATGGACGAAGTGTACACTCGAGTTTAATATATACTAAACAGTGGATGGTGTTAAGGACGCTTTCTGATTGGCTACGCAAACTCCAAATATCCTTTGCTATTCACCTCTGAACAACTCGCGCGGGATTTGAGCCCGAAAATATCGTAATCGTTGCAGGAATAAATTAGATAAAATCATCTTTTTGTGCTATGTTATCTAAGTATTTTAGTATATACTTACAAAACTTTTCACCTTAGTGGCAGTGGCTTGATATTTAATCGTTAAATATATCGCTGAGTAATTGTTAAATATATCACGTGTGATGAGAATGGAACAGATTAAGTGAAATACCACACCTGATGAGCAGATATGAACGCCATTCCCCGGGCAATATCACAAGCGAATTTGTAAAGTTGTTCGGTTGGTATTTTCAATGAAGTTTCTGCACATTCAACGTCGTAGTAGTCATCTGTCTCGCCTCTACTTTTCTTTAGATATCCAAGGAGATCACCATGAGGGACAAACTCCAGAATAACAAGAGGCGGCCCTGAATATGCAAAGAAAATGAATCCTTGGAGTCGAAGTTATACAATGGCATTCTGACACAGAGAAAGATCGATTATTTTCCTACTCTAGCCATCAAATAACTGCATTTAGCCGCTAATACAATTTATTTTTTTATTTCCGATCAGCTCTGGTTTTTGAGACAACAATTTCTGAAGTAAAAGCGACTGTCCCAGACTCCTCGTCCCGTCGAAGAACGCAATCGGGGTGTGATTATGAAAAAACCAACAAACAAACATACAAACAAGCAACAATAGCAAACAAAGAAATCAAATCTCTTCAGGGTGCATGTTTTTCAGTTTTGATATAACAAAGACAGACTTTTCCCTTCCCGACTATATCTTTACTTCTCGCATATAGGATAGAAATAATCCGACTCACTAAATTCACGCCCTCCTTTACATCGGAGTATGTCTTTTGTCAAGCAGCCCAACAATTGTATCACGTTAGGATGGGGTTTAAGTTTCTTCAACAAGTCCAGCTCTGACAACAAATCCATTCGATCCGACTTCGAGGAATTTTCTGCAACAGCGAATGTCACGAGAACTTTAGTTACAGTATTTCTAACTTAATCTTGTTCATTCGCTCCTCCAGAAAACTTGGTCCAAAGAATTTTTCTTTTCAAAGTTTTTGGTTTGAGGCTTTTACTACGTAGCTTATCCTTACACAAAAATGAAGAGTTTTTCTGATTGAGTTGCGACTTCCTCAATAACTTATTGATACGACACAAAACTCTTTCCTTCTTTTTGAAGAAGTACTGCTTGCATTACAATGTGCCTTTATCAATTCTTGTTACTGGTGATCCAGCAGCACATGCTACTAATTCCTCACTCATTAGAGAACGAAGATGAATCTTAAATTTTAAGCACTTTTAATGTAACATTACCTCTTTGGTTTTAAATAATAACGTGTTTTTTGTGTGTGTAAGAGATAGCGAAATTAGAAGCTGCATGATTATGTGACGTTTCCCAGTCCTAGATTAGTTATCTCAAAGAAAATATCATTTACGAATCTAAGATTTTTAGCAGTGCATGCAAACACCTCTGAGAGAATTATATGAGGTATTAGATTTAGTGCTCCGTCCTTTCGCCTTAAAAGCTGTCGATAGTAAGTACGGATTTATAGGCATTTTTATATTTTGTTAGCAGTAGCACGTACCCTTTAGCATTTTAACAGCTACAATAGACCAGCCTTGAGTATTACGCACATCCAATACAGCACCTTCCCACACTTGACCGAATGTTCCACCGCCGATCCTTTTAAATAGTCTCAAGCGTTCGCCGGGCACTTCCCAGTTGGTGTTGTTCTGCACTTTCGTGTATGGTGACTCCCTCCTGGAAGTAGAAGGTAAAACTGATTGTGGATAACTTGGGCTCTCATACGGGGTTGCTGCACATCTATCATTCAGATAACTGTGTTCTCCTTGTAGAACTCTTGGATGAGGAGTGCAGAACCTTGATTGGTTAACTCGTTCGACATCTGCACGTTGTTGAACCCCTTGCCTGCGTGAATTTGACGTCATTCCCGCAAACGTGGACAATTTTCCTCTGGGCTTAGGTACAGGACGACCTTGGGGCAAGGTTTGTATCTTTCCACGACAACATCGGGAACTATTTCCGTTTTGAAACGCAGCTTGTAAGTGTAAGTGCTCCACCGGTTGCAGGTAATCTTCTGAATGATTCACTCCTTGAGTTGTGTTATTTGGAGGTTTGTTCTCTCTGAACGTGTCAGGACGTCGGACTGTTTCCTCTTGAACTTGGACAATTTTTTCATTCCCTGCATTTGGAGCTGCTGCAACTTGGGCGTTCACTTTAGTGGAGTTGTGCAACGCCTCATAATTTTCACGTGAAGAACACGTCGTAAAAGACATGACCTGCTGACCACATGAGCATGCAGCAGCAACGGAGCTCATCTCAGGTCTCTCTCTTGTTTCTTCCCCAGTGTTAGCCACTATTGCTGATACTGGTTGTTCTCTCGTCAACGAGGATTGTGCAAGACCCAGTGAAGTCAACACTGTCGTAACTGGTTCTCTTTCTGAAGAACCCTCATAATTTTCACGTGAGGAAAACGTCGTTAAGGACATGACCTGCTGACCAGAGGAGCATGCAGCAGCAACGGAGCTCATCTCGGGCGTCTCTCCTGTTCCTTCCTCAGTGTTAGCCACTATTGCTGATACTGGTTGTTCTCTCGTCAGCGAGGATTTTGAAAGTCCCAGTGAAGTCACCACTGTCGTCACTGGTTTTGTTTCTGTAGAACTCTCATGAGCCTGCAAACAAATCATTCAATAAATTGGTTTTGTTAGAGGTTAGATACTTAGGTCTCTGGAGGCGATGAGGTTACGTCAAGGGTAAAAGAGAATATTTCAGTGAGGCAATTCTTATTCTTCAATTTTTCAGGACTGGGTGGTACTTGTGGTGAGTCGATCAATGTATGAATCGGTTTTTGTTCTTGGCATGAACTGAATTTCAGGATGCCATTCCAACAAAGCTGACCTTAATCTCTTCATGGTGGCTAATTCGCATTATCAACTCAGGTGACTAAACCAAACTATCATGAAGCATTCGACCTTTTTTTTGTGGCAATGAGAACAACTGGAAATAGTAATAGTGAAGCAATCTTTGAATTAAACCAACGGTAGCTTATAACTCTTCACCGTAGTAGATAACGTTTTGTGGTAGATGAATGCTGGTGGTGGATGTTCACCAAGCCGCGAAGCGGCGAGGTAATTATCCTCTTTAACCACCGACTCTGAGGTGGATAGTTGTTTAAGTAAATACTAAATAGCACAAAAAGATGATCTTAAGTTATTTATTCCTTTAACGATTACGATAATTTGGACCTAAATCCCCTGCGAGTTGCTCAGAGGTGAATAGCAAGGGATGTTCGGCGTTTAAGTAGCCAATCAGAGCGCGCCTTGAATGCCTTGAGCTGTTTCAGTATACACTAAAAGATACCATACAGATTATTCTTTCCCCACCTGATCAAAGGCAGAATTTACTTGTAAATTTGAAAACAATGTGGTTAACCTGAAAAAGCAATCCATATCAAATTATGAAAATCTATATTTTTGTTGTTTATCAACTCATCGACCGGACGTAACTTTTGGTTCAATTCGAGTATTTATCCTAATCAATGAAAAAATAACATTGATTTATACAGTGTTTAATCATAACCACTACAATTTCCCCAAATGTGATTGGTGCATCAGCTGCTTCATTTTCCCCTTATCATTATGTACAGTTGTAATCGGACAGTGTAATCGGATAGTTGGCTGTAATCGGACACCTGTAATTGGACAGTTGAAGCAGCTAATCATACTAGGTCCAGTCAGCTAAATCCACCAATCACAGAATTGATCACAATAACCATAGCAACAACCACTTATCCAAAGAAAAACGAGGCAATTTCCAAAATGGAGGAATATTTAACTAAAGACATTGTCTCCACTGGAGATATTTGTTGAAGGTGTATTTTTTTTCGGAAATTGAAATGGTTATGATTAATTGGTAACAGGATTTCTTGTCGTCAAATTCTGTCAGTAATCATACTCGTGATAAACCAATCGGACTCCGCTTCGCGGTCGTCCGATTTTGTTAATCACTCGTATGATTACAGACCGAATTGGACTCCATACGGTCCTATTACCATTATTAATACGTATATTTTTTGATGTCTAGCTCGATGAACTTCAACTTTTTCAAGCGAATCTACAAAGTTAAAAAAAGCTGAATATCATATGATTAAATATGATTAAATTTCTTCAGTTTCCCGTTGATAGGAGAAAGAAAGATATTGAAACAATGCCTCGTAAAGATTAATTCGCCACTGAATACTTACCCTCCGTTCCACAAATCTTGGGATCCTATGGAGTTTTGGAGAGAAAAATAGAAAAATTGTTACTCTTTTTAACGAAGATTTTTCGTTCCCTTTGACTCTAACATGGTTTCACGTCTTCAAAAGACTGAAAGCTTTATCCTCGTCTTCTTCATCATTGATGGTTAAGCTATCTGTAACTGATTTATAAGGCATACATTGTTTAAAAAATATCTAAATTGTAATGGTTTACTTCACTCTGCTCTGCGATTGTTCTAAAATAACTCCCCAACCAATCAGATGCAAAACTAAAACCAATGGCGGCTCGAATGAATTGTGTTTTCTTGCTTTAGAGGCAATTTGCCTGTTTTTGTTTTGAACTCTAGTTGACTCCATTTCATATGAATACAAAAGTTATCCTTTTTCCTGATTAGCCTCTGTTATAACATGTATTACAGCTTTTGTCTTACGACATTCAATCAAAGGGCACGCTTTAAGTTACTTACTTTGACCATCTTCTTTGTCTTGGATAATTTTTTTTCGCACAACCACAATTGCACTTAACATTAAAATTATGATGCCCACTACTATTAAAACGATGAATTCAATTTTCCACGAGGACTCGACGTCTATTTGTCCGCTGCGGGAGAATGGAGTCAGTGTAGTCTCAGTCTCTGTCGAATGAAATTTAAAACAGTTAACATCTAGGAAATGGGGTGAGGTTTTGATTGGTTCACTAGATTGGCATGTCCATTGTTTTGAGCCAAATCGCGGTCATTACTTTGTGCCTCTTCCCCTCCCCAGCTTTATGCTCTTGGCCAAGAAGATTCAGTCACGTAGTCTCTCTCTACATTCACCTACAAAACAACCCAATTTCTGGGCTTTAAAGTCATTCATGTTTATGTGGCATTTTGTCTACGATAACCATGAAACGTTCAGGTACACAATTACGCCTATGAGCAAAATTGAGTCTAATGGCAGCTACCATGTACCTGCAAACTTTTATGTGACCTATTGACCGAAAATAAACTGACTAAGAAGAAACATATAGGGCAGTAATGATGATTTTTTTTAACCATTTTCTTACCTGTCGGAACCATGTTTTCTGTTGGAACTGTTTCGCGAGATATGACGCGATATCCATCTGTAACTTTGTTTTCAAAGTCGGTGGATATGTTCAGCATTTTGTCTCTGTCCAACATACTCTCTCCACATTTGTTCCAAGCTTTCACCACGAACGAGTAAGATGTATTATCCTCAAGTCCAAAGTGAAATATGTTTCTTGTAACATTTTCCAGTTGCCATGATTCTTCACTATCACGTTTTTGCCAAACTGTATACGTCATCTGCAGCTCTCCTTCACTTTCAACCGCTGACCATCGTAGCGTCCAGTTGGGACTGGTCACTATTTTGTCTGAATTCAGTATAGTTGGGCTTTCCGGAAGTACTGTACCAAGCAGGAAAATTAGTTTTTTAAGAGGAATTCCAGGGGAAATAGAATGAAGGGCAACGGTCAAAGTTGTATTCATTAGCTCGTCAGGTAATCAATGAGAAGGAATTTTAGGATCCATATTTGAGCATTGAACGCAATGCAAAACTGACATAACAAGAATGATTTATGGGGAAATTCTTTGACTATCTATGTGATCTGCTAGAAGGACCAACGAGACCAGTGGTAGTCGGTTTGCCTTGCGTTAAAGGGGGTAAGTTCCTAAAGAAACTGTAGTGCTGCGTCAGTTAGGGATTTGACAATATAATTTGGTTTCATCAATTGAGTTGATAATGCCGTATTAATTGGCCATCGTATAAGGAGTTTCTGAAGCTGACCTTTCGAGAGTCAGAACGAAGGGCTCTGACGAAGGGCTAACGCTCGGAGCATCATCCTAAGGTGATTCCTCAGTATTGCACTGCGCATCCTGTGTTGCGCATAAGAATCATGTAATTAGGGGAATGAGCGCGCGCGCATTCCGAGAACACGGTATATTTAAAGAGGTACGATGGTCTTCAGCTCTTGAATGAGGAAGGTGACCTATATTTTTATTGCATAATTTTGATGAAAAAATTATCCCCTTTAAATTAGGGAAATTAAAAAATAAGCTTCGAACGGAAAAAAGATAAAGCTAAAAGCGTGCTCGAAGCCCAATACAAATCATGAACTCGAAAGGAACGACTCGTGGAACGTTTTGAGTCAATATCGTTTAAATTTGCGTGATTTTCCCACAAATTATGAACCAAATTGTTCCATACGCTTGAGAATTTCTACCTATCAAGTTTTTTTTACGTGTTACTTTGAAAACCCTTCCTTCCAGCTGCACCATATATACCATAAACCTGTGAAATGACGCGTGTGATTAGTGCCAGTACCTGACGCATATATCTCCTAAACAAGCACGGTGACTTATCTAAAGTTTAAAAAAATTGTGCGATAACTTTTTTTATTGAGGAATCACCTTAAGAAACTTTGTCTGGCAAGCGTATGGGAAACCATTTACCTAGTAGGATAACAGTCCTAGTATCTTCTCCGGCGGTGTTTTTAGCGACAGAAACGTAATCGCCGCAGTCCTCAGCTGTAATATTTCTTAGGGTCAATATGGCTTTAGAAGTACCGCTGACTAATACTTTGTCATTTCTTTTCCACATGACTTGAACAGGAGACAAGCCTTGGGCAATACATGTAAGGTTCACGTTCTGTCCTTTCCTGAGCGGCGCCGGTTTACTGACGTTCGTGATTCTCGGTAGATCAGGCATGGCTGCAAACAAATTTATCTGGATCAATCTTACTGTAACTAAATGTAACTAGAAATAACCTTTATCGATTTATTTTGATAATTCAGGGACCCCTCCGGTCAAGGAACTCTAACTTTGATCCCGACAGAACAAAACAATGACCCTCTAACCTTATCAATTGGTGCCTTCATTGAAGAGACATGCATGTACCTCTTTTCAGAGGACTCCGTCTTATAACCTACAGATGAACCATAATGACAGCAACCAAAAGTACAATTTTGAGTTAGTGCCAACATACTCCGAGTTGTCTTCAACGATATTACTTACTGACTTGAAGCTGAACTGTGTCGGTCAACGGGGTATGCTGGAGACCATATTCCACCACAATTCCATACTTCTTGCTATCTTTTAGTTTTACATTGTAAAGTTCAAACACTGCGACAGAGGATGTCAAATTTCCTGCCCAACCCACAGATGACTTATATGAAGACCTCGTTGAGGCAAAACCAGTTGAGTTGACAGCTATCAACTTTGTTTTCAGGAAGCCAGGACTCTTCCAAATACCAAACACCACTTCGAAAAGATCATTCTTTAGATCTCCTGAATTGTAATGCCACTTTAATGACACAGTGTGGCCGGTGAAGGCTTTTGTTGGCTTTTCTGGAGCAGAGATTATACTTGGATAAACTATAGCTTGAATGGATCCTGTAAATGATATTGCAAGGCATCGGTCATTATTTATCGCAAGGGAGAAAGGGAAGGGAAAATTTTGGTTGCGTTACAATAAAATCTACCTGATCCCCCATAAAGGCTCTGTAGCATCCTTATAATTCCCCCTCAATGATTTTGATTGAGTCAATGATTCTGGATGATTGTCTAATACTGGTAATATTTTTTAGGTATATATCTAGGTTGAAGATCTTTCGGGCTCAGCAATTGATTATTAGTTGATCTGTTATTTAACAATTCAGCAATTAAATATAAATTGGGAAATGACAATTATTTTATTGGCTTTTGCCTTTTTGGAAAAAGCGTTTTTCATGTGATACGTCTAATATCAAGCCGGAACACATAAAAAGACAAACTACGAGAGACGAATAATTCATAGTATTATGGGCGGCCAAATTAAAACGAACAGTCGCCGTGGTCAATGAAGTCTCGGCCGTGTTGGAAGTTGTGAAATTGTCTTCTGGCAAAGGAAAAGAAAAAGAAGTCGCTACGAAGACCATGATTTCAAAAAGAAACAGAAACGAGCATGATGTCCTGGGGAGTTAAGAAACAGAAAATGGATGATGAATAAATACCAAATCTGAGATGAACCTTCTCTCAAAGAAAGACTGAGGGTATCACAAAACAATTGAATTTCTTCTGAGCGACTTTAAAGACCAATCGTGAAGGAGCCCATTTACTTCAAGCACATAACTGTGGCTCTTTTTCTAATTATACACGATCTCATTTTAAAACGTGCTTTGCCCGCCTTTAAAGAAAGAGATTCATTATGCGTTCATATGGACTAACCTTGTATTGCATCTTCAAGATGTATTAAACGCGTAATGCAGGTCTCTCCTTCAAAGAGCCGCATTATGCGTTCAGATGAACTACCTTTCTATTCAGTAGAAGCATAACATATTTGCAAATACTATTATTTCCCCAAGTTCTTTTAGAGGAATAATACGTCTTGAGTATAAAACGGCCATCGATCCATAAGGAAATGGAAAGTGATAAGTGCGCAATTCTATCAACATTTCTGAGTAGTAATGCTCGATTAACTCCCGATTTCCTAGAAATGAAGAGGTGAAGTTCAGGGTGAACTTAAGCTATTTCGCATCCGTTGGATACCTTGCTTAGTTATAAAATAAAAAATGGTTTCAAGTTTGAAAGCCACCTTTCTGTTGTAAAGCTAGGAAATTTGTCGCGAACATGGACTAGTCGACATAACTTTCTTTGTTTACTGAATTTTGTACCCAAAGGTCACTTTCACTTAGTAAACGGATGTTCAGACATAATATTTCCATACAGCAAAATGCTTTTACTAAATATCTATTTGTCTAAACAGAAATGTTTTGATTCAAACGGTATAGTCACAACATAAAATTTAAACATTATGGAGCGGAAGAGCACTTAATTCGTAATCTGACATCTCACAACAAGCTCATTACATGGTAAGCAGTGGCACTAGTCTGTGTAGAAACTCGAAACTCCGCTTTCAAAATCTCGAGACCCCAGCTTTCGCGAGGGTTTGTGAATGCTCTCGCTCTCCTCAGTTGCTCAAAGCATCATAAAACCACTATTCGTCGATTAATTTCAAGCCTTTTTCTCGGGTTATAGTCCTTTGATTCTCAGCTCCTTTGCCAGGATTCCCCGATGCGGTTGGAGGCCTGAGTCAGAGGCTTAATTCACCTCAAGATATCTCATTTAATGCACATTCTGTCCTCTTGTTGTTATACTTTTTCTTGTGAATAAGCTAAGTTCAGCTAGAGTCATGTTTCTTGATATATTATCTGCTAGGCTGATACCTGATAAGTTTACCTATTCACGTTACTTATTAACCAGATAACATGTTGTTGTTGTTAAGGAAAGTAAAGTGTAAAGGACACCTTATGATGAGTCAGATTAATTACGCGCGAATGCAGGAAGATAACACACGACTCTTCCTTTTCTGGTTATTTGTTATCGACGACTCTTTGAAAGATAATGCATTATACACTTAAATATGTTGTTGTTGATTTTTTTGTTGATAATTTCCCTCTCCTGTCCTAAATACTGCTTCGGTATACTTGCATTTACATTTCGATTTACTGAATTTCATGTAAACAAAGTGAAAGAGGAAGCTGCACTTGATGGCTAGATGCAGTGTGAAAAATGCGCTTGGACCTTACTTAATACCTTCCCCTTTACAATTAGGAATTGCTCTTGTGCTGAATGCTTGAGGAACTTGTTATCAGTTAATGGTACACAAAATTGAAAATATCAAATTGCATAGTTGGGATAGCTTGACCACAGATCGAAACCACATGATTTGAGGTCGCTTTCAATGAACAAATTAATTCCATTGAATGAATGCAAACTAGGTTACTATATCATACACTTACGCATACCTGTTGCTGCAAAAATACAGGAGACAAAAAGGACTTCTTTCGGCCATCGGTGCATTTTGTTCATGCAGCCGTCAGTTAGTTTATCGTGTGCCTCTTGGTGCAAGTCTTGATTATCCGGCACAAACAGTTACTCTTTGTTACCGAGCTCTTAGCTTAAACGGTCACTAGTAAGTCTGAGATATACTTGATTAGCAAGGAAGTAATGACTTATCTAAACTGTTAAAGTGTTGTTTTGACGTCTTGAAGCATCTACCTTGGCAAACATGATCGAAAATGGAGCAGAAATCAGTGGGTAGAATGTTTCGAGGAAAAAAAACGACTTGAGGCTTGTCTCGTTTACGTTTCACCAGAACGTCAATCAACCATTCGATCCGGTTATTTTGGTATACCCTCTAGCCATATTGACGTAAAGATTTATTTTTGTTCTCAGGGGCTCTCATATTTTTCTTAGAATTGTGACAGAAATCGTTGGTCACGCCTTTGAATCAGTCAACTGAAGCAGTGTTTTACATTGTTTTGCTATTTGATATTTGCATTGGCTTCAGTTCAAAATTCAAAAGTAAAAGTTACACACTGTTTAGCAGCAAAGCCACTCAATAAAAGGAAGTTACGGCCTTCAAGCTGCCAACATTTTCCTTTTACAGTGTTCCAGTTAAATGGAAACATCTCTTGACACGCAAAAATCTGTAGATAACAAGCAGGTCAATTGTGTAAGGAGAAGCAGCCCTGATTTCAGTTTCCGGCCTGAGTGAATAAGCAAAGTTTCGTAAACAACTTAACTGTATCAGTTTCCTAACAAGGCAATGATTACGGTTCATTTTTTTAACTATGAAACTTATGAAACTTTATGCCACAAGGTCAGTCAAAGAACCGGCTGTTTTAGGATCTTTCCTCGTGACTTTAACTCTTGTAACTCACGTAATCCTCCATCTAGCTCGATGCAAGTCCACTCAGAGCCTTAGAATAATGTCTTGATCGTGTTGATTTGGTCATGTCAGCGTGCTATCTTTAGAATCTCGTGTTATTAACTAGTTATCACAAAATATATTGATCAGGATCATTGCTTTGTGTTATGCAACTTTTGCAATATCAGAGCACGACCATATGTAAGTATAGGTCCTAAAAAAACACCTTTTCATGACTAATTGATCGATTGACAAACGGTGGATGTATCAGATGCTGGACTTGACGACAGGCTTTAGAATGGAAACGACCCCTTAAGCCATTTGAAGCCCATCTGCTCAATCATGTATATCACGTGTTTTCTCGGAATCATGGGAAGCTTTTGAGTCTCTGCTAATGCTATGCAATGTTCATTGAAAAATCATCTCTTCATTCAAATTTCTGAATCGTAAAGATAAAGTTGCTGTTGGCTGTGTGCATTTTCGAGTTTTTTTTTTGGCTTAGTTTCTGGATAGGGAACGACTAAGCTTGAATACTCAAGGATATACAAAGCAGAGCAGCATGTGTTTTATCGTAACGATGAAAGCATTTAAACTTTCGATCCTTTTACGTTGTGATTCAGTGCCTCACAGGTAAGTTTAACATCGGATCTGTCGTTGTTGCGTTGAGAATTTGAACGCTATTGAAAATATTATCCACCCTACGTCATACTTTGTAATAACCGAGCATTTTGGCGGCGAACATTTTTACATGGAAACTGTGAAAAACAAAACCTACAGTCTTTGATATTCTAAAGTTGATTGCGGAGCCAGAGATTCAATATCCTTAAAAGACCTAGTTAAACTGCAATTTAAAATCCACAGCTTAGACACAAGCGACCCAGTGAAAGTGAGGGGTGTAACACGGCACCTTTTTCGCTTTGAATACGACGCCGGTTTGCTAGTAAACCAGATGTGAAAATTAAATGGCTTTAGCGAAGGAATCCTAAAGCGAATGTCGCTTCATGCAGAAGCAAACTCCCCTTCTCTTATACTCTACAAGAACCAAAACAAATTCTGGTTTCTGTATACAGTCAATGCTTTTAATTTCGTATGCATTAATTCCCAAAAAGCGCTATCGTAAACAATTGATATACCTGAAGCGACTGGATCACTGCAGACGAATATAGTGAGGTTCGGATTCCTAGAGAATTTTGAGTGTCGCATAAATGCTGCTGATATAACCGTACCTCTTTCCTTCTTACAACAAGATATCATTTTAAAACGTGCGTTATCTGATGCCCGACGAAAAGATGCATTATACGTTCATATGAACCACCTTTGTAGTGCGTAGAAGCATAAAATATTTTCAAATACTATTATTTGCCCAAGTTATTTTAGTTATTTTCGATCCATAGGAAAATGGAAAACGATAAGTGCGAAATTTTATCAACATTTCTAAGTAGTAACGCTTGACTGACTCCAGATTTCCTAGAAATGAAGAGGTTCAGTTTAAGGTGAACTAAAGCTATATTTCGGATCTTTTAGTTGTCTTTCTTGGCTATAAGATAAGAAAATTGTGTTAAGTTTGAAAGCCATCTTTTTGTTGTAAAGCCAGGAAATTTGCAGCGACCATGGATCGGTCACGACATAATTTTCTTCGTTTATTGAATTTTGTACTCAAAAGTCACTTTCACTTAGTTAATCGAACGGATGTTCAGAAATAATATTTTCATACAGCAAAATGCTTGTACTAAATATAAATTTGTCCTAACAGAAATGTTTTGATTCAAACGGTATAGACACAACATGCAATTTAAAAATAAATGTAGCGGAAGAGCACTTAATTCGTAGTCTGATATTTCACGACAAGCTCATTACAAGGTAAACAGCGGCACTGGTCTTTGTACAGAACGACAACTCGAAACACCGCTTTCAAAATCTCGAGACCCCAGCTATCGCGAGAGTTTTCGAACGCTCTCACCCTCCTCAGTTGCTCAAAGCATCACAAAACCACTATTATTTAATTAATTTTAAGCTCTTTTCTCCAATTATAGTCCTTTGAATCTCAACGCCTTCAGGATTCCGTGAAGTGGTTGAAGGCCCAAGTCAGGGGCTAAATTCACCTCAAGAGATCTCATTCAGTGGACATTCTGTCTTCTGGTTGTTATACATTTTCTTGTGAATAAACTAAGTTTAGATAAATTCATGTTGCTTGATATATTATCTGCTAGTCTGATACCTGATAAGTTTGCCTTTTCACGTTACTTATCTATCAGATAACATGTTGTAAAGGGAAGTAGAGTGAATGTAGGAAGATTACATTTTGGCATTCCCTTTCTTGTTATTTGCTATTTACGACTCTTTGAAAGATAATGCATTATATACCTAAATATGTCGTTATTGTTGTTTATTTCTCTCTCCTGCCCTAAATACTGATTCGGCATACTTGCATCTACATTTCGATTTACTGAATTTCATGTATACAAAATGAAAGAGGAAGCTGCAGTGGATGGCTAGATGCAGAGTGAAAAATGCGCCTGGAACTTACTTACTTACTACATTCCCTTTTACAAGTATTAAGTGTTCTTGTGCTGAATGCTTGAGGTACCTGTTATTCAATTAATAGTGAACAAAATTGCAAATATTAGATTGCATAGATTGGATAGCTTAACTACAGATCGAAACCTCATGATTTTGGGGTGAGGTCGCTTTGAAACAAATTAATTTCCTTGACTCTTAATGAATAAATACAAACTATTAGCTACTATATCATACACCTACGCTTACCTGTTACTGCAAAAAGACAAAAGACAAAAAGGACTTCTTTCGGCCATCGGTGCATTTTGTTCATTCAGCCGTCAGTGAGTTTATCGGGTGCTCCTTGGTGCAAGTTCAGATTCTCCGACAAAAACAGTCACTCTTTGTTACCGAGTATTTAGCTCAAACGGTCGATAAGTCGGATTTAAACTTGATAAGCAAGGAAGTGGTAGCTTATCCACACTCTTAAAGTGTTGTTTTAATGTCTTCAAACATATCCCTAAGCACATATGATCGCCAATGGAGCAGGTATAAGTGGGCAGAAAGGAAAGCAACCATGTTTCGAGGAAAAAAAAAGGACTTTAGACGGTTTCTCGTTTACATTTCCACAGAACGTCAGTCAGCCATTCGATCCGGTTATTTTGGTATACCCTCTTAGCCATGTTGACCCAAAGGTTAATTTGTTTACATTTTTCTTAGAATTGTGACGGAAATCATTGGTCATGACTTTGAATCAGTCAACTGAAGCAGTGTTTTGCTCTTCGATATTTGCATTGGGTCAAGTTCCAAATTCGGTAAAGTGAAAGTAGCACACTGTCTGGCAGCAAGGCCGCTTCATAAAAGGAAATTACAACCTTCAAGCTGCTACCATTTTCCTTTTACAGTGTTCCAGTGATATGGGAACATGACTTAACACACAAAAATCTGTGACGAGCTGGTCAACTGGGTCAGGAGATGCAGTTCTGGTTTCACTTTCCGAGCTGCGGTGAGAAAACAAAGTTTTCTATGCAGCTTTACTGTATCAGTTTCCTAACATGGAAATGATTAAGGTTCATCCTCCAGACATGGAAGCTTCCTCACGGATATTGAATACGCTCTTCCCTTTTTCTTTTCTGAGGGAATCCAAGTCGAGTCTTCCACACGTGTAAGAGTTAACGTTTTATGGCAAAGAAGTGATAAGGGACTTATCGAGTTTCAATGACCCTAGGCCTACATTTTCCTGCAATATATTCTCTTGATTATTTAGAATCCACCATGATATCGGTAAGTTTCACTCAAAAATTACTCAATGTAAGGCCTTGTGGTTGTCCCCTTTTTTTTTGCTTTGCCCACCTTTCACAGACTATTCAATAGCTGGCCATAACATACTACCTGCGTTGAATAGCACTGTGTCGTGCAGATGGCAGACACTCCGTCAAAAAGAAAATAAATTTGTTCTTGTCGATGCACATGGCCTACACGTCTTTCAGTGATATCACCTTATAAGTACAATAGAATATACACATGGCCCGCACGTCTTTCAGTAATATCAATTTCATGAGCACAATAGAATAATATATAGATTTAGGCAAGCCTAAAAGCGGAGCTCGCATTTTTTTCCCGCACGTCTCTTCAATAAAACTAAAGCCCCCACTGTGGATAAAGTGCGTGGTAATATTAATGGATTTTCATTCGCAACTTCTCCGTGTCCGTGTAGAGGACTGATTATAAGATAGTGCCCGTGGTACAGTTAGCCGCGCATGCTAAAAGTAGTACCTTAAACGGTCGGTCGTACGGTCGTACATCCAAATTTTTTCGGCTTGATGGGTTACTACTATTTTGTAAAATTATGGGGCTACGCTCTGCGAGCTCCGCTATTATAACTGTTCAAGAGCAAAGATTTACAGAACATAGTAAAGATTTCTTGAAAATCATAACAAGAGAATCGT